GTCACTGATAACAGAGTCAATGGCAGGAAGGATGTGGGAGTGAAAGACAACACTACGCATCGTAAATTCACTATTAAGGATATTTAGTTGTGCATAAATTAATACTGTGAAATTTCCACAAATTAACTCAACACGAGGAACAAAAGAGATAGAAGTGGATGGGACGTCATCATCAATAGGGTCACAGGAATATATCCAAGAAGTCAAAGAATCATATACCCACCCAATCCCTTATGAATTTGAGGTTTCTACAACTGTCAGCTTGATTCCTTTTAACACCCCCCCCCCCCCTCCCTCCCCATACACCTCACAATCTTGAATCCACCTCTGCGCTGGTTGTTAATGTTATCTTAACAATAATTACAAAACGAACACAACTGAATGCTCAATCACATCCATGATGTACGTTCATTTAAGTTACATTCATTTCATATGGTAATTAAGTTAACCTTTCCCAAATCTAAGCCTAGCCTGGTGTCATCGTCGGTCCTACATGTACATGTAGTCATGACTGACCCTTTGTGACCCTCTTGATGAAATTCCAACCACTTCTATCCTAGGCATAGCGATGAGCTGTGCAGATGTTCATGCCAGTAATCTCTTTTATTCCTGGTGCATCAGTGATTAAAGTATTCATTTTCAATGTACATTTGAAAATGAAGTAATTTGCCCAATGGCAAGCCAAGTGAATCATTAATAATGTATTTATGAATAATACAACAAACCACTACAAATCAAACATCTAATGAACGAGTTTATCTGAGTAGAGTAGTGTGGTACAGATGATTCCATCACTGAAAGATTAACTATATGAAATCTGTGTTCAATGGCTCAACCTACCTACCTTCTCATACAGACCCCTCCATGGTGATATGATTCAGGTCTACAAGATCATGCATGGATTGAATGATATGAAGAAACACAACCTGTTCACAATGAAGGAGCTGGAAACCAATTTAAGAGCTCATAACATGAGGATCCACAAGAAGCATGCACATCTCAACATCCGCAAGTTTAGGTTCACCCGCTGTGTAGTTGACACCTGGAATCAACTACTGATGTCGGCAGTGAATGCACCAACCATTAACAGCTTCAAATCAGAGGTGGATGCCTCTGATGCCTCTGGATCTTTCGACACAGCTCGACAAGATTAGTTATAGGCACAGCAGGTGTTAATCTTGTTGAGTCTTCCCACAGTGTCTTCCAGCCATGGACTTTATATCATTATCAAGGAATGAAATCTTTGCAGCGATGTATTGATAAACTATGGGTGGGCATTACAAGATATTATCTTATTAACCAGGGAGATGTATAATTGACATCTCCCTGTACTATCTAAGGAGCCCGAGAAGACAGGTGAATACAGGTGAATACATTGAGTTTGGGATAAACTCCTTGAACTGACTTGTTTCTGAACAGATTTTTTCATGAATTAATACAGGCCTCGAATTACGTCAAATTTGGGTCAAGGCCACTTTTTTGAGAGGGCACAAATCCACTGAAAGGGGCACAAATCTATATCATAAGGGGCACTAAGGCCAAAGTGGAAATTGTGCGTAAAATCACCTCACACCCCCCCCCCCCCAAAAAAAAAATGCTCACTCCCCCCCCCCCCCCCCCCCCCTCCCCCCCCCCCCAACTGAGCGAAATATCGGCCGGGTGCGATTTTTAAATTTTCGGGAGCAAAAAAAAAATAGTGCTCACTACCCCCCTCCCCCCCCCCCCCCCCTTATTAACAGGCAGGCTGTTTCGCCACTAAATATTCTCCCACTGGTCCCCCTCTTTGGTCCCCTCCCCTGCCGCCGGCTGGATCCGCCCGTGGGGTGGTTGGAGGGGGTGGGGAGTTTCCCCCTATGACGTTTCATTGAATTATTAGATAAAGAAGACGATTCGTTGTACCGTTCTCGACTCGTTTTATCGGTTTATCCTTTTGAGAATTCCACGGGAAGCGTGGAAGCTTAGATGTTTTTAATAAATTCTTAGAGAAAGAAGACGATTCGATACCGTTTTCGACTCTATCCTTTCCGTTTATCCTTTTCTGAATTCCAGGGGAAGCGCGGAAGCTTGTATTTTTTAAATAAATTATTAGATACAGAAGACGATTCGGTGTACCGTTCTCGACGATAAATCCTTTTTTTAAATCGATTCCCACCCTCCCGCGTAAAGCGCGTAAGCTATGACGTTTTAATTAAAACGTATGTGAAAGAAGACGATTCGATGTACCATTATCTCAACTCTTAATTGTTTTCTGATTTAATTCCCGACCTGAAAATTCAAGCTTTTCACTGATTAAAAACTCTGAAAACGCACCAAAAAAGGTCACAACGCGAAGTAAAGATGTTGAACCAACGATAGGTAAACAAAACTTCCCGATATTGATTGGTCCAAGTGAAAAGGATGGAGATGGATTGAAAAACTAAGCCCGAGTCATTACGGTTTTTGTGCCAAACGTTTCAGTCATTTCGATGAAGATATGCTTTCATATTTCCGTATCGGCAATGAAGTCCCGCCAATAGTTATTAATCTAGGGGTTCCATGGTGGCAATGAAGTCTCGCCGATAATTATAGTTTTAAGATCTCCGTAGGGGCAACAAAGTCAAGCCGATAATTATTGTTTTAAGATCTCCGTAGGGGCAATAAAGTCAAGCCGATAATTATTGTTTTAAGATCTCCGTAGGGGCAATAAAGTCTTGCCGATAATTATTGTTTTAGAGCTCCGTACGGGAAACAAAACCTTGCCAATTATTATCGTTTTTAGAGCTCCGTAGGGGCAACAAAACCTTGCCGATTATTATCATTTTTAGAGCTCCGTAGGGGCAACAAAACATTGTCGACAATTGTTTTTTTTTAGAGCTCCGTAGGGGCAACAAAACCTTGCCCATTATTATCGTTTTTAGAGCTCCGTAGGGCAACAAAACCTTGCCGATTATTACCGTTTTTAGAGCTCCGTAGAGGCAACAAGACCTTGCCGATTATTATTGTTTTAGAGCTCCGTAGAGGCAACAAGAGCTTGCCGATCATTAATGTTTTTAGAGCTTCGTAGGGGCAACAAGACTTTGCCGATTATTATCATTTTAGAGCTCCGTAGGGGCAACAAAACCTTGCCGATTATTATCATTTTTAGAGCTCCGTAGGGGCAACAAAACCTCGTCGACTATTGTTTTTTTTTTAGAGCTCCGTAGGGGCAACAAAACCTTGCCCATTATTATCGTTTTTAGAGCTCCGTAGGGCAACAAAACCTTGCCGATAATTATTATTTTAGAGCTCCGTAGGTAGGGGCAACAAAACCTTGTCGATAATTATTGTTTTTAGAGCTCCGTAGGGGCAACAAAACCTTGCCGATTATTATTGTTTTTAGAGCTCCGTAGAGGCAACAAGACCTTGCCGATCATTAATGTTTTTAGAGCTCCGTAGGGGCAACAAAACCTTGCCGATTATCATCGTTTTTAGAGCTCCGTAGGGGCAACAAAATCCTGCCGATTATTATCATTTTTAGAGCTCCGTAGGGGCAACAAAACCTTGCCGATTATTACCGGTTTTAGAGCTCCGTAGAGGCAACAAGACCTTGCCGATTATTATTGTTTTAGAGCTCCGTAGAGGCAACAAGACGTTGCCGATCATTAATGTTTTTAGAGCTTCGTAGGGGCAACAAGACCTTGCCGATCATCAATGTTTTTAGAGCTCCGTAGGGGCAACAAAACCTTGCCGATTATTATCATTTTTAGAGCTCCGTAGGGGCAACAAAACCTTGTCGATAATTATTGTTTTAGAGCTCCGTAGGGGCACCAAAACCTTGCCGATTAATAATGTTTTTAGATCTCAGTTGGGGCAACGAAGTCTTTTTGATCATTACAAGTCGGGGTTGACTTATGATGACTATAATGTCGGCAAAACTTTTGTGGATTTAAATATTGTGGCCGTAAGCGGTTTGATTTTGAAAAGGGCATTCCGGCCAGTGAGAGGGGCATGGCGGCAAATTGGCGGCAAATTGCCGATTGCCGGTGGGTAATTCGAGCCCTGTTAATAACACGGTTTTTTCATCTTTCTTCATGGGTTAACTTAATAAAAGTCCACATATTTCCAACACATTCTAAGAATGAGAGTATTCTGGTCCCTACATAATGCTGTGAAGAGTTTGTTTTTTGCACTTGTTCTAACCTATCTGATTGCATCGGTTACGTGTCTACCTGCTGTTCCAGACTGAACCGTATGCTCCAGCACCGGATAATCTTATCCAAGGTAGATGACGAGTTAGTCTACAGGGGAGGCTGTGACCACTCTTTAATACTTGTAAAATGCAGAGTTTTTCATTAGAGCATTCCAATATATTACAGAGAGATCTTTATGAGTTTCCCTTTCTTGAGATCATTCTGGACATCTGTATGCCTAAATTATGATTTGACATACATGACTTGCTTAAGTTAAGATGTTGATCATTGATGGTTAACTGGGGAGTGGCTGGTGGATGGCGCATGATTGAAGTATACTTCCATATATATGTGTGCACTTTTCTGGATTCAGCCATACGTTGTTAACTTCTGATCATAAATGGATGAGGCTGTAGACTACGGTCTGTACCACTGGCCGTCGCCTAACTTCGGAAGAACGTAATTCTACACGTATTACGTACATTAATTGTCAACATTCATACTAATTAACTAGACCTACTTGAATGCGTAGGGTTGAGGTAGGGGTTGTTTAATATCATTGGTCATAATAACAAAAATCAGAGGCCACAAAGCTAAATAGTCTCAGTCTGAGTCAAACTTCTACTAGATCTAGTACTGTCACAGACTATTCTGTAGTCTGTACAGCATCATCATCATACATGCATCCAACTTGGGAATACTCTCAGTCTGAGACTCAGAACAGTTTACCACACACACGTACACATGCACACACACAAATATTTACATGGACATCAATTCAATGACCACTGATTACTGAATTGAAATTATTTATCTCAACAGTGCAAATGTTGTATCTCTGCGTCGCCATACCTTAAACTATTCTGCAAGCCTCCAAAAAATTGCTCTGGATTCAGGGTTCTTCAACTCTCCAGACTGCCAGCAGCTCTAGCAGCTCAACAACAAAACAGCGCCAGTCGAGTCGAGTTCAGATCATGTCGCTGTCAGAGTCTAACGCCCTTCATGCGGGGGCGAAAAGGCTTGACGATGGACGCTGAATCTACGTAGTCTCGTAGATGATTACCAAACTGTATACAGTGTACCATGCATACACGGGTACTCTCACTCGCTGGCTCTCGATCTCTCACTGGCAAATTGAAAGTATCGAACATTTTACTCGAAAGATGAGTAACCAGCGAAGCGTGACGAATAACTCGCATTACGTAAATAGGAATCCCTGGTTTACCAGTCGAATCTTGAGCTGCGGAGCGGTGGCATAAATGGGGACAGGGGTGGGAAGGGGGGGGGGGACTTCGCGGGGGCATGCACATACGTCCCTATCAAAATAATGGAGGGGGGATAGAGAAAGAGAAATAAATAGGGGATCAGAGAGGGGTGTGTGAAAAAACCAACACCACCCCTGTTCCACATCATCACTCATTTGAAGGCCCGTTCCGTAGCCACTGGGGGGGGGGGGGGGCGGGGCACGTGTTGAACTTTTTAGACCCCTCTCCAGGACGTCGATCAATTACATGTATGTGCCCCCCCCCCCCCCCCCCCCCCAACATCAAACTCTGGCTACGGCCCTGCTCATTTGACGGTATATATCTATTATTATAACTGTCCATGATCTGCAAACTCCAGCGCCTCCTTCTCGGGCTCCTTCTCCAATGATTATTGCTGGCTGACAGTTATACAACAGCTATTACATTAAGTTCCTTCGAAATAAAAAAAAAATGTTAAGAAACAAAGAATTGAGAAGTACACGAGGTATATATGATCATAATTATCCACGGTTAACAAAAACAAAACAAAAACATGGATAAAAATTACTAAGAAAATAAAACAAAAACAAACGTTTAGCTGTGGGAAGGGGTGGGTGACACTGGAACCCCTCTCCTAAATTTGACTGTATATTATGTTTGTCTGTCTATATATCTCTCTCTCTCTCTCTCTCTCTCTCTCTCTCTCTTCATTTTGATGCACCCCCTTGCTATGATTATAATTTAGTCTCATCTTCTCGATCTTCTTTTACGATCTTCGCAAGATCCTCTTTCCATCCAAAATGGCCTAAACTATACCTTTTATGCACTGTGCTCTTATTTTGTTAACACGATCATTTTAAAATGACATGTATTGTGCCAAGTTCTTGTTTTGAATCCTCCCGGAGGGGGGGGGGCAATTATCAGAGGTGGCACTATGTACCCAAAGTAGTTACATATGAAAAAGCTTTACTTCAAATGAGTGCACTTTTTCCTTTTAAATAGGTGTCCGTTCCACATTATTATATAGTGTCCCTTACCATCTCTGATAAATGACCCTTTTACCTCTGATAATTGCCTTTATTCTGATCTGAGAGGTGCCTCTTTTACTTTGACAGGCTTTTGTAAGTGTCCCTCCCCTTCTAATATTTGCCACTTTTCCCTTCTGTCCCTTACTCTTCTTAAAAGGAGCCCCTTCCCCTTCTCATAATGACCCTTTTCACCTCTGATAAATGCCCTTATAAAAATGATGGGTGCCCCTTTTGGCCTTTTCCTTCGACATCCCCTTTTCCAGTCTCATAAGTGGCTCTTTCCATCTCCTTTTCAGGTGAAGAAGTGTTCCATTTCGTTTTTGATAACTACCCCTTTTACTTAGTCTTAGACACATGCTCCTTTTCTCTTCTAATAAGCGTCATTTTCCCTTTTTAAAAGTGCCCCGTGACCCTTCACCATAAAATTTGCCCCTAATTTAAAGCGACAAAAATCAATAATTTAATTTCCCCCATATTGTCGCTCAAATTTTTAGTTGGCATAATTATGTTTCTTATTAAAAGCCTTTTCACACTTTCATGATTAGATCGTGCTTAAAACCCCATCAGATTTTTCTCTTGCTCTTAATTTGTGTAAGATGTAATATTTCGCACTGCGACCTCAATTTTTTGTTAAGTTTTGATGAATGTTGATGTACATTCAGACTGTGATATACTGGAGGCAAGACAAATGATACACGTCCGACACGGATAAGTTCCAGACTAGGAGTGATCTTTATTAGAGGGGTTTCACAGTGGCCCTGTAGGCTCATTACATAACTTTGTCTGGCATTAACATATACCAGTAGGTGGCGCTATTACATACATTGATATGGATTTACGTTGATCAAGATACATCACATCTTCCCCTTTAAAGATAGCAGGGATCAGTTATTGAAAATCGCGTTTAAGTATACATCAATGTCTGTTAAGTGATATTAGATTGTATTACCATAATTGTGTTTCTGAATAAACGAATTAATATTTAAGGTGTTGCTGTAATAAAAGCATTTTCCTTCTCTACTATACTCTCTCTTTTATTCTCAGCCTAATTCCTCAACCCCTTTGCTCATTTTCATACTACATAATACATAATGTATTTAGCTATCCTACCGTTTCGCTAGTCTACACAACATCTTTTTTTTTCAACGTGAAATAAGGTAATAGATGTGGTTTTCTTTCCACTTTTTTTATTTTTTATTTTTTATTTTTTAATAAAAACAATAAAAAAAACTTTTATCAACTTTACTCGCGTTATTGCGAGTATCTCTTAATGCTAAAGATTTGCCTCTTTTGTAGTTTATTTAGGTTATTTATGTTCCTATTTGGCCCATCCTATATAGTTGTCATACGGTTATCACTTGTATTTAACATGAAATTACCAAACGTTCTAACAAGCCTTCATTATGCCTGTCATTATGTTTACCAGTGTTAGGATGTGGGCACACTCAGGAATTATTCAGTGTGGTCTTACATATCCAGCCGCTCTGGTGGTTTGGATACTCTTCCACTTCGGGTGGTGGTGGGTTGTGAGGGTGAGATGCTTTCATAACTCTGTGTTTGTTGATGAGGTGGCAAGGTCGCGCTGTCTGGGGGGCTGTCTGGGGCGCTAGCGGGGGAAGGGATTGGAGGCATTGGGCGAATGTGTTTTCGGTTTCGCCTGTATTCGCCTTGCTCTGTTTGAATGACGTAGCTCCGTGGGGTATGTGCTGTGCCAGCCACACATCCTTGTCGCCATGTGCCGGGTTTGGCGCGAAACACGACGTTCTGGTTGGTGCTCAGAGATGGGAGGGGTTTGATTTGAGCACGTGCGTTGTAGTTGGTCAGCTGTTTTCGCTGCCTTTCCGCCAGGTCATCTTGTAGTGGGGGTATGGCCTGAGGGCGGAGAAGGGAGGTTGATACTGGGATGCGACTTCTCAGTAATCTCCCGTTCAGGATTTGTGATGGGGCAAATCCACGCAGACCATCTATGGGTGTGTTTCTGTATTCGAGCAAAGCGTACATCGGATCATTCTTACTCATGTTAGCTCGCTTCATGAGTGTCTTCACCGTCTGAATGCACCGCTCAGCCTGGCCATTGCTTTGTGCATAATGGGGGCTCGATGTGTGATGGGTTATTTCCCACTTTTGCACAAACTCTCGAAACTCGCTACAATCGAATTGACGGGCGTTGTCTGACACAATCATGTCTGGTGTGCCATTTCGCGAGAATATTTCTTTCAGGCTTGTAATGACCTTGTGGGCTGTCATTTCGGTGAGAATCTGAACTTCTGGAAATTTGGAGTAGTAGTCGACTACAAGAAGGTAGTTGGCTCCATCCAAGTGGAAAATGTCAATTCCAAGTTTTGACCATGGTCGGTCAGGTATGGGGTGTGACATGAGGGGTTCAGATTGTTGAGCTTTCCGTGTAGTTTGACATATAACGCATCTGGCTACCTTGTCTTCAATTTGTGCGCTCATTCCGGGCCAAAACAAGACCTGTCGCGCTCGCGATTTTAGCTTCACAATTCCCAAATGGGACTGATGTAGGACATCGAGCATGTCCTTTTGTAAGTCGGCCGGTACTACTAGTCGGCTTCCTTTCAATATGAGGCCATCTATTTCTGTCAACTCGTCCCGGAATGAGTGGTATGGTAACACATTGTGCGGAATGTCGCGTTTACTTTCTGGCCAGCCCTCGAGTATGAACGCGCTGATCTGCTTGAGGACTGGGTCGCGTTTTGTCTTCTCACGGAATTGCTCTAGTCTGCGGTCAGACATGTGCATTACGCAATCGACAGTTTCTATTCCGATATCGGTGGTCGGTTCGCACTGGCGCGCTGGCCTGTCTGTTGGCAGTAGCCTGCTCAGTGCATCGGGCACGAACATTTCTTTACCTGGCTTCCATCTTAAGTCTATGTCATACATCATGAGGTGAAGTCTCATTCGCTGTAATCTTGGACTAAGCTTATGTAGCGGTTTATTGAAGATGCCAATTAGGGGCTTGTGATCAGTGAATATCGTTACCCTTTGTCCAAAGATGTAGTCATGAAATTTCTTGCATGCAAAGAGAATCGCACTCATCTCTTTTTCGATTGGGGCATAGTTGTGTTCGGCATCGTTCACACGCCTTGACGCGTAGGCTATGGGGCTAGAGTCGTCTTGCATTAATACGGCACCTAGCCCTTGATTCGAGGCATCTGTTGCCATGGAAACGGGTTTCTTTTCGTCATACAATTTGAGAGTGGGGGCAGACGTTATCTTGTTCTTAAGTGCATCTACTGCGTGCGCATGTTCGGCCTCCCAATGCCATGCAACGTTTTTCTGAGTGAGTTGTCTTAGAGGTTTCGTAATTTCCGAAAGTTTGGGGATGAACTTTCCGAGGTACGTAATCATGCCGAGAAATGTTTCTACCTCTTTCTTGTTAGTCGGATACGGGAGATCCACGACCGATCGGATTCTATCCGCACTGGGCATTACGCCTTCCGGTGAGATAATAATATGTCCCACATACTCAATCTTATCGGTGCGAATTACCGATTTCGCCTTGTTGAGTTTTAGGCCGGATTTTCCCACTTTTTCGAGCAGGGCAGACAATCGAGCGTCATGCTGCACAGTGTCCTTGCCCCAGACGAGAATGTCATCGGCAACAATTTCAACTCCGTCCAGCTGTCCGAATTCATCGGTCATCGCTCGCTGCCATACTTCGCTGGCAGAAGATATGCCAAACGGCATCACCTTATAACGATAGCGGCCGAAAGGACTGTTGAAAGTCGTGTAATGAGAACTCGCCTTGGTTAGTGGGAGCTGCCAGTATCCGCTCGTGGCATCGAATTTCGAAAATACACGCGCGCCAGCCATTCTAGCTGAAACTTGTTCGAATGTCGGCATTGGGAAATGCTCCCTTCGGATGGCTGTGTTTAGACCGCGGGGGTCGAGGCATATACGAACACGACCATCTGGCTTATGAACGACCGTCATTTGGCTTACCCAATCAGTGGGCTCAGTTACTCGTTCTATAACTCCTATCTCTTCCATTCGCTCTATTTCTGCTCTGACCTTATCCCTTATTTTGTGAGGAATAGTACGAGGAGGGCATTTAACTGGGTTAACATCGTTCCTCAGTGTGATATCATACTCATGGTTGCGCAATCTCCCTAGGCCTGCGAACAAATCGTCATATATTTCTAGAGGGTCCATTTGTGGGCGATTGGGGGTGGGGCTCGTTGGAATGCGGTCAGTTGATGGGGGCGCATTTGCACTGAGAATACTGTTAGTATTAGCGGGGGCCTGCGTAGTTGTGCTTGCGGGGAGGGTGGGGGGCTGCCTTGCTGCCTTGCTTGCCACCTCATCAACAATTTCACACCTTTTCAACAAATTCATCCTTTCGCAATCTCTCCTCCCTATTAATGGTTTCCCATAACCACCAACCACCTGAAATGTAAGAAGGTATTCATGCTTACCGACCAGTACTTTACACCTCGTTTTCCCCACAGGTTTCATAATGTGTCGCGAGTATGAACGAAGGGTCACGGGGGTCTTATCAAGACTCAACTTAGTTTTCCTAAAAATATTTTCGGGAAGAATGTTCACTTGGGCTCCTGAGTCTAGTTTAAAGTCGACACAAACATCATCATCAATTATTATCTCTTGGTACCAGTCATCGTCACTGTCTACATTATCCACAACTAAATCAATGAAGAATTCATTCATGTCAATGTCACTGTCTTGGCTGGGCATGTTCTTGTCACTGTAATCACGATACGGCTCGTCGTCATCTTCGCAGTGTCGGTCGACATACTCCACATCCCGGCGGCGGTTGTCATGTCGGCTTCTCGACTGTTGTCGTCGTTGGTTTCGGTGTTCGGTACATCGCGGTGATTTTGAGAAATGTCCAATTTCTCCACATGCCCGGCACCTTTCATTTATCGCCGGGCACGCCCTGTTTCTATGTTCATATGTGCAGTTCAGGCACGCACTTGCTTCCGATTTCGGGGGCCTTCCTCCTTGTTCGTGTGACTGCTCGTAGCGTTGTCGTGGGCGTTGAGGTTGACGTCGTCCTCGTTGGATGTAATCGGTTTCTGCGGGTATCCCTGGGCTGCAGGCGGCTTGTAGTTCGACCATCTCGTTGGCGCTGTTCTCGGCCACGCTGCACACGTCGATGCATTTCTTCAAGTTCAAGTCCTGCACTTGTAAGAGCTTCTCCCGGAGAGTTTGGTCCTGTATGCCACAGACAATCCTGTCCTTCAACAGGTCATTCTCGAGCTCTCCAAACTCGCAATCCTTTACAAGAGCCTTTAGATCGGTGATGTAGGAGCTAAAACTCTCACCCTTTTTCTGATTCCTCGAGTTAAACAGGTACCTGATGACACTGAGGTTTCTCTTTGGTTGGCAGTAAGCTGCCAGCTTGGTCTTCAGGGCGCTCACTTTGCCCGATTCTGTTTCGGTGAATGTTAATGTTTCCGTTATCTGTTGGGCCATGGGCCCCGCCACGTGGAGAAATGTGGCGTATCTCACCGGCTCCGTCTTTGCCGAAAGTTCGGTTGCTCCTTCATAAAATTCATAGGCTCTAAGCCAGTCCTTCCAATTCTTTGCGACGTTTCCATCAAAGGAAAGAGGTCCTGGGGGTCTAAGTCCCGACATCTTCTTTTTTGACTCCTGTCTTCCTTTTCTCCTGACACCATGTGATATACTGGAGGCAAGACAAATGATACACGTCCGACACGGATAAGTTCCAGACTAGGAGTGATCTTTATTAGAGGGGTTTCACAGTGGCCCTGTAGGCTCATTACATAACTTTGTCTGGCATTAACATATACCAGTAGGTGGCGCTATTACATACATTGATATGGATTTACGTTGATCAAGATACATCACACAGACCATCACATCCGACTGCAAACTATGATGTTTATGCCCCCCCCCCTTTTTTTTTCTTCCAGAAATTGCATTTTCTTTTGTTGGTGCCCCGCACTGTTTGAAAGACGCTCCGCCGCCCAGACGGTATCAAACTACTGGCGTTTACAGACGTGTTGAAAAGGAGGGGGTGACGCACAAAGTCAGAGATTCCCTCTGGGATTAAAGAACAGTAAGGTTGAAGATAAAATATTCCGTCATCAGTAGAGTGGAGCAGCTAACCAGTTTATGGTACTTTGTATCAAAATTCTTGAAATTAATATTTACACCGTAACTAAATTCGCTTCATTAATCTATGATAAAATTGATTTCTTTTATTTTCTATCAGGGGAAACATCAATGTAGGTCTTAGACCGAATTTTCCGTCTCTTTCGTTCGTTAGCCTCTTATTGGGGTAGGGTCGGCCGGCTCTCTCTTTAGAGACGGAAACCGTCTATACACATTCCCTTGATAACGCCACGGCCATTTCAGGTCGTAGCGTTTTGCCCCCAAAATCCCCCAAAATGTCAAAATCGAAATCCATGTTGCAAAAGATTTTCAAAATGGATTTCGATTTTGACCCATAATTTCCTAAAAAGGGACTATTAAACTGATTATTTCAGTCAAGTTGGTAAGTGGAACTGATTTATTATAGCCTAGGCCTAATTAACATGTGGATATGCACGAGGTAAAATGACATTTTGGGGATTTTGGGGGCAAAACGCTACGACCTGAAATGGCCGTGGCGTTATCAAGGGAATGTGTATAGACGGTTTCCGTCTCTAAAGAGAGAGCCGACCCTACCCCAATAAGAGGCTAACGAACGAAAGAGACGGAAAATTCGGTCTATGTAGGTCTAAGTCATTGCAGTAAATGTACGAGGAGATATAGATTTCAACAGTCGAAATATTTTTAGAGATACCGTAGTATCTCTGACAAGACAATGCTTAAATTCGTTTTCTAACTTCAACTGTGTGTACACACATATACACATCAAGCTTTCGGTTGTGACTTGTAAATCGACTATCGTGTGAGTTGTGACTGCATTGCATTGACATTGGAATTGGGCTCTGAGAATTTTTCATCACTTAGATCTAAAATGACTAATCAAACGATGGAAGAGCTTTGTGATGATTATTTCGCATCGATGAATCCGATAGCCAACAAGATTATAGAAGAAAAGAGAAAATGCAAGGAGAAAAACAGGAAGAATTGGGAGAGATTGACTCAAGCCGAAAAGGACTGCCTACTCGACGAGTGGTTTATTGATCCCGATTTAAAAATTCGATATGAAATTCGTCTTCAGGGGCAACTCCCGAGCAATAAAGATGCCCCACCAGAAAGTTTTCCGAGGCTGAATGTTCAAGGAGGAACAAAAACTGTCCAGTATACCGAGCACGAAGATGGATCACAAAGCAAAGGAACTGTAAGTTTTACAAATCTCCCATGGGCTGGCAGTTTCATATTCTGAATGAAAGCTTGGCCTCGGCTTCCCCGATCCAAGCACTTCCGGGTTCTACCCTTGACTGTGTCCGTGCCCATGGCCGTCCATGGATTGTGTATAGATCTGCTAGATTATGTGTGAATGGTTGTGTTGATTTTGAAGAAGAAAACATTGAAGGCAATTTTTAATGGCACAATGTAATATGAAATGCTATTGAGAGATTGTGGTAAACATACTGTAGTCTACATTCCTGCAGCAAAGCATTGACAAGTTAAATCCATTAATTTTTATGTGAAATTGAATCTAATTGTAATTGAAATTGAATACATGGTACTGGTAGAATCTGTAATTAGACTAAGGTAGATCTACAAAATAATAAATATATTTTTAATTTGCTATATGAAAGAACGGTTAATGTCCTGTACATGTAGATCTGCACACTGTGTACACAAAGATGTCCACAAGTCTGAAGCCACGGCAGTACTAATTTCCTATCGTAGACGAAAGTATTGAAAATATAATCATTCTTTTTTATTCAGGATACGTTCCACTGAGACTACGTCTGGCTTCACTGAACACTTCACTTCATTACATATCTTTGAGGAAGGTGTCAAGATACAAAATATGTTTTTAAACTCTTCCAATGAGACAAAATTTTCTGTCTACAATAATTAGCCTATCGGTGCATTTTTATCAATTATTAAGTGTGTGTGGAGTAAATGAATAGTTTCTGATTTTTTAATTTTCATAATAATTTCAGCATATTGAAGGTTCCATTGAAAACATCTAATTAAAGGAAGGTAATGTGGCGCTTGTATACTTTCACACTGAGCGCCTTAAGTGTGATTTCGTTGAATCTGTTTACTAAAATGCAGAGCGAAAGGAAAGACATATTTCATTTGTAATGTGTCTCTGCTACCTCTGTCTGATCCACATTTTCTCCAGAATCACAAGCAGTATGTCTTTCGTTTGCATTTTAATTAACAGAATCAACAATCACATTTTAGGCACCTGGTGCAAAAGTACACACATTTTGCAAAAAAATGTATTCAAATTTGGTACATTGTATTTTCCTATTTGCATCTTCAGATCTACTGTAGTGCAGGGAAAAACTTGAAATTGATAGTAACATATTTGATGAAACAATCTTAAATAGAAAAGGATGAGAAAGAAGGAGAATACGAAGATATTCAAGATAGTAATCAAGTCTTATCAAGATCAGATGATGAATTACATACTTACAATGTATTCTTCTTCTTCTTCTGCCTCATTGAATATTTTTCAGCGTTCAAATTATTGGTTTCATTGTTCATATTCATCTTTTACATATTCATGGACCTATGTTACATATTCACTTCTATCATAACTCATTTTTTCTTGTCACCCATTTACAAGTGCCATATAGATTTTACGATACATCCATGGATCAAACATCTGTATTCTTTGCAATTATTATTAATAATAGTATCAATACTATTATTAAGTAACAAATGAGTGATTAAAGGCAGAGTACATGTATCACTAACTTGAATAAGTGCAATATGTATTTTGTCATTTTGTTTCTTTCTGATGTACATTTGCAGTATAATGTAAATGTACTTTTTCATCACATATAGCCTCTGGTTCATTTCTTCCCTAATTTTTCTCTCTCAGACGATCACATGGAAGGATGAGTTTTCGGGGCCCTTCTTATGGGAGACTAAGGTTTGTTGTCTGTCTGAAGTGACTGAACGAAAGACTGACGCTTGCTCCTTGTTGTCCACCTATTACTCTTCTTCCCTGCATGCACTTGGACCCCGTTCACACTTGCAAATAAAACAATGTTCTCATTTTGGTTACTCCAAATGGATGCTTTGCCTAAAGGCTTTGTTAAAAACAACAGAGAAGTCAGTTGTATTATTACATATGATAAACAAAAACATTTCAAATACTAAATTCAAAAAATATTTTGTATGGAACACAAAACTTCAGTGTTTTAGAATCGATCAGCTTCACTTCCAAGTTTTGAAAGAACTCTAATATCTTGTGTGTGTGAATGGGGTAACCCATAGACTTCTAATCATTTTCCTCTATAATGCTTCACTGCTTATCCTTTCATTATGTAGCTTTGTTTTTCCCCTGAAATCATTAGCCACTAGAAGAAGAGATACTGAAGGGAGCATGAGCTACACATGTTTATGACTGTTGAGTCTCAGCGCCCTTTTGGTTCTCAAAAGACATAGTAGTTACAAATTTATTGATTTTTCCTCCCTTATATTTGAATGTTTGTTTGTCTTTTTGTTTTGTTTGCAGTCTGTGCACGTTACAGGAATATGTACATTGTACATGAAGTTTTGTTATGTTAGTTATGTCTACATGTAAGTTATGTGCTATTGAATAACATGATGAAGAATCTAATTTTGTTTCTCTAAAATAAGACAATAAAAGGAAAAACAAAATGTTGTAGAACAGAAGAAGAATAAAAAAGTATTCTACAAAATGGAAGACAGCATTCTTCAAAATTAATATCCCCTTTTTCTTTGTATTTTTATTTTGTATTTGGTTTTTTGGTTACAGTTTCAAATAACTGGTGTAGTTTGTCTCCATCAAAAAAAGCTGAAATTATTTACACTATTCAGATATTTTATAGACAGTTTGTTTATGTATTTGAATAGTAACTCTGAACACTTTCACTGAAGGATTTAAATATTTGTTCACACCCATGAGAACACTGACACTGTACCTTGTCCGACACCAATACTGGTCATAAGTCAAGACAACTCTGAAATAGGATTTCCAACTTAATACGATGACGAGTAATTTGCAATTTTCTCAGAAGCAAAGAGAGAAACAGATATTTCCAAATTTGGCAATTAGGATGAAAGCTGGTCATCAAAGTATTGCTGACAAGATTAAGATTTGTTGCTACTTAACAATTTAATAACAAGATAGAGATTTTTGCTATCTGCACACAAGGTTAAAAAAAGATTAAAAATCTCAATTTTAAATGTTAATGTAGACTTTCACACCCCTACACCTCCACTAGCACCAACACGATTCAATCATATAGTACACCACATACAATGACACATGCATGATTAGAAGACATACTGGTATTATGTAGGGCTGTAACATTTTTATTTGATATCAACATGCATACATGTACTGTATTGTATGGATTTCTTAGCATCTGCATGGAACTGTATTTAGTGAACATTGTCATCATTCAACTTTTTTGTTCTTCTTGATTTTGCATGATTACTCGATTAGTGCTTGTTTTGTACGTGAACATACCTCATTTGTGAACCCCGGTACCCAAGAAGTACATGCATGTTGAGAGATGTTTTGTAATACTTTGAAGGCCATCTCAAACATACATCCTACTGTACATTTAGGCATACATTTATTATACATATACCGTAGTTGTAGTTGATTAGATTTTACCTTTTATACATCTAGTTTGTAATGTTAACACTTCAGTAGCTCCAAATCTATTTGTTTCACCATAGATTTAATTAAAATACATGTAGGCCTACAGTATATACCAGAATTAAACCAACGCATTTGTTTCTTAAGCCGACATGTAGTCATGTATGTGTCAAACACATTTATCATTATTATTATTACACTGTATCATTATTGTTTTTTATGGTTTTGTAGGGGCGGGGTATACAAATATGAAGTATATACCACTTGTTAGACCTAAAATAAGATATTTTATGTACAGTAGACATGATTGTAGCCTACCTGTTCTTATGTATTTTACTTTTTATTAGAGTTCATAGTCTGTATGTGTCCTGCATGTACATGTACATGTACTAAATGGCAACTTCTGTGCTGGATTTTGAAGCTTGCCCACTAATCAAATGATCAAGGCCAAATAAATTTCAAATCTCAATAGCAGCAAATGAAAATAAAATGAACTAATGGTTTCTTAACCCTGGAGGCTGGATAACTTCTAAGCTGTGTGCTGTGTTGTTCCTTTCCTGAAAAAATAATGTACAAATAATGTACAGCTGCCAAACAAGTATGAATAACAAATGTTTTGCCTACAGTGTGTATTTGTGTTTGAAAAGGGAACTTCTGCTTCTAACAAGGAAAGAAATTGTATTGCTCGTTGAGAATTTCCCTTCTTCCCTTCCTCTGATGTCTTGTTGCAGTGTTTTGATATTAACCAGAATTTTGTTGGCAGAGAGTGCTTTTCTTGTGCAAAAAAATTGTGATAGAATAAAAAAGGGGAATTTATTATGACTTAGTTTGTAATGCAGTGATTGTCACTTGTACATGTACAAGCCCTGTTTCATTATATGACTCTTGCTGTGTGCATTCACACTGAATGTGTTGTAGGATTGTATAGCAATTTTCTTATTTTTTCTTTGCACATGAAAATATGCAAGCTTTACAACCATATATGTATCTGGCTGAAAAACTGGGAACTTCCCACACTATTTGTATATCTTTCTGTGGTGCATTGTTATCAGGCAGAAAGGGAAGGCAGAATGTTATTCAAAATTACTCATCCAAAAATTACTATCCCACGGTTCTTTGGTTATCAATGATAATGATATGTATTAACAGTAAAAATAGGGAAGTATGACTAATTTTTGTAGAGTGTACAAGTGGGCTTACAAAATAGAAGTGCAGCAATTTTATTTGTGATTCCACTAGAGAGTAGTTTTGTGTTATCATTTGTAATTCATTTATTTGATTCTTTTGAGAGTTGAGCTATTAGATTCATTTGATTCATAAGACTTAGGTTAGAACTGTATTAAGTGCTCTTATAAAAGGATATTGTACAAATTTGTATACATATGTGTATGATCATGTAGGCATTTATCTGCAATAATGAACATACAGGTAAGACACTGGTCAGGATTGTAATGTTTTGATGAGTTATGTGCATTGAATACACAGTTCTACACATGTACACATGGACATATCAGTGTAACTATAAAACTACTTATTTTTCCTCTTTTTTTTTTAGAATTTAGGGTTGCCCTATTAAGGTTTGCTTTATTTACAGTGTGATTTTATCACAGTGATTGTTATGTACATACATTTTTTAGAGCTATTCTGGAGGTTTCCAGAGTTGAATTAGTCACTGTTCCTGTGTACCGATATTTCTCTCATTGATGTGCATACTTTTATATGGCACATTGTCCAGAATTTGCTTTTCACAGGCACATGGGAATCTTTTGACTGCAAGTACAGCATAATTACTCTGATATTCAAGAGGTTATGTGTACTGCTTTTAGATACAAATATGTTGTAACTTAAGTTATATCTATCAGGGAAGTTTAATTTCACTATCAGTATCACTTATCCATTAAGTTCACTATCAGTATCACTTATCCATTAAGTTCACTTCACTTCACAGTTCACTGTCTGCATAAAGATAAAAGTAGCAATTGTTCCTTTCCCTTACTTTAGTATGCTGACTCACATAGTTTGCTGTTTGTTTGCATTAACAGTGTCAGCAAGACCAACCCATGATGTCCCCTGGAACCATCACTGCTCAATCAACAAGGAATGGAGGCCTTGAATACCCAGAGAACAGACACTCATTCTCCCAAGGTCTTGATGCCAACGATGAGAGCCAGCTCATTGTTAACTCGGCCAAATCAAAGGGAAAGGAAGGCAAGAGGGCTCCGGACCCGGCAGAGAAACCAGATAAGACCAAACTGAGCAGGAAAGATTCCAAGAAAGAAGAGCGTGCCAAGGAGAGGGCAAGGGAGAAGGAAAATCACAAGCAGGAGTCCCCTGCTGTCTCCATCGTCCAGCAGCAACCAAAGGTCTGCCAATCTCCTCTTGCTGATATGAATCAGATTATGATGGACAAGAATGCAAAGGGACCAAAGAAGGAGAAGTCCGAAAAGGCAAAGTCGCCGAAGGCCCCCAGAGGTCGAGGTTCAGGGAGGGCTTCACCGAAGAGGGAAGGTAAGAAAGACAAGAGCTTCGACTTGGAGGGACTTCTTCCCGCTTCTAACCCAAAGGAGGATAGGTCTGTAGGAGGGCTCCATTTCTCACTGTCTGGAATGGGGACAACCGAAAGTGATGGATTGTTATCATCGACCTCACCCAACGTAGGCCGCAGCTCTGGTCTTTCTGGATCAATGCAGCATTCGACTGTGCCATCTCCACCGATGCAGCATTCTACTATGCCATCTTCACCTACACCATCTTCACCACCGGCATCAGCAGCTAGTGCTGAAAGTGATCAGGTAATTTGGGGGATATTTTTTTCATATCTGTTGGAAGGATTTGACACCAACAAAGTGCCAAAGATAGATCCTCTAAATACAGAATCACCACAGTATTGTTGTAATAGTTATTTCAATGTAAGAGATTGCAAGAACACCTTTATTTTGCAATACTTTTATCATATCTCCTTACATAAACATTTTACTGTGGAGCCCTACTGTACACTTGACGACAGTAGAGGTTATTATTATTTGTTTTAATTCTCACATAATATCTTTAATACACTGCACCAGTGAATCAGGAATGATAGCATTCATTTTGATCCACCTCTATATTGTATATTTTTGCTTGAAAAAATTGCAAAAACTTGCAAAAAGTTCATAAGTAAAAATACAACCTGCTACATGTATGTAATACTGGCTTTTACAGCAGATCAAATCAAATCAAAACATGTGACTCCAGTTACAATGAGGTGAGTCATAATATGTATCTCTAAAGACTTTAGTGATATTAGAATTAAGACAGGCTAATTATTTGGTTAATAACACACAAAGGTCATGCTCTCTTACACCAATGGTTCAGTCTAAAGAAGAAAAAAATGTTCTTTCCCCAAATAATACCAATAGTATTTTGTATGTAATTTGGTTCCTTGAGCCAATCTGACCCTCTCTCCACTTTTGGTTTCAACTGCAGGCTTCTGCCTCAGAAGGCGGAGGAGGAGCAGCAGCTGGGGAAGAAGAAGGAGCTGCCTTTGATTTCTTATTGGCATGGTAACTACTCATCTGTCGAACGACCGCTGGGACTTGATCAACGACGTGGAATCAAACCAAACAGTAACAACAATGGCCATATACATGTAAAGCCATGTCATGACCTCAGATACCGTTATTCATCCTATCTCGAGCTTTTTGGCCATGTTTTGCAATTTACATTCAAGCATCTGAAGTCTTTATGTGGCAAAATATAAACTTGCTAATAATTATTTGACAAATTTGTTAGAACTCAAATTCTGACTGATCAGCCATGTCTTAAATTTGGGCCAAAACGTGTATTATTTTGTATTGAGGTTTGGTTTTGCATGATGTTATATATATCTGAATTCTTGCCATCCGCAGATACTCTTCAAGGCAATTTTCAGCTGATTATGTAGAAGAATAGAAGAGCATTATCAAAACATTATATAATTGTTATCATTTGTCATTTATCATTGCACTACATTTTAGGAGACATCTTTTTTTGTTCTTTTTTGTTTAAATCTCTCTTTTGGAGAAAGTAGTCTCCTATGCAGTCTATGGGTAGGCAGAAAAACTAGGATTCAACTTGTACTGCTTTCTCAGTGGTGCTAAGTTGTAGGAAGCCATTCAAGTTTAATCATGGTGCACTCTGGTAAAAGACATTGGACAAGTAAATCCTGTTCCCCTATGAATCATTGCAAGTGTTCATAATCTGCCGGTATTGTCCAGAAACCCAATGGGTGCTAAATATTTCAGGATTAAGGCCGCCTCTCATGGTACAAGAAAAGAACATCCTTGAGCTGTAGACTAAATTGATCACAAAATGAGTTTTCTATCTATTCTGTCATTGAAAGAATGTAAGATCTGCATAACCTAGGTTCCAGCAGAACTTTGCATATAGCAGGGGGTTTTAGAACAAAGTTTGCTTTGGTTGTGTGAGGCATTGGGACTATAAAAACTAAGTAGCTGCAGTCGAGGCTAATATGCTATCTTTAGAAATTGTTTGGGGGTTTTCAGGGGGAGGGGGGGGGGGGGATTTTTTTTATGGAAACCTGACCAGATGTGCTCATGAGAGAAGGACTGGAGGGGGGGGGGTTCATGTAGCATAAGAGGTTCACCAAAAAAAGTAAGAAAGACTTATCACTACCATCATACATGGTATATTACAAACAAAAATATGGCTTCTGCCAGTGGTCATTTTTGTAATTGCACTATGCTCTTCAATTCGAAATACATTGGTCAAAAATGAAAAGTAATTATGATTTCTGGTTGTAATGACAAATATGATCTCACAAAATCAAAGTAAAGTACATTGAATGTTCCAGACTACAAAGAAAGAAATCTGGAAATTTATTTTGGTATAAGATGTGATTAATACGCAAAGACAGATAACAAACTTAGGCTAGTAGTACCAACTATGTGTATGACATGCAGTCTCTATTGAGAGATGTGAGTTATATACCCTTTGCATTGAGTTTGATATCAAGCAATTTCTTTTTTTGTTTAATATGTGTATAGTTTACAGCTTGATAAACTATTCAGATTTGCTTTTAAGTCATTTTTCTTGAAACGCAATGCAATTTCGAGAACTAGAGATTATATTAATCTCAGGATTATCACCATATGAGTCAGTTCTTTATCCATGTAATCTGCAATATTTAGATTTGTACACAATGCCTATAGTTGACATACTACCTTTGTTAACAAACGCTGCAAGTATCTCGATGTGAAATATCATAAATGCATTGCAAATGGCTGTCAAAGTGTTGAAAGTAGTGTTTTGGCTACATGTATTTGTGGAAAAGAATTCAGTTTCATGTATTCGGTGGCAAAAAAAAACGTATTCTATTTCTGCCTTGCATACATATATGCAAGATAACTAGTGCTATATTTCTTTGCTTTGTAAAGCAATATATTCAGGCCTAATCTGCTACTAAAACCAAGGAGATGCATGTAAATTGTTGCAATTCAATACCGTAAGCTGTTTTCATTAATATTTTATGCAACACTCTAGTTTTGCTACTAGATACATAGGTGATTTCAGAAAAATTGTGCATAAAACTTGGTTGGTTTAGTGCAGTATTTAGAGTGGGTCTGCAATATGATTGTGTCTTATACTGTACCTTAGTCACACCGACACCAAATTGACTACAGACGGAACGAAAATATTACATTACATCTATGGCTAAGACTCGGTCGGTTTATAGTCGCTCTAACTGGGGTTTGAGTTTTCGGTTCATGTTTAATTGTATTCATATGAATTGTTCATACCGGTATATAGATAGGTATTGTTGCATGTAGGTCCTTTATGCTTGTGATAGCTCATTCATCTCCTGCACTCTTTCTATTTGGCAGCTTGGAAAATATTTTTGCTTAATCCAAAGCTGATGTACACTGTAACATTTCAATTTGGTTATTCTCTGTGAAAAAGAATCTCCAAAACAAGAACCCCATCAAATTGGTGCAAAATCTTTTGTTTTGGTTAATGATTTGTCCCCAAGTAAGTTACACATGCAACCTAAAGTAATATTATTTGAGGGGCCTTCCTTGAACATTTAAAAATGGTTGCATACACAATGTTATTTACAATTACAAATATTTATTCCCAGTCAAGTGCAGTCTATTAAGCTTATTTGAATGTGAAGGAGTTATGAATACCATTCCCGAACATATGCATGGTAAATTAAAATTATTTACCAGGAGGAATAATGTAAGTGGTCAAATGAAGGAAATTGTGAGAGACCATTGTTATGTGAGCTCTGTTAAATAGATTGTATTCAAACAATTAGCCTCTATTTTTATCTTTAAGTTTGTTTACCATAATGAGTTGTATTGTGGAGCACCAGGAGTGTCAAGTCTGACAGACTTGAGTGCTTTACAAGAACTCACTGTCATTATTATTATATTAATTATAACTTGAATGGAAGTTTATTCATGTTGCATTCATGCCTGAATGTATTCAGGAAGCTCTTAGTGTGCCAAAAGTATTTATTTATTCATTTATATATGTCTAGTTTATGACTGTGTTATGTCTTGGCTGCAATCTAATTTTATAGGCATTGTGCATGTTCTTAGATACAGCATGAAGTCATCTGTTGTTTGTGTATTCTTAGTTATTTGCTCTATATTTGTCTACCTTTTGATATATTATTATTGTTTAGTGATTATTCAGCTTTTATATGTTTGATTGGTCAGGTTTTGGAGTAGCACCAGTGGTGTAACTATAGGGGTATGAGGAAGAAAAAAAGGGGAGGGAGGAGACAGGGGAGAAGGAGAGGCATTGTATAAAAAAAGATGATATGACCCCCTCCTACAACCCAGTTTTGTTTACCGTAACCCCCCCCCCCCCTTGACGCCATTGTTCCTTAAGTGATTGGAACTTGGACCTATGCAATGCCACTGGGTAACACCCAACTGTTAAGTAGATTATACAAGCTCACACAGAGTCTGGGCTATTCAGCCTCTTGGTTGATACAATCTGGGGGTTTCCCCCTCGTCTCAATAAATTCGGTTTTAGGTTCAGAGCAAAATCTGTGCTAAGTACATTGCAGACTAATAAATTTTCTTTACTCATCAATGAGTTAATGTTGAGAGGGGGACAATGTCAAATGCGACATAATTCTCATGTTCCGCCCTCCTTGTTTATGCATGTTATATTTATAGATTATAAAGAGTATTCAACAGTTTCCTTTTAGTATTACTATGTATTCACGTCACGTTTAGCATCATTTAAATTCATGAAGTTTATTTTACATAAATTTTCCCTGATGCAAAATTTTATTTGAATGTAATATACAAATGTTTTCTATAAATGACAAGCTGTGTGCTTTATAAACCATGTTAAATAGATATTTAATATGATTTTTTGTTGTTAAATAAATCATTTCATCACAACGAAGTTAAGGAAAATAAAATTTGTGTAGTATTTCAATGGTTCTGACAAGTTAACCATTGAAATACACTCACCCAAAAATGTAAGTTCCCCCCTGACATTATTTTAGTATAACTCGAAAAATACTTTTAAGAATTAATCTATACAGATGCTAGACTAAACCTTGTGTCGAGTCGATCTGTTGGTTTCAGGAATTTAAATAGATTTGATGCACATTAGAATGAAAGGCAAAATACAACTTTTTTTTCGTGGAGCTACGTCTGCTAGAAAAAACATGATTTCATAAATAATCAGATATAGATAACCAATCAAAATGTTAGTAATAAATTCTGCTTACATTTCTCCTTAAATGATCAAATCTAGTAAAATATTTCTCGAGTTCTATTAAAAGCATCTGGAGGAAACTTACTTGTTTGTTGAGTGTATTGGTAAATAATATTTGTACTTTGAAGACTTGAAAGTGACAATCTTCAGATCATGACATGTTTTCTTTGAAGTAAAAGATGATAACTCAGAACATTATGTTTAAGTTGAATGTATGTGCCACGTCAAAAATCACTTTGAGGTTAACTCTTTCTCTTATCTATATTGTTGGAAATTTGTTAAATCTAGAAGTGAAAATGTTAGTGTCACCATTTTCAGAAACTTCACAGAAAAAGACATGGACTTTTGAAGATACCATGAGCATTTCTAAGTCTACATGTCTATCTAAAAAACAAAACTTATTGAAGTTTTACATGATAGTGAAAAGCTAAGTATAAGTATCATCCAGGAATTTTGCCCGATGAAAGAAGGAGTCAGCTTCGCCAGATGTGTGTTTTTTCTCTTTTCATCTGAAAGTCATTTTGAAATTGCTGCAAACAAAAATTGTGATGCTTAGTGGGTCCTTTTACTCTTACCACACTCATATTCTGAAGAAGTCTTATGCAGGCTTAACTTGATGTAGATTTCCTTTATTTTCTGGAAGGGGAGGTTTTGGGAAAGTGTTTTGCCAAATGGTTTGTGCAATGTTTCTTGAAGTTCATTGTGAAATTTTGAAAATGGGCAAATTTAAGATTTATGTGGGTTCCTTATAATGATAAGATTATCTTTGATATATTTAAAAATATGTTATTTCTTGTTTTTTGTATTAATATGGGTTGGGTGGGATAATCTTGAGTATCCTTGACATGTTTTTTTGTATTGATAAATATTTCTACCGACTTGTTCTTCAAAGTTGAATTATATTATGCATTCTACTGCGTGTAGAATTATATTGTGCAAGCAATTTTTTTTATTTCTGATAAAAAGTATGCAAAAATGTCCTGCTTTAGTTTACGTACACGTACATGTATTTCAGTTGTGTCGATCGTTTAATGTTACAAACCTATATTAGAATAAATATAATTGTTATTGTTTGTACTTCTTGTGTCTTATTTGCCTTGTATTATTACCTTTGTTAGTATTGATATTTTAGTGGTACAGTACACTATGTACTTTGAGTTCGCTTTTAGCTTAAAACTGCTAAATACTTGATGGATTTTTTTATCTCTAATACCCCATTCTCATGGGTTTTTTTTTTTCATGGATAAAAGCGTGTGGTGAGAAAGACCAAGGAATGAGAAAAGGAGAAAGAAAAAGAAAATGGAGAATGGAAAGAATAGAAGAGGAGAGAGAGAGAGAGAGAGAGAGAGAGAGAGATTAAGAAAGGGAAGGGTTGAGAGTAAATTTGGATGAGGAGAGAGAAAGAAGAGTAATAATCTTCAATTTCATTTAGGAGGATCTGATGTATACATAAATATATAACCTTACATAACCCTAAATGGTACATTAACAGGACATACTAAAAACTGGTATATTACCCTAACCCTAACCCTTAATTCAAAACAATATAACCAATTAAACTAATGAATAACCCGATTGTTTCTTGGGAGGTCTATAAGTTTCCTCTACCTGCAAACCTACGTAGAGGGCAGTAATTGTATTGTTCAATGGACATAAAAATGTCCTGCTAACGACCATAGTCTTCTTAATGACTATTTTTTTATACTTCACATATGTCTTTCTTATGAGGCTGTACATATTGATAATTAATCAAAGTATATATGTATGATTATATTAGGATGTGGGTAGTGTTATAATCATTATGAACCCCATGTATGGATATGATTGTGATATGACATTATGTCGAGCATGATATCGATATTGTATTGCACTCATTAAATTAATTTCAACTCCCCCCCCCCCCCCCTCCTTCCGTTTACCTCTTTCAAACCATGGACCTACTACGAATAGTACTAGTAGGTCCATGTTCAAACCCGATCTGGATATTCCTCTAAATAAAATTGAAAGAAAAAAAATAGGAAGATAAAAAGAGAAAAGTTACATGTAATTTCTCCCCCCCCCCTTTTTTTTTGGGCCTGTAATCTGTCAGAGATACATTTCGGTAAAGTGCTCCCCCCCCCCCCTTTACATAATATTTCGCCCCCCCCCCCCCCTCTTCCAACATTCGATTTGATTTTTCTTTTGCAACTATGACCAGAGTTCTCATATTATCAATATCAATTTACTAATTATATGTCGCCATAACGACGACCCTAAGTAGATTACTAAAGTACGCCACACGAGAAAAAAATCATTCGACCTACTTAAAAACATAAAACATGCAGTGGGAATGACGATTTTCAAATTAGTACATGCTTTTATATCAATTGCAGCCGCTGTAATTAGCGAATGTGTCTAATCGTGGAATATGGAGTCACTGTGCTTTAAATGGACATATTCCAGCATAGGTCCGATATGAGATTCAATTCTAATTAGTCATTTCCAAATCCCCCTAATTAATTAAATAAACATACATTCTAATATAACATTGATAAGAAAGTCACGGAAGCGTGAACGCGTATATACTAATACTTTTTATAATTATGTTTTTGGTGCATTATGTTCAATGCGGTTTTGATATACGGTTAGATTGGCAGGAATGTTGTATGGTATTTTTCGTTTGTTGCCACTGTCTAAACAGGCTCCAAACAAATCGAAAGATAGATTTGAAATGACTGTGATAATGTATGTCAATATGTTTCGACTTAATAAACTTAATTGAAATCCAACCTTTAGTTTTGGTTGCAATAAATAAATAATGATAATAATAAGTGCACGAAAGAAAAGAAAGTGTATCTGCATGCATGTCTTAACTCAGCTATAGCCTCGTAGTTTTTGTATCGCCTTTCAGGAAAATTATAAATATTCAAATTGTCATCTTCAACCTTATCCCTTTAATTTGGTCTTTTCTCGCCTTTTTTCTTATTCACCTACCATTGGGGGCTCGTGTCCTACTTTAATCAACCAATCAATCATTTAGATTGGGAATGAATTCGTAGAACAAATAATGATAGTTTTAGAGGTTTAGACCCTTGGACCAGAAACGTTAACATCTCGTACCATGCAAATACATAATAATTTGTTATTCCAGCATCCTCTTTTACCTCTTTCTCGTTGAATTTTGTTTAAATTATTATTTAAGTATACAATATAAGAAGGGGTAACACTCTTTAACAATATGAAACATTGATCATTGTTTTTAGATTTATACCTATTAGTCTCTACGTTGATACATTAACATAACATTGTCATTATGCGCCCCCTCCCCTGACTTTGAAACTGCCAATTTAGTGGACAACTGTTGCGTCATAATTCGGACAGCAATTTATGTGACCTTCGTGTAATTCTTCGGATCTTAAACATCGACCCGCAAAATACGACAGCCCCTATGAAATTATTTTCCTGGATAAGATGATAATATAATGATCTAAACTCCCTTTGGCCTGTGTTAAAAAGAATTGTGAGCGTTTATTGATTATGGGTTGGATACCATAAGACGTTGAAAATAAACACTTTCGTCTGCTTCGATTGGAGCAGACACAATAATGGAAAGTTTAGTAAGACGCAGCAACCATCAACCGCGAGAAAGACAGGCCTTCTCGAAGTGACTCCCTATATATTATAACACTGCTTTATATTTTTAACAGATCAACGCCCAATACGTGCTGGGGTGCAGTGTGTTGCTACGGATACAACTGCACAAAACAACCGGAGGGGTATTCAATGCCTGTATAACCTCGTCAATAATTCTGCCTCGGTAACAAAAGCATGACCAAGGGGGGAAAAAAGGGGACCCCCAATCAAGCCGATTTGAGCTTCCAATACAATAGCTTAAGATAAATTGGTAGCAATTGTTGCTCACTGAGCTGTATATACAGGGGCACCGCACAATCGATTATGTTTTTAACAACTTTTACGACGTAGACGTCTTGGATCTACTGGTTAGACAACAAGGACTGAGTCGCAAGTCTTAAGAAAGACACATCTTTAGAAGTAGCAATGAGAAAACTTGTATCCTGACTCTCACCTTCCTGCTTGGACATAGCAATCTTTTTTTTAAAACTCTGTTAAGTCAATACGGGGAAGTTTGAAAGTTTTGTACGGGAGGAATGACACAGCGATTCATTTAAATAGGATTTTGTGATGGACTGGAATAGGAGTGAAGTCGTGTTATCATCGCGGCGGTGAAACTTACTTGTTAAAGCTTGTATCGACCAGGACCAGCGTACACGGACGTTCATACTTAAAAAGAGCCTGTTCGTGATTTTAAGGGAACTTAAGGAGGCAGAAATTTGGACGGCGTTCACTACCAGACTATCAAATTAGACAGAGTTTTCCATTAGAAGTATTAGAGGAAAATAAACTGGTGCAATGGGTTTCATTTCGTTTGCCAAAGGCTTTTTGGCCCGACTTCTCTTCGCCATACACGGGGTTTTAGCAACATGGCAAGTTTCCAGCGTGTATACTTCACCGATCTACTACGTTTTGATGGCGCCTCTAATCGTTCTACTTATCGAGATGGGGATAACTTTCAAATGTACTGAAAATGGAGAATGGAAATGGTAAGTCGCGAATAGACACTTGGTCAAATTGAATTTAATTACATCTGTTCACCACTTTCATAAAAAACATGCAAAGCCAAAAATACAAAACAAGATATCTTGAATAGTTTTTATAAGCAGATGTTTCAAAACATTTTTACCAAATATTCAAATAACAATAATAATGTATAGTATGAAAAATTGATTTACATAAATGTGACAACTGAAATACACAAAAAATGCATATACACTGGATATATAATTGAAAACTAGAAAGTATTGAGGTAAATCAAAGAATCAAGGTAAATGCGGAGGCCAACTATATCATAAGCTGTAATGCTTGATTCGATAGCAGGACAATAACATGAACAAAACTAAGCAAAGGATTTACCAAGTGGTTTAATCGTCAAAGAGTTGTACCAAAATCCAATAGATATTACATAAAATGCAAACGAACTAAAAAAGACAAAATATTAAACTATGACCATTGCAAACCATTGATAACTAACATAAATAACCTGTATAATGGTGTGCATGGAGGATTATTTTGCAATAATTTTTCTTACATAATGTTTATCACGGACGAGTTGCACTTGGTAAGAGACACTGATCATAATAGCAAGAAGGAAGATATTTTTTTTAGGTGATTATAAAACCAAATATGCTCAAAGTACCAGAACTAAAATCTGAGCTTCCTCACTTTGGAAAACATAAAGTTAATTTTTTCAGAGTTGCAACATTAAGACTCTCTTGCGGCACTTTTCAATTATTTCAATGACTCCTCTTCCCTTGCGTTCATTTTATTTCACATTTTTCCCGTTAACGTTGACAATAAAACAAATATGTCTTTAATCAATTACACCTCGCAATTATCTTCACCCTTTTTATAACATTAGAATGGATCAAATCCGCTCAGTTTTGATATACGATAAACTGAAAACTATATATTCAACCCAAACGACAATTCTTGAGATGTGTGATCTGCCTGATAATTTATAAGCAACATAAAATATACAGAAAACAAACATGAAATGAAGGTATAGCGTAATGAAAGAAACAAAAAACGTAATTGTTTGACCAGGCAGGAAATGTTATAAGATGGCAAGTTATTTAAAAGCTTTGGAGTACTAGTAGGCCTAACATGAATTCAATGAAGTTCAAGAAATACTCTATTTTGTCTAGTAAAATGGTCAAATTCGCGATAATTCGATCAAATATATAAGTCTCATTATATTATGTAAACGATATATTCTTTAATACCTAAAAAAAAAAAGATATTGATATGCATGATAAATGCGCGAATATAATTTGCTATCTTTTATGATAGTTTCGATTTGAAGGTTTAGACCTGATTTGTCTCGTGTGAACTCGTTAGCAGTAATGGCTTTTATGATTAACTTTCCCACGGTCTCCACACCCCGCCCCCCCCCCCCCCACTCAGTGTTATTTAGGGTACGCGTATGCTTGTTCCCTCTTTTTGAAAGCACCCCCTATCTGAGTGTTGCCAATATTTCCGAACCCCCCTTTCGCGGGCTTTTCCTGCCTTGGAGACCCCCCTAAATCCTGAAAAATGCTCAATGTACCCCCCTAAATTTGGAATAATTTCTCAGGAGTCCAAAGAGATGAGAGGGAAAAAAAAGAAAAAACACCCCCTTTTTAAAGAAATCTCCGGGTGAAAAGTTAATACACCCCTTTTTTTTTTACAATTCTCGGGCAAGACTTTGTCGCACGAAAAGTACCCCTTTACCGGAAATTTTGGTAACACGCATGGGGTCCGTCCGTTCTCGGAGTGGGGGGGGGGGGGGGCTCCACACTAACCTCGATATCAGAAACACTAGGATCTACCCCCCCCCTCTCTCTCTCTCTCTCTCTCTCTCTCTCTGTATTTTGTATTAATATTATTTCCATCTCTCCAAATCTCTTTTTATCTTCCCCTTTTTTCTTTATTTCTTTTTCTTTCTCTCTTTATTCCTCGTCATCTCCCTACGCCCCCTTTCTTCTGCGTATCTCAATTATTGTTTAAATTACTATCAATTGAGTTCCCTAATATTCAGACTATATACACTTTTACTAAAGACAGAATATATCAATGGGATATTACGTCATCTGGACTCGTTGGTCAACATCATATTGACTTGAACTCATTTTTAAATCAGTCATTTTAAATCAAAATGAAATTTCAGGTGACATTTTGAAAATGTTATCAGTGTAATCCTGATTCGGTTGGCGTGCTCGAAAAACCACTCCAAAACACTCCTCTCAACTTGAGGAGTCAAGAACCAATTGATTATCGAACTGCATGGCAGTTATTCGAGAACAGAAATCTCCGACGAGATGGTATCTTACGTCTTTTCTTCTTAATTCTCGCATAAATTATCATTATCAATTATTGTAGTGTGTCATGTTGTGACGTCACACCCACCCAAAAGTCGAAGGTCTTTCATCGCACGTCTTTCCCAACCCCCAAAAGTTACAGTCCAAAACAGCTATCTATTGTGAAACATACCACCGCGTTGAATATTCAATGGCTTGCACGATGGTAAGCATGGTGAGGGTGTATCAACCGATCGATCGATTCCACGTTCTTGCCTATTCTTAATAGGGATAAAGCAGGATGGAGGGATTAAGAATGGCGTCATGAAAGGCATTGATGAACACGGGCATGGTCCTGCTATTTGTGAGCCCGTTACCGTGGTCCCGATCGATATCAACCCGACATGCTCCATAAATAAAATATGACCCAAATAAATGTTCGGAAACTATCTTATAGCGGCGTCTCGTTTTTTTTTTATTTTAAAAGGTAATTTTCAGGAATGTCTACAGAGTGTATGTGTGTGAGTGGGTGTGTGTGGGGGGGTGTCCATTTTCCCCTATAAATTCCAAAATACGTTTATAATATATATATAGAGAGAGAGAGAGAGAGAGAGAGAGAGAGAAAGAGAGCGAGAGAGAGAGAGAGTATATAGGCTCACATCGGCTATGTAAAGTTTTATCCCACTAATACGTAGGGTGTCCTTTTTTCTTCACACTTGCATCCCCCTATGAAAACGCAATCTCAAGCATGCTCCATGAATGGACCTCATTCTTTTTTTTTTAACTTAGGATTCCTTGCCCTCACTTCCACACCTACCCACAAAATATAAAGGACCTGTGAATTCTTAGCAATAGCTCATCGACTATTAAAGCAAACCATTTAGGAGCAAAATAAATACCCCGATGTCCTCAGACATTTTGAAATATACAATAATGGTCAATATTGTCTATCGAGAGCTCAAAGGGTATACGGACTATAGGTACAGAGGTAAAGATAACAATTAGATTATCCATTCCATTAGCAAGTTTCGTATTTATGTTATGGTATGTGAAAAATTGATTTGTCCAGATCTATATTTCTTGAGGATGTGGCATACTAAAGCTTACATCTATAAGTATTCAACAAAGGCCCTAATTCAATCAGTCCACCTATCATTCTTGAGCTATGAAAAAGCACAACAAACATCAAATTGACAAGGGGTATGAATAATTACTTGTTAAATGTAATAAATGAACGCCCTTTTGGTTCTCTGCATGCGATACTTCAGTATCTCTAAGTTTCAGAAAAGTGAGAAGCAACAATATATATCAACAAAGAAGATTGACATGAAATAATGACCATTTATCATGATTTATCATGTCTATGATGAACAATATTACACCAATCTTCTAACTATTCTTTTCAAGTGAGAACTGTTGATTCCTATGGCACATAGTCTATCATTAGACCTAGTCAATACCAGTGCCGTTGCTGGGATGAGAAAGAGATCAATATCTTGTATTCCTCCAGAATATAAGCTTAAAATAAACGAGAGAACGAAAAAGAGAGATAGAGAGAAAGAGAGGAGGAGTGGCCCAACGTGGAAAGAATATTATAAGCCCATTCCCAATTTCTCACATACCACTCTTTGACAAGCAGGATAAATCGTCTGCCCAGGCACCCCCCCCCCCCCCCCCCATACACACACACACTAAGCGATTTCGCATGCTCTTGGTCACATTTCTCTGATTCTTTGAAAACACTTTATCAATTTCTTTCTCTTTATTTCATCTTATATTATTGATCTTCTCAACAAGTTTTCTGAAATGTGCATGCTGTTAAAATAATATCACATCCCTTTATCAAGACATTTGAATTCAAATGTCCAAATTTTCCCCTTACTGAGTACAAGACAAAATTAAAGCTTCAGTTTGTGAAAAGCTGTTCCTCATTATAAAATTGTCTTTTGATTTTGTTGTCATGGTTGTATGTGTCTTTCTTTAAAGTTTATATTTATACACAAATATGCCTACGTACAATCTTTATGTTATCATCATATTAATTATCAACCTCTACAAGACAACATTATTTATCGATATTATTGTTATTGCCTAATCTTGGTTTTGTGAATGGGTGAATAACAGTACGGTATATTTTAGTATAAAATAGGGATTAAAAAGTGGCCACTGTCGCATACTAGTGGTATCACGAGTTTAAACTGTTCTTCTCTCACGATTTTCGTTTCCCCCTTCCTCAATTTTCTTACCAATTTAGGATGAGTCCTTCGGTGCTTTTGTACCTCATGTCAGTCGTCCCTGGTCTATGGTTCCTTCAGTTTGATCTCTACAACACACGCATAGCTTACAGAGACTCACAGGGATGGGAGGAATGCTCTTCGGAGACCGTCTACAATTCATCATCACTTAATGAAGTACAAGGGGTAAGTCCTATCAAGGTCATGTGTATATCTGTGTAAGATGTCCGCTGCACACAAAGGCGTCATTTACCCTGACGTACAGGACGGCGTCAGTGACTATTCTGATGTTTGACGCACCCCCTGCAGGGAGTGACGTCTGCTTATACAAACTGATTAAAGCTAAAATTCTTTAAATTACTGGTCTATGAGCAAGTTACCTTTCTTTACTGATGTTTCATGTGCAACAGGCATAAAGAATCTCTCTCTCTCTCTCTCTCTCTCATTTAAATTAGTTCCATTGTGACGCAAAGCAGTAATTTCTGCAGCCAAGTCTTGATGACGTAAACATTGCACAATGATGTATGGTATGCAGGTTCCTTAGTTTGTTAAGAATGTTTAGTATTTCTGACTTTAAATTTTGTCTTTTTCCAGGTCTCCATCCCCGTTGCATTCTCATCGAATGAATGGGAGCTCATCCTGCAGCAGACCCTCCTGTTACTGCTCATCCTCGGCCGATGGCTTCTCCCAAAGGGCGACATCACACGTGACCAACTCTCCCAGCTTCTCCTGGTATACATTGGTATGGCTGCCGACATCTTGGAGTTCAACCTCGAAAGCTTGAAGGACGAGAAAGTCTTCTGCGACGTCGTCCTCATCATCTTCATCCTGGGGATTTGGAGCTGGAGCTTGTTGCAGTTCAGTTTGGTGCTGACGTCGGTGGCCGGGAAGCGGCGTCGGGCCGTCCTGCAGGATGGGAGCAACAGCTGCTCCGCAGAATGCTGCACCTGCTGTTCATGCTGCCAGAACGAGATGTGGTCCATGATGGTCACCCTGATCATGCAAGACGGTCCGTTTCTGGCCATGCGGCTCTACCTGATGATAGAAGTAAAGATCTTCAGTATCATGATGGTCTTCTTCACTTGTAAAAACATTCTTGTTATCCTGCTCCAGTTCTACCGTATGATCATCCTCTGTGGTCAGCCGAGCAAAGTAGAGCCTGAACCTGAAGAGAAAGAGGAACCAAAACATTCCCGTGAACAGAGCAGCGCCGGCCCACCTGATGCTTTCGTAGTCGTAGATAGTTCTTGATAAGCTGGACAGCCTAGATAATTACCCTTGGTTTAATACTAACAGCTTTACAGACTGCATACTAAGACAATGTTATGCTAGTTCGAAGCTGTTATTGCAGAATGGTATAATTGAGTCGTCAGGTTCTCTGATGACAGTCGAGGTTTCCGCATAGAAAACTTTAGGCATTTGCAAGGAGAAAGGCGGTTTGGAAAGATAAAATTGTCAAATATTCATGTTCTTCTTCTGCAGTTTCTTTCTTTCACCAATTTGTTTTATAACTGAGTGTGATTTCGTTTATGTTTGCGTGTATATTTTATTACACTTAACTTCTTTTCATTACAAACGTGAATTTTTATTGATATATTTTTTACGCTTATACACACAAATTCACCTGGATTTAAAAAAATGCATTTTAGTGATTAACACACATTATGAAGTGAGAGACTCAAATACTCCTTTCTTTATTGTGGTACATGACATGTCATATCTATGTGTATTTTTGTTTAAATAGACTTTTCGTACAATCAAATGCTATACTCTGTGAGTTTCGAAATACGATTGTGTTCATGCACATAGACGGGTTATGAGATATTATGAAGATGGTTGCATATAATGTGCCTTTTAATATTTAATGTCTTCTTACGAATAAAGTGTTTTTTCAGTACTTACGTGGAGGTTTAGTCTCCTCTAAGACTCTTTGCATTCATGACCTAAAGTAAGAAACCCACTCTAGTGACGTTACACACATTATAAGCATATTTGAAAATGTAACATTCGGATTCGAGATAATTAGGTGTAATAAGTGCATATTTACAAACTAGTTTTTTTTTTAAATGAAGAAGACGTTTGGATTTGAAAGATATTCTTATAATGGTTATGCGTGTTTTTCTTGTAATTCAAACATGGCAGTGGGATTCGAGATATTGCCACGATATAGGCGTAAAAAGCACCTGTCTATTCCTGTAAAAGAGAACGTCGGAGAGAATCTTATGTCGTTAAGCGTTTTCAAAAAGGTACTATCTAATCGTATTCTTCCTCAAACCTAATATCGCTTAACCACAAAGTATAAACAATAACCACTCCCCTTTCAATTAAACAAAACCAATCCTTTCTGGTTGCCTTCTAAGTTTACTGATATTCTGTGTACTTCGGTGTGTGATTACTCGTGTAAATACTTTTTTTTTTGTGTACGGACGAAATGTGAAGAAAGACTCTTTAATGTAAAATATGAGAAATGTATATCTGTACTAAAAGTATGTGTTGATTTCTGTCGTGTATCTGTGTCGTCTTGCCATGTGCTTTCTTTCAATTATTCATTAAAAAAACATGAAATTCTTTAAGAATCAGGTCACATCAATCAGAATGGTGGTTATGATTCGCAGCCTATATAGAAGGTCTTTATTAATTACTAACGGAATGCAACAGTTTTCGTGATAATTTATGCCTAATCTGAGCATTTCAGTATTGCCACTAACACCATTTTTTACTTTGTGTTTACATCATGTATTGTTAGCTTTCTTTACCAAAAATATGTTATTGCCACCTTGATTCACTCAAACAGAACATGTTTGTATATATTTTATGTATTAAATATATATCATATTTGTATAAAAGTTGTGGCTGTCTTTTTCTTGATAATGAGTTAATACAGAGGGTAATGGGAATGTATTAATACACTGAATCATTATTATGTTCACTTATACCATGGTACAATTTACACAAATATATCAAATAGTCACAGCTTTTAGTCAAGGATAGAGAGGGAGGGAGAGAGAGAGAGAGAGTGAGAGAAAGAGCTTTTGAAGATATATATGTTTGCGAAAGAGTTATAGAGAGGTGAGACGGGGAGAGTCGGTTGGTTAAGATATAATAATTATGAAAAGAGGAGAGGAAAAAAGAGAACGGATGAATAGAAGAGAAACACAGACATATATTTTTAAGAAAGACGGAGAGACAGAGGGGAGTGTTTAGAGGACCACAAGATATATTCCATTACAAAAATAGATAAGTAAATGCAATTCAGCAGTACCTGCATTATACTAAGGAAGTCGTTACACGCGTCTTGATACCCATGGTATAAAGAGATACCTATCAAATAATTCAGATCTTCCTGATCACCTAGCTTCAAAACGTTCATACTTTCTACATCCCTTGGTTGAACATCTGAATATCATTGGTACATCCTAAATAGAAGGGGAAAAATGATAGACGTGCCCCAGTGGCGTATCCACACTTCGGACCTAGGAGGGGGATAAATATCTCAGGTTAGATGTTACGGCTATTGATATCAGTTACCACATACAGACCCATCACCCTCTTGTCATAAGTTTGCAAGAAAAGTATCGTAACCCACTATGTAGACATCACTTTCGTGCATGCCGCGGAGGTCACATGATGACCGAACAGAAAATATTTGACAATAAGTCAATATTTTGTGTCTTCAAGAAAAAAAACTTATAATCATAGATTTACAGATGATTTCGTAACTATCTGAACATTTGGGCGCCCCTTTTCTTGATGACATCGATATCTGTCGGTGTGTGTGGGGGGGGGGTGTAAACTGCCCCCCCCCCACACACACCTCCTTCAAAAACGCTAGTTAACGTTTCAATTTAATAATTGTAAACTATAATGATGAATATTTTGTCGCTCACTGGTTCCTATATAATATCACACATAATTTATAGGAATGCTAACATCTTTATAATGATATAGGCTGACCATATAGAATTATGTATTTGTAATTATATCTCTATGAGACTGATGAATGTGTATAATTTATGTAAACACAACGCATTTGCTACCCAGGTAGCGATGTAGCTATAATACACACAGGCGCGTACGCAGGATTTTTTCAAGGGGGGGGGGGGGGGGGGGGGGGTTTAACATTTATAAATCGGGCCGAAAATTTCGCAACGACTCAGCCAGCCGCTGAATAAGCGGGGGGGGGGGGGGGGGGGGGGGGGGGGGGGGGGGGGTAAGAGGACACTTTTTTTTTTTTTTTTGGTCTCGAAATTTGAAAATTTGACATTTTGCTCCGTTGGGGGGGGGGGGTAAGGTCAGCTTTTTTAGGTCAACCATGGGAATTTTTTTTTTTTTTTTTTTTTTTTTTTTTTTTTTTTAAATCCTAAAGGGGGGGGGGGGTTTTAGAGAAATTTAGGGGGGGGGGGTTTACACACAAAAAATTACCAAAGGGGGGGGGGGTTTAACCCCCAAACACCCCCCCCCCCCCCCCCCCTGTGTACGCGCCTGAATACACATATAATTATTAATGTGCTAATCAATCTACGTGTACGATTGTAACACAAAATGTAAAACGGGATATATCATTTTGAGATTGTAAGGCAGATGGGGAAAAATGAGATTAAGGAGTATTATTTGATGAGATGCCCAAAATGCATGTCCGATGATGTGATTCGCAATACTCTGGCTAACGCTGTTGGATTAATAATTCATGAAACAGTAGCACTTGAAATGATGAATGATAGTATATTGATGCTGATTAAATGAATTTCAAACCCATCCGCATGTAGACAGGGGCGGCCGAGCGACTTCCAAAGTGGGGGGGCACCAACAAAAAAGGGCACTTTCTGGAAAAAATGGGCACCTACAGTGGAAAATCTCAAAGCGAAAATATTTTTTAAAAATAGACATTGGTATATACCCCTACATTGTGATTAAATTATCAGGGATGATTTCAATATTTGTTTCTCTTCATACATCATACAAGATATCGCTTAAGCATCATACTTTACAGTTGGGTGTGATGTCTGAATATGCATTTACGAGCGAGCGAAGCGAGCGAGAACATTTTTAAAGATCTGTGAGGTCGCAGTGCGAAAAATTACATCTTATAAAGAGGAAAAAAAAGCCAATCGTGATGGGGTTATAAGCACATTCTCATAACGGAAGACTGAAAAGACCTTTGATAAGTAACATAATTATATCATCTTTAAATGCGAGCGAGCGCAGCGAGCGAACTTTGGGGAAATTGCTCTTAGTCGCTTTACATAAGGGGCACGTTTAATGATTACATGAAAAGGGGACAATTATCGAAAGGGATAAGACACTTATTAGAAAAGAAAAGGAGCACGTGTCAAAGTACAAAGGATAATTATAAGAGGTGAAAATGAGGCATTTTTTTTCACCTGAAAAGAGGCACTCACCAGTGATGAAAAAGAGGGGTTTACGAAAATGGGAAATAGGCATTTTTTGACGGAAAAGGGGCACCCATCAGATTTTGATAGGGGCATTTATAAGAGGTAAAAAGGGGATAGGTCCCTTATTAGAAAGTAAAAGGGGCACGTATCATTATTAAAAGGGGAATTATCAGAGTTGAAAAAGGGCACTGACCAGATATGAAAAGGGGCACTTATGAAAATGTAAAAGGGGCACTTATAATAAAGGAAAATATGCATTTGTTGAATGAAAAGGAGGCACCGTTCAGATTTTTAAAAGGGGTAGTTATGAGAAGGGGAAGGAGCTCTTTCTTTTTAATGGGAGCACTTATCGTAAGGAAAAGGGGCACTTATTAGAAAGGGAAAGGGGTAGTTATGAGAAAGGGAAGGAGCTCTCTCTTTTTAATGGGGGCACTTATCATAAGGAAAAGGAGCACTTATTAGAAAATAAGAAGGGCACATGTTAAAATGAAAGGTGTGCTCATCCGAGTTTAAAAAAGGGGTTGTTATTAAAAGGAGAAGGGGCACTTCTTACAAAGGAAAAAAAGGGGAATTTGTCAAAGTAAAAGGAGCACCTCTCAGTTTTGAATAGGGCAATTATCAGAGGTGAAGGGGGCACTTATTAAAAGTGAAACGGAGCACTTCTCGTACCAGAAAAGAGGCACTTACTAAAGATTAAAAAGGGCACTTATTCAAGATAATTTCAAGATTTCAAGAATGGAAAATGGACACTTATTGCAAAGGAAAATGGGAACATGTCGAAGGAAAAGGGGCACGTGTCAAAAATAAAAAGGGCACTCGTCAGAGGTGAAAAGGGGGAAGGGGCACTTTTACTAAGTAATAGGGGCACTTGTCAAAGTAAGAGGGGCACCTTTCCTATGTAAAAGGGGCACTTCTTACAAAATAAAAGGGGCACTTTTCCTATGTAAAAAGGGGCACTTTTGGGGTATCTGAAAAAGTGGGGGGGGGGGCACTGTGCCCCCCCTGCCCCCCCGGGAGAACCGCCTCTGCATGTAGACCTATACTTTGTTTTCCCATTTAATGAAATATTGATCATTATAGCCTACTTATGCTGCAGGATTGGAAGAAAAATAATGGCAAAATTATTTGTAAAAGTATATTGGTTGAACCAGTTTTGAGATAAACATAATTCTAAATGAATCTGGAAGAATTTGGTAAAAAGATACAATCGAAGTTTTAATTCATGAATGTGAATAACTAACAGAGATAATGAGCTCGCAATCATACGTTGCCTTATTGCAAAAAATGGGTAGACGTCATTACCCAATGATAGCATCATTCTCAAAGTCGAACAATGTTTACAAAACGGACCTTGCTAGATAATGATTTTACAATGATGTTGGTTTGCTTCCAGAATAATTATGCTGCCACATTGCTTTTTCATGTTATTTTCAGGTATACGCTGGTGTTAATTTGGTTCAAGTTTCAAAGTAAAACGAGCAAGCGAGAAAAAAGTGGGGGGGGGGGAATTCCTTTTAAGATTTTTGCCATTCTTTATTTGAAAAAAAAAATCGTCTCCTCCTATTTCATTCATTAATTTTATTCAATTATTCAAAAGAAATTCCTTTTAGCACCGTACAAACGATACCCGGTTTTTCTGATGATTTAATATAACTTTCCTTTCATTTATTTGCTGCCTATTATGTTGTAATAAAAAATGTTCTCTAGAAATGAAAAAGGGCATCTACTAGTATTCCATTTACCGGAACAATGATATATTTATCTTATGTTTATATGATCCATCGGAGAACTCCACCCTCTCGTACTCATTTACTTCACGTGGGTCGTGAGTGGCAAATGTAGATTCTTTCGGGGTAAGGAGCACTCCCCCTCCCCCCCCCCCCAATTAGTGAGAAAATATTTAGCGGCGAATAAGCGCGGGGGAAGCACTTTTTTTTTTTTTTTGCTCAACGGGGGGCGGGGGGGGGGGGGGGGGAGTGAACGCTTCCTTTTTTCCCCCATTTGTAAACACCTGAAACACAGATAAAGGGTGTCTTTGCAATTCTGAAACACCTCCCCCCCCCTTTTTTTTGCCAAGGGGGGTGTTTGAACACCTAAAACCTCCCCTGTTTGCCATTTGAACACCCAAAACAACCCCATCGATACGCCAATGCTTTCTCTTGTGCTTCAATACTTCTGTAGTATATATTAGGAACCCTGACTATAATTATAAAGCAATGTAGTGGTCAATTAAGAATAATAGTTAGAGTAAATGTTGTCAAAGAAAGAGCAAGATATCGTAACTCGAATATAACTGAAATAATTAAATCATCCTAATGAAAATCAAATTTCTAGGCCGAAATAGATCGAAAAGACATTACTCTGGACAGCCAGACAATCGGGCAGTATACCTCAAAAGTTTCCAAAAGCTAGAAAACAATATTTGGAATAACTTAACTTTGCACCATCATTATTAGTGAACATCATATTCAACATAGTGTGTATACCGCCCTATTCCGGTTCAGCAACCCGTGTATGGCGCACGTGCAATATCATCCATATCTGAATGTTTAGATATCGACGGTAAATATATACATACAATGTACTAGGAACTTATAATTATGCCAACAATTTTAAATTTTACTCTCTCTCTCTCTCTCTTTCTCTCTCTCTCATCATCATCACCTCGATCCCTCCATCTTGTCAGTCTTCAGTCATTACCATTTCACACCTAACAATGCCTCCAAATCAAACCTAATTAGTGTACCTATATATCAAGGGTGGCCAACCTTTTAAAGCTCGCGGGCCACAGCTAACGATTGGCATAACTTGGCGGGCCGTAAGTAGTCTTCTCTCCCCCCCCCCCCCCCCCCCCCCCACCCCCCCCCACCCCCCCCCCCACACACACACACACTCAAGCACACCTGCAATTTTGCAAATACAAACAAGCATACAATAAAATCAGTGAACACAAAATCAGGCTTACTTTTTTAGAGTGATTTCTGGGGCTGCATTTTGATGGACAAGTTTCAGCAAATCAGACCGGTCACTAATTTGTCAAATCTTTCTTTTCTAGCCTTGATCACCCTGTAATTCTCCATAATTTGCTAGATGATCATGCAGCGTGTCATGATGTCTTGCTACGTTGTTAACCTTCATTACATTCACACTTTGGTGACAAATGAGGCAAAGTGGTTTGTTAAAAAGTGAAAAGACACTCACATTTTTCAATAGCTAACGCATATAATTATATACATAATGTAAAGACAGAATAGGTTCATTTTATGTCAACTATATGTACTTTCCTCCGCAAATGTTCGGGGACCTCAGGTGTGCTTCCCTGACGAAGGGGGTGGGGGAGGGGGGGAGGAGGGGGAGCAAACATTTGGAAATAAATATTACATTATATATAATGAAAAGTTGTCTGTAAAGGCTTTCAAAGATGTTACACAATGGCATGTGACATAAAGTAATATCATAAGGCACTTGTGTTCGAATAAGAGTTGGTTTCTGTGGCTTAGGAAAGTATTATGTCTATTTAAAAAAATGTGAAGGTATAGAATATGTCAATTTTTAATCACGAATCAAAGATTTATGGACCATAATTATGTTGATCAATGGGTGAACGTGGTAACGTGTAGATCATAAGCACAATATTAAACACGGTCCAGCATTTGCTCAAAATAATGTATAAAGCTAGAACATTAAGGAACAACGTAGGCCTAACATAACTCGAAGGTTTCTAATTGCATCGATAACAGCTTCAGAGAGGATCAACTACAGAAATCGTAAATTTCCTGAGATTAAACGAGTAAAACTACAAGCAGTTCAGATTTGTATGTTGTAATGCGGAGTGATGCAACATTCTCAGGCAGTTATGGTGCAGAGCAGGGGGGGGGGGGTCCAGCCGGCGGCAGGGGAGGGGCCCAATTCGTGAGAAAATATTCAGTGGGGGGCGGGGGCGGGGGTAGTGAGCACTTTTTTTCTGCCTTCATCAGAAAACTTTCCTTTTCTTCGCAGGTCTCAAAGCCGATGCCATGTTGGTTATTATGTCAAATATCATTATACTTTATTGGTTGTAAACTGTACATCTCATTGAACGCGGTGTAAAGGGAAGGGGATTATCCAGTTTACGATTAAGATTCATGAGAAAATTCAACGGCGAGAGAAAAGGGTTGTAAGTATCAAGACAAGTATGGCATTTCAAACATATTTCTAGATTCACGACATATTTTGAACATTTACAAACGTTACTGCGTGCGGGAATTACAAACTGTAATCAACACGGCGAGTGATGTAAATGTCGTTAATGTAATGTAATGAGAGGGAATTTGAGGATTTTTTTTAATCAACCAAGCAACGAGTCAATATGTTTTGAATGATGAAAACAAATTATGGAAATAGAGATAGCTGTGTGTAAATGTTTTACCCTATTTCATCGCTGCTATGCGGGCCGCATTTCATTTATGAGCTATTTCTATAATTACTTTTTCAAAGGTCCGTGGGCCGCGGGTTGGTCACCTGTGCTTAATGGTCAAAATATGAAAAATACGCATCTTGCTTTTGATAATTCAATTTTTCAAATAAAAAACACGGTTGGTACATTAAAATATGTTGTACCACAGGAATAAAAGGCATATCCATCCATGTGAATGGAAATGATTGGGGGGGGGGGCACCAATCTTACTTGGACCATTCAATGTAAATTTACAAGGCTGCTGATTAGGGGAGGGTGTGGGAGGTCGTGGTACAGGCATCTCCTATTATTGTCCTTTACACTCCTCTCTTTCTATCTTTTTCACCACTTGGGGGGGGGGGGGGGGAGGGACTCCCCTACTACTTGCACACAACTTAGCATACTTGCAAGGTCACAGCCAAGCGCTTTTTATCACAATAAAGTTTAGTATTCCTTTCTTTCACATAACAATCAGCTAAAAATTTACATGTACATTACAACCAAAAACTTTTATCATAGTTTAAATTGTTGATATTTCAGGGCAATATACTGCATTGAGCTTCAAACAACTTGCTTAGCACAGCGACTCACACTATGACATGACTGACAAAGAAAGCGGACAAAATATACAGTTTCTCAGGTAGACAAAAGAACATCCCTTCACTGCTATTATGTAAACATGTGTACAACAGGTGACACATGCATATTCACTTTTTACATAATAGCAGTGAAGGGATGTTCCTTTGTCTACATGAGGAACTGTATATTTTGTCTGCTTTCTTTGTCAGTCATGTTCATAGTGTCAGAACCTACATCTTGATAACATTTTCTTTCTCTCTCTTCTCATCTTTCTCTCTCTTCTCATCTTTATCTCTCTCTATAGATCTTTCTATTGATCTCTCTTCCTCTTGCCTCTCCAGTCATCATCTCTATCAACCTTCCCATGGCATTATCTCTTATATACCATAATATTCAACTCAAATTCAAATTAAACCAAATCATTTTACATTTTAATATATGGAATTATTTTTTTATTTAAAAAAATCACACACCTCCATTAGTCAAGAAATGATTGTCAAAAATGGCAGAAATCTTTCACACAGGAATGGTAACTAGGTTACTAGCATTTCAAATGAAGGTGTTCATCATTTGTAACAATCAGCTTTTTGTGGCACAAGTCTTCATCATCCTAAAGCTAAATATTTTGCCGAGTCAGGCAGTACACATGATTTTAAAACAGCATATTTCAATGAAGCATATCATTAGGATTAACAAATTTTAAAAAATACACTAGAGAAGATATCTTTGGGCACCTTTGTGCCTGAAGAAGACAATATAAGAGGACCTGGCTGCAGAATAGGTGGAAATGCAGTCACCTCGTTCCCTGAATATGGGATTATTCTGCCAACAGACACCTTGCAAACAAATATATTGTCCTTAAAAAAAATATTTAAAAAATCTTTTGGGGGTTTCTTTGTGTGTGTACACATGCACTTCTTACCAGTACATTGTATCCCCATTTCCGAGACAGATGTACTAGTTTCCTCATCAATTTGTAATGGGATATACGACTGAACAAAAGACTTTAATTATGAAGTATCAGAAAAACACATTTTCAATTTATAGTAATTTCGGCTATTTCGTTGACTCCCATTGCCATATACTTTACAGATACCCTGTAAATATGTTTTGTATGTTGTTTCGGAAATGGTAATAAAATTCATTATTATTCATTCATTCATTAAATCTTTTATTCATTCATTAGTGAGTGAGCGAAGAGAGGAGAATAAGATACTTTATTATATTTTGAATGTTATTTCCTCTTCTTGGTACTTTGTAGCATTCCTTCAAAAGACGCCGTAAAGGTGTTTAAACTGGAGATGTGTCGTCATGTGTGGCCACCAACTTAAGGTGCTGGACTCCCATTGAAATATACTTATACAAAGATATACCCTGTAAATATGTTTTGTACGTTGCTTCAAGATGAAATATATTCAGGCATCTTGCTGCCCAAATATCAGGTGATTTGAGCACCAAGCTGCCATACAAAGGAAGATCATCCAAAATGAAATTGATATCATTCCTAAATATACTTTAAAGCGGGACTACACTACTTGTAGCTACTTGTGCCTTCTATATAGTAAACAATGCCTAAGCTGTACACGTTGGCCCCCCATGGTCCCCTCTTTGTTATGTTAATTGAGAGCTGATTTGATGAGATAACTACCTGTCAGTGACAAGGCAGGGAGGTCTAATCCCTCCTGGCCAAGATTTCTAAACTGAATGAATCTTAGTCATGCAGGGTAATGTCACTCTGTGTATTTTGGTCTATTTAGAGTCATAACGGTCATATAATATCGTGTCAGAGATTGCTGGAAGGTTCATTTTTTATTTTCTCTCCTGAGCTAATGTGGTAAGGGCAATCATGTAATCGAATGTAAGCTCCTATAAATCACAAGATTATATATAAACACAGGAGTAAGAATGTTGCTGAAGACAATTAACTGTGCAGAAAATTGATTGGTTTCCACATTAATTCCAATATATCTCTGGTCCCGTGCATTCTTATTCCTGTCATGATATTCCACTCAATTTGGTCCAGCTTACAATCAATGACCAAAGAATTCCTTGAGTAATTCTGGAACATCTTCTTCCTTATAATCTTTCACCAAAAAGTTCTTGCCATCATGAGCACCACGAACCATCGCTGACAAACCTAAGGGGGAAAAAAAAGTGTGGAGAGAAAACCAATTACCCAAAATGCCAAGAAAGGGTACTGAAAATGTCAGTCATTTAGACCTGCAATGAGATCTTCTTGATCTAATGAATATATACAAACTTTAAAAGCTTTTCAAATGTAACAATTTTGAGAAGACCATCTTGGCTGTCTATGGGAACCCCATGGTGTCAACCAAAAATGTTTGCCATTAGTAAATAACATTTACTTTTACTGCATTTTTTTTAAAACTTGCAGAAATTTGGTTTTGTATCATTTGTGATTTTGCAGCATGAAACTTTTGAGGATGTGAACCATCCTCTTTAGATAATATTTTTTCCTTCAACAATGAACTATCAAAAAATGTAAATTCTGTAGATTTGTGAGAGACCAATGGCAATAAATGGTGAGAGCAAACAGTGGCATGAACAGCCTGCCATAGTTAAGTCCAACTTAAAGCCGATCTTAGTCTTTGCGAAACACTCCCCTGATGTCAGGAAGTTTTTGGAATATTTATTTAAGGCTACAGAAATATTGAAATTAGAAACCTTGAGATGTCATAACCCTTGCAAAAGCAGCTCTCCATTTGTTTTGTCTTGAGAATATTCCCAACTTTCTGTCTTTTCTCCCAAGAAAATATTTTCTTGCTCCCCCGATTATATTAATACACAGCTTTACACATCTCTTTATGATGAAATAGATGTTTCCTTCATCAACAACCAAGGAGAGGGATACCGTATTTCTTTAATTTTTTAATAATACCCGTTGCATTCTGTGCATATGTGTAAACGACTGCTAGCAATGGAAATCAAAGGAGTTCCAATGCTCCTAAACTCACGTGAGTCGTCTCCTGGTCTGTACAGGCATAGCACCCTCTTGTTCCATGCCACCGCCCTTCCTAGCTCAAAGCCAACGCCCATGGATACTTGTGTTACCTCGGCAACGACAGCTGGGATCATAACAAAGTAGAAAAGCAGATTATGACTTGATTGAATTTTGAGGAAATGCAATAGAGGAATCAGATCAAGAGTACTCTATCATTTAGCACAATAACTATTGACCTAAGAGCCCTTAAAAATCTTTTGAACGATCGAGATCATCGAGCATAGAGAGAAAGTATTATGCATACAAAGTGTCTACTACTTTACTTGTAGCATTGCCAAATGATTTTTTGATTAAACACCATTAACACATTTAAACTGGGATTTTTTTTAATAGCAAACAGAAATCCCACTTTTGATCATTTGAAGAGGAGCTGATCAATATAGCACTATAAGAAATTCCTTTCTCTATTGGGTGAAACTTACGTGTATTTTTATCCAGGATAAAGGGAAACATTCATTGGGTCTTACAGCCAAACTCATGGAAGAACTTTATTATCAGGCTATCTCTTGCTTTGAGTCTGTAATATACATGCTCCCTAAAGAATCAACAAGTGTTCTGAATCTTCATATGGTCATTTACAGAAAAAATTACCTCTTGGACACAGAACAAATTTCCATGGTATTACATTTCTCAAGGCAAAAATTACATGCAACTAAATAATTGTTTGAATATGGCACAAATTTTAAAAGGTACAAAATTTGTTGCCTGATTAATATTGGAAACATTTACCTGTAACAAATTTAATTACGGCATTGTCACAGAATATGACACAAGTGCTGTACCACAGGAGGCTTTCAGGAGTATGAAAATTGTGGACAAACATCATTTATGTGAATGCACATAGCTTTGCATATATCAGTTTAGACTTACCATCAGAATCTTCTAGCCATGCCATATCTTGATCATAGATCTCCAGATCAGTTTTAGCTGCAAAGGATGGGAAATTGTACCACACAAATTACATTTTTCAATTCAACAGATATTTGGAATTCAAATGTTAAAATATATCAATGATATTAATAATAAGTGGATTTATATGGGGCCTTTTCCAGAGGAGCGAGGAGCTGTCCCATAATCTGAGGACAAGATGTCAGATTTTGTTATTTCATCTACATTAGGACTCAATACTAACAGAGGTCCATTGCATAATATGGGCCCACAACTGAATACCCCTCAAACTTAAAATTTACACAGGGAGAAGCACACAGGGAGACCTTAAAAATGTAAACTCGGAACCCCTGTGAAAAATTAAAGTGTAGTGACAAATGAATCCGTTCAAGAGAGCTTCATAAATTTCCATATTTCAAATTTACGTTAGTACTTAATTAGTGGATGATTTATGTTAAATTGCAAAGCCAGGTTTTACCATAAACCATGATTAACAGGTTAATTTAATTTTGTTAAATACATAACAAATGGAGAGTAACAAAGTACTCACAAGGGAAAACATGGCAATATGGCATCGATAACTTGTGTTTTATCAACCAGAACTTTTAAACTTTTTAATTTACATATATTTGCATGAATTGAAAGTACAGTGGAACCTCGTTATGGAAATAACCTTGTTATGTTAGGAATCTTGTTATATTAGGGTTAACAAACTAAAGAATATAAATATATATATATGTACTTGATATCAGGGTAGATGTCCTCTTTTTAATGTATTCTAACATCTTACTGTTTTGGGAGAAACTACAATGATGAAACACAATATAAACAATCAAATGAGAATAACATTCCCAGTTTAACTTTGTGTAATTAACAAATGACGATGTGAGCACGTCAACATAATCTAATAAATTAAAAAAATAATCATGAACCAGAGAAAGAATGGTTTGAATGGAGTGTCATAAACCATTATCTTTATGATCACAATTGAGTTACATGAGTAATAACCAGATGATATTCTATGGGCTTACGGACATGGTCTAATCATAGTGAGAATTCAGTGAAACTTTTTCTCCCCTGTTTTGATATGAAAATTCATCTCCTGATATTTTCAACTTTTAGATGGTAGAATTGGGAGGATGCATGATAGAATATCCTATACAACAGTTCCATATTTGGGGATGAGTTAATTATTAATTATTAAATTAAATATTGACATTAAAGAAAAAACGGTTATGAATCAACTATAATGGATGATTATAGTTTCAATGTTGGCATATTTCGGTAATATCTTTTATTTTCTCTTATTCTTACATCCACACTGATATGAGATAATGCAAGTTAGTGAAAGCAGAGAAGTGAGGAAAGTGAAAAGATACAGAGAATTACACTGTTGCCCATAAAGTTGGAATAAAACTCTTTAAAGAGAAGGTTGAGTTCTGGGAAGAGGTAAAAAATAATTTGTGAGCGTTATCATCATTGTATCAAGGGTGGAAGAACATCAGATTAAACATGTTCCCTGAAAAGCATGGCTCTTCAAATGCCTTCATATTTTAAATACGACATGAAACATGGTAAAAAATCGAGGGGTAGGTTTTTTTCGCCATGTGCTTGTGTAGTCCCATACATCATTCTGTGTACAGAGCTTGTAACTTTGCCAAGATTTGGCCAAATTTCTTATCATTTTGATGATTCCAGAACCTTGCAATATACACAAATACTTATATACTAGATGATCAACCTTTTCTGATAGATTCCACATTGTTTTTTTCACAATGCAATCACATGACCAGAACTCAACTTTATCTGTAAACTCTTGTCATGAAGTGACTGCAAAAATTTGATTAATGCTTGATAGATAAAGTTTATATCTTCTCAGAACATCATTGATCAATCTAAAGAGTCATCAAGATTTATCAATAAAGTTCTGAAGATATAAACTTTGTCTATCAAGAATAAATCATATTGTCACAATCATTTCATGAAACGGGTTCAGAAAAAAAATTATTCCAACTTCATGGGCAACAGCATATTTCAAATGGGATCATATAGTGGCAAAATGCTACATGTGGCCTTCATACCGAAGTGTGCAAGGAACTCACAAAATGTAAACTGAGGCCAGGAAGAATCAAATACAAGCAGGGCAAGTCCATGGTATTTTTTTCCTGTGCATTGCTAATTACACGCAAGATGTTCAAGTGAGTGCGTCATGGTAGGAGAATGCTTCACTCTGTAGGACATATTGCGCACAACGCAAAAATACCCTTCAATTGAAGGTAACAAAATGATGTAATTTTTTTGTTTGGCACTCCGTTCTTTGGTCTTTTTATTAGCACACTCATACAGTATTAACAATCTAATGTGCTTTCAATTTGCAATTGGCATGTGTGCGCTGCGAAGGGCACCTGCTCCAGGTTTGCCCAAATATCTTTGTCAAGGTATTGTAACTGTCATGTGGCTCTGGCTTGTCAAGGTCATTGAACATTGCCAGAAGCACTCTCTAAACTTAATGACCGGCTGACTTCAATATACCTGAAGACTGCATCAAATTGAAATCTTTACTCTATCAAGGACCTAGCTAATTATAAAGAAAATAATATTTCCTAGGAAAGGGTAATGCACAGAACACTAAATGATGAAAATACCTTGGACTTGCCTTGTCGGGATGCACTTTGACACCAATCAGGACAAAGACAAAGAGGACACATAATTTCTAAACATGAATAAAGTATGGATTGAGAGTTTAAATGATATATTACCTCCTGTTGGAACTGTAAAGTCAAATTGGGAAAAGCCAAAAAGAGAGACCATGACAAAAAATTAATAAAAAGCAAAAAAACTCCATATAAATAAAATAAGTCGAGAATTTAAAGATTATGGGTACTGTACAGTGTACGTACGGGTGTTCGCTTTGGTAAGACTTAGCCCATAGAGCTGTTGCTTATTTTCCTAACAACAAACTTTTGTACCTTTTCATTAATAGAGCTTTGAAAGTTGTTCAGGGGACTGAGGGGAGCAACCAAATTTTGTTCACCTTCATTTGGAACAACCACTCTCCATCTTAAATACTGAGTACTTCTCTTAAAATTCTAAACTCTTTCCCTTAATGCTTATTCTTAGTAAATAAGAATGAACAGAGCATGATCAAAGATTTATCAACTAAAAAAGAAAAGGAAGCAATGCTACTGAATTTAGTTTTCAGATACCTATTACCAGACATGAGCTATGAAAATAGAAATTAATTGGTGCCTTCAATTTCCCTTTTATCCAAATGATCAACAAATTAGAAGGGCTTACTCCTGGAATCTGGAATCTGAAATTTCTTTGAATTGTGCTATGTCAGTAAAAGTTGTAGTAAATGTTTACTTACAAGTGAAACAATCTTTGTGGCCTACATGCTCAGTGAGGACCTTCCCGTATGCTTCAAGTTGCTTGATGATCCTAGCATACAGCTCACCATCCTTTCTGCCTCCTCGGATACTTCCACAGAAATAGATCTTCATCTGGCGGTCACCCATGATTTAAGTAGCTTAAGGGGTCGAGTTTCTGATAAAAGTGCAAAATAATGTGTGAGCTTTATCATTTCTTTTTGATTGAATGTGGAATATTATTATAGTGGCATTGTCTCATAAAAGAACTATGCTTAGTTAGGATTTTTTTTTTTTGTAGATGATTTAGCCATCCATACCATAGACTATTTTAATGAGTCAAACAAAACATTTTACAATTCAATTCAATGAAATTTTTCTTTTTCCACTTCCAAACCTGTTCACTTGTTAAATAAACACATGCTAAGAAATACTATACTGGAACAATAATCTGAATTTTTGATGGCCAAGCTGTCCCAAATCGAGCATTGTGTGAGTCCATGAAAGTGCCAAGATGTGATGCATCTAATGTATCTAACAAAAATATAACATTAATGTTCCACCCCATCCCCCTACTAAAAATTATCATACATGTAGAACCAACGACCAAACAACCAAAACCTTGATGATCGATCCCTATTGTGCACCAAAAAAAATATTTGGACCAAATTCAGTCATCCACTGTCTTTGTGGAGATAGGGTTGGTATCATCCATGGCGCTAGTGTAGTTCTGTATCCATTTTTTTAGCAGTTTAATATCCATTCTTAGCGAATGAATTTTAGCCCATTTTTTTACTAATTTTAATCATAATCATAAATTGCATTTTCCACCTGAACTTGGATCACATCTGACATCGGGAAACCTTTGTTAAGGGCTTCGATGTTGATGTCGTCGCTCACTACCGTCTCTAGGCTGTAGACCTGCACCTCAAACTGAAGCTATCAGTCCAAAATTATGCAGACTTCTTGTATGCGCGATACCATAAACCATACAAGAAGTCTGCATAATTTTGTACTGATAGCGACGACGTCGACATCGAAGCCCTAAACGAAGGTTTCCCGATGTCGAATGTGATCCAAATTCAGGTGGAAAATGCAATATACGATTATGATTAAAATTAGTTAAAAATTGGGCTAAAATTCCTTAAAAAAATGGATACGGAACTACACTAGCGCCTCGTTTATTGGTGAACAAGGGATGTTTGTAGACTAATTCAACTCATCACTCTAGCTCTACCACCTTCATTTTTCACATTTCCCAACATTACTCATTAGGAGGTTGACTTAATTTAACTGTTACGATGTTGTTGTTGGTCATTTTTTTTGCACAGTAGTAGTACTCATGTACTGTGCTCTAATGAACAGATAGTGATAGTAATATACATAATTGATAGATCTACATGCAGTATGTACAACAAAAGCGATTAGTATATAGTAAATAGGCTACCGCTAGCGTGGAAATTGGCCCAGCAAAATCACACAAATGTACTCGTACAACCGTAGTAGTACTACCAGTCCCCAGGGCTGCAGGCCCAGGGCAGTGGCGGTGCAGTGCTCATCTAATTCTCATTCTCACTCAGATTTTGTCTTTGCAGATGTACGTTTAATAAAATGAAAACAAGATAGGACTGGGTGGAGTAAATCAAATATTTCTTATTTCATAAACATGCCAGTCGTCCACAACATAACTTTAACTGTCTACATAATTATACTCACAATCCTGAAAATTAGTTTTTTAGCTGCTGAACGTACTGCACCGGTGGAATGGAAATGTAAACAGTTGCACGTGTGCGCTCAATTATCGTTTGATTGACAACATTTGTCCATAGATGGCGCTCAACCAGAGTCAACCAAGTTTGCTTCTGATCCATTGGAGGGCTAGTACACGGATCCTCGTCTTCCTAACATTTTCTATAGAATCTGATTCCCCTATTTTTATCATAAAAAATATGTTATTTTCTGAACTTTATAAGCGTTACCATGGCAACTACCAAATTCAAGACTGAGATTTGTATTAAAGTCAAATGGGTAGCTGGAATTCTGGAAATACATATAGTTCTTTTTAGCTACATGACGTATAGCATACGTGAAGTATGGTCATGAATCTGCTTTTATTCTCAGGGCGCCACAAAGCCTGTTTGCCTTTGGGGATTAAATTTTACAACTGTAGGAAGGCGTGTTACCTTGATCCGATAAAACATATATGCTGATGGTTATTATTTCGTCTTTAGGCAAATCTCCCTAATGAGTCGAGACTTGAGGAACACTTTTTGCTTTTTGTTTCTTTTGAGAAGGCAAGTTTGACTGATTATATTTTATTTAGCTTCAGAACATGCTACATATGCCATTTGACCTAACTTACATGCACAATATCGAGTTCTGTCATTATTTGTGGCGCATTTATTATTTTCATTAAATTTTTTATATAATTATACTAATTGAGCGTTTTATCCAGCCCGCTCAAACTTCCACATCGACCCGTATTGATGATTCAATGTAGTCAAAGTTTCACCCTAAATATCTTTCGATCACACTCCAAATTTTGCCTCTTCCTCTCTTCCTTTCCTCTCTCACTTTCCCCTTTCCAGGCGCGGATCTACGGGGGGGGTTTAGGGGGTTTAACCCCCCCCCCCTTGGGCGGCCCAAAAAAACAACAAAAAAAAAAGGGGGGGGAAAAGAAAAAAAAAGAAAGAAAAAAGAACGCACGCTGGAGAGAAACCCTTTCAAGTGCAAATATTGTGAGAAGATATTCAACTCATCTGGTAACTTAACCAAACACATGATAACTCTGGATATAACTGTGTATTTAACTGTTACTTGATTTAAAAAGACGTTATCATGCACTGCTTTTTATGGTCTCCATTGTGTTAATAGATGCCAGGAAAACATCACTTACGGGGTTCAAATAAACCCCCCCAAAAAAAATCGGCTCGCCGCTACGCGGCTCGTGGACGATGCTCCGCATCGTCATTATTTTGGTCAACCCCCCCCCCCCCCTTAGCAAAAAGCTAGATCCGCCCCTGCTTTCTCTCTCTTTCTCTCTCTCTCTCTCTTTCTCTCTCTTTCTCTCACTCATTCTCTCTCTCTCTCTCTCCGTTATTCCCCTACTCTGCACCAGGCGCGTATACTACACGAAAAAAATTAAAACAAAGTGATACATGGCATTGATTGTGCATGCTCAATTATATTTCAATTATTGTTGCTTTTTTTAAAGAGTTTATAAGAGTAGGGAGGGGTTGGGGCAACAGAAAACATTGACACTTCTGGGAGTTCATAACAGCGTTGGTGATGGTCATTGTTGTAATTCAGTTTCTACGACAATCACTCCTAGGCCTGGCATGAAGGCAAAGGTTTACAAATCTCTTCTTTCGGTTTCTTGATGTTTCGTTTTGTTGACAGAAATTGATGTATTTTCACACAAATAGATTAATAAGATAGTAACTACCTTGGAAAAATTGAGAAGCATTTAAAGGAGATTTTATATTCTTCATTGCAAGCTACATGACTTGTATCCTTAAAGATAAACTTTAGTACTGGTAATGCGATTGCAATGTGAAAGAAAAGGTGTGAAAAGGATCAGAAACAGTTGATCATGTAGCATGTAAGTATTGGTGTGCACTGCAAGGTTCTGGAGTCATCAAAATCATAATAAATTTGACCGAGTCTTGGTAAAGTAACAAGCACTCACATAGAAAGCTATATATGGGACAACACACATGATGTCGGGGCTAGTACTACCTTGATTTCCTTGTCTTTCTATGCTCATTACTCAGCCAGTATACATTTTCTTCCAAAATTGTTTGGCACATGTCATTTATTTGTAATCTTGAACATTCAGTGTAAGTTTCATTTGATTCTGTAAGAATTTTTTTTTTTTTTTTTACCAGTACTGGAGTTTATCTTTAATATATTAATGCTCTTCACACACTCCCCTTACTTTTTGTCCATAATCATTAACGTATACCGTGAGACGGAATTGAATATGCAACATAGTTGTCATGGTAATTCTGTATTGATTACGAGGTTCAAATTACGTCTGTCACAAAAGGAGAAGACTTTACTACAGGCCAGCGTAAACCAGGTGGTTGGGGGTTCCTTTCGGGTCAGAGATCTTGTCCATAGACGCGGTTCTCTTCATTTGTTCAATGACTCCTACATGGCTATGCTGATTTTCCATGATTGCCGAAGCAGCACCTGAAATACACACGATGAAGAAAAAAAAAAAACACAATTCACAAGTTGAAACTCTCTGTGACTAGAAGTGAGCCCGGAGTAGGTGTGGGATTGGGGGCCAGGCGGGAGGGGGGGGGGGGGGGGTAGGGGGCAGGGGATGCAAACAGTGCCCTGGCATAACCCAATGCAGTATTCAATTCAAATCATTTATTTCCAAATTCCAACATCAATTAAAAAACAGTCAATGAGCAATACAAACATTACAATACTATGACATTTCAATCAAACGATTAAGAAGATAAAAACAAAACAAGTATAGCAGTTAATGAGAAACAAGGTACAGACTACATAAAAACACAACTGGATAATTGGAAAATGGTGAACACAATGAAAGCCAGGTTTTTGGCTAGTTAGGGTATGTTCACCTAGTTTGTGTATTTGTTTGTTTTTACATTAAAAAAAATAGACATTGGTCAAACAATATAACATAGAACATGAGAACATGGGAACATAAACATGAACAAACAAAAATTAAACATATAAGAGCATCAAACAGTATGGTATGGTTCTACAGGATATTTTAAGAAAATATATTTAACAATTTATTTTTTTCCAGCGCACAATCAAGTACAGAAAGTAACTAGTGGCCCCATGACAGTGTGCACTTCCGCATCAAAATAAGGCCCCAAAATGGCACTCGAAAATATGATAGGCCTCCCCCTCTTTTTAAAATTTTAATTATTTGTTAATTTATTTGTTTGCTTGTTTGCTTGTCAGAGAACTTTCAGAATTGTGCCCTCTCGCCCTGCGCACATAATCCCTGATTAGCCATTGCGAAATTATTCAAAACGTTTATCCGGTTTGTTTCTTGATAATGAACTTGTATGCGATTATGGTTTGATGACTTGTGACCACAAACCCTCTTCAGATTTCATGCTTCAACTTTAATTAAGATGGTATGAATCATAATTATGATGTGATGGAAATACAATAAATTTACCAATAGCATGGGCGCAGGCCGTGCTGGTTCCAGAGAAAGTAGAAGGTTCTCCGTCCACACCAAGACTCTTGATATTGGAGCCAGGGGCAAACAGATCCACGCACTCTCCCCAGTTAGAGAAAAATGATCGGCTGTCATCAACAGTAGATGAAGCGATTGTGAGAGCCTGAATTGTGATAGAGTGTATAGAAACAAGCTTAGCTACCGAGCTACTATAGACTTTAAGTTGCAAGAACATTGAAAATAAAACGGAAAGTCTACCCTGATATAAATTTTGTTTTTTATTTAAGAAGAGAAATCGGATAATTAGATCAGTAAAAGTTTGAATAAAATTCAATGGAAAACAAGACAGTAATAATGGATTATTGAAGTCAAAATGGATCAAACACGTGTTGGTATAAGACGACGCAAAAATTACGAAGGAGAACGTTTCATGCTTTTCATGAAAACTGTTGGATTCAAAGCATGAAACTTCTTTTCTGCATCATCATACAATTAGTATCAAATTCCATACTATCACGTTGTGTGTTTCATGCATTATACCCAGTTACCGGTACTCTTTTTGGGTAGAGAATGATTAGCTTTGCACATAATTATGATTATCTTGCCAAATCATTGACGTTTCAATTGAATTTGAACCCTGTACCTTACGGTCCATATTTATATAGTCCAGTGACTTTGATTTCCGCTAGACCACGACACACCTACATCTCTCTTTCGGGAAAAGAATTTCAACTCACATCTGGAGCATTGGCTGGGGATGTATTACAGGCATCATCATCGGCGTTACCAGCAGCAACCACGACGAGTGATGATCTCTGGTGCGCCTCGGCGATAGCGTCGATCATAGCCTGACTGTTGGGTCCTGCCAAGGCCATGGATATGAGCAAAGGACGGATGCCAGAGTTGGCTACCCATTCGAGGCCTGCAGGGAGGGACATTAGTGACAGGAGATGACGGGGGCAAGAATAAAGATTGATTCCTTGATTGGTTAGAGGATGGAGTGAACTATCCTACTCTTCCATGAATATATATTCGATGGTACTTTCCATTTTATTATCACATACAAATAAAAAAATATTTATACGAATTGTTACAAAATATGTTCCCCTTTCCCAAATTCTATTCTTTCGCCGCAGTCCCTCTCTTCCCTCTCCTCCTTCTCCCTTTCCCCCTCTTCTTCCCCCTCTACACCCAATCTTTCTCTCTCTCTCTCTCTCTCTCTCTCTCTCTCTCTCTCTCTCTCTCTCATCACATACACTCTCTCATGCTCTTTCTTTCCGCATCTCTCCTCCCCCATTTCTCTCTCTATCTCTCTCTCTCTCTCTCTCTCTCTCTCTCTCTCTCTCTCTCTCTTTCCGTCCGTCGCTACATTTCTATCTCTCTAAGCTGATTCCAATGACTCCTTAATTAGTTGCAGGATCAACAAGCAAACCAGAGAGAGGCCACACTACTTCTTGGCTTGGTGCAAACTTCCATGGAGCACTCACCACTGATAACATCAGCCATAGTGCCCAGACCGTCGCAGTCGAGAGCACGAACACCATATACTTTAGCTCTGTTAGCAATGCCGTACGTCTCACTTGCGGCAATTCCAGCCATATGCATACCATGTCCGTTGCAGTCAAGACCCTGATAAGGGAGAAACAATATGAGAAAGAAATAAACTCTCCAAAAATAAGGCTACAGGCGAAGGTGATAAGAAAAGAAAGAAGCCTCAGAAAAGAAGGATATTTCGTTAATTCTCCAAATGCAAAACATCTCTCAATCTCAATTGAGGCGATCGAGTCAGTTTCATATTTGGCAATTTCTGTGATGTTACAGACAGTGGATCAAAAAAATAAATACATACGTGTGTTAATACATGTATATATATATATATTCATTTATACATATTCATTATAGAATGAGAAAGGAAATAAGAGAATAATGGTTGCGTATAGCTTAAATAAAAGTTCCCCATTGCTGTCCTCCCATTCTCATTTCCTTTCGCATTGTATTTACTTCTAGGAATGTTGCGAAGCTGTTGTATAATGTTATTTCCTTATATAATTGTATAATGAAAAAACAATATTGCCTTGTACTTGACGCTGTTACCTTGTTGTAGAAGACACCCCGTTTTGTATATGTAATTATTAATATTTTCATTTATTATATAAGATTGTATACTCCTCGGGAAAGTAACTTTGTAAACCGTTTCTTTTAAACTGTTCTATCTATATCAATAAGATGGAAGTAGGTATGAATTAAAGTTCAATTGCCAAAATAATGATGACGATGATGGCGATAAATTGTTGCCTAACAGCACATATATTTAATAAATTATTGTGAGGCCCTTGAATGGAAATAGGTAAGCGATTATTTTTCATTTTCAAAATAAAAGAAAAGTGTACTACATAGGCCTAACAATGCAATGATAATAACAAAACAAGAAATGAACGTGGAAAAAGTTCTTACATCACCACCGATCACATCTTTGACATTAAATGCGCGGCCACTGAAATCAGGATGGTCTGCGTTGATTCCAGTGTCAATTATGTAAATGTGGGTCTCGGTTCCGTAACCTGTACATAGGATGACATATATCATAATAATTATAATGATTTTAATAGTAATAATGAGAATAATAACAATGATGACGATGATGATGATAATAATAAGGATAATAATAATGGTATTAATGAAACTAATCATGATAATGGTACGAATAAAAATTATACTAGTTACAATAACAATAATGGCGATGGTAATAACGATATTAATAGTAATATCAACATGAATGATATAGTATGATTGTAATAATTATAGACCACTATGATAACTACATTACGACACAATGTCTGTATACTTCTAAAGTACTTTAGAAGTTGATCTATATATATATATCCATAATTCACTCGGTGCCAACATGTTAGGCAGACTTCTTAACCCATTGCCTGCAGGAACCGGGTGGCTCCTATATTAGGTCTATGGGACTGAAGTAATTCAGTAGTCAACGTGTTAACTACGACAGAACTTACCCTCAAGGATCATCCTAGAGTCACCTTGGACGTCTCTCTGATCGATTCGGTCTTGGCCCCAAGAATTGGTCTGAATCAATTGTCCACCCGCTGCCCTCACCACCGAATCCTCCTCGATGTATTTGACTCCAGGCAGCATTTGGAGCTAGAATTGTGAGTGAGAAATCGCAAAGACTTTCGAAAAACACACTGAAGACACTTCCAATAGCCTTTTTGTCAATCACCCTTTGATACGCGGTTTTAGTTCATGCACGAGAGCACTTTCAGGACTTTCTACAGTCTCCTCATTGCATTTTATGCATCCCTGCCCCTATCATTTTTACTTTGTCTTGATCTCTTTGAAAAGTTTCCCAGAGCTGAATCGCTGTAGGAGGGGCGGGGGGTGGGGCGTCCAACCCTTTGGGCCAAATGTGGTATCATATGGAACAAGCTTTTAACCTAAAAATAATAGGTAAAAGTAATTTCTTTAGTTATTATCAATTTGTTTTCTATTCATTCATTTATTCCTTTATTCATCTATCTATTTACTTATCTATATATAATAAATTCATATAAACATAAATTAGTAAATTTATAAACTATATACCAATACATTTATTTAACAATTTATCCATTCATTTCAAAATAATTTATTCACACAATCACTCAGCTATGAACTTCCCATAATTATTATTGTCCCCTTCATTAGCGTACATGTTTAGGCCTGAATACAATAAATATTTGTTCTTTCTTAGTTACTTCTTACCAGGTCCAGAGCGATTCCGTCTTTGTCGGCCTCGACCACGAATCCATTCAACACGGCTTCGAAGGTTGTCTTGACGTTGGCCTCGACAGTGACATTCCTGATGAAACGGTCGATGACCGAGTTAGCGTTCACACCATCCTATACAACATATAGGACATTAGATTAACATCACAACCACTGGTTAAACAAAAGCAGGGCCTTCTATTGATATATTATCGCTTCGTATATGGTCGACAACAACACTTGAATACAGTCACAGTCAGTCACACTGTTAACCCAGTCACACCAACGAGACCTACATTGACTAAGAACAGGCTTTAGACCCCCATTATACACAGATTGGCGGCGAAGATTCTGTCGATCAGCGATCGGCTCTGTTTGGCGGTGTGACTTGGGTATCATATCACATACGTGTAGCTCACTTCAAGTTAAAATTCACTTTTGTCATTCAAGTGATTCAACCATTTAAAAAATCCAATATACAATACATACAAGACATACAATGCAAATAGGAATACAAAATAAATGTTTAGGATGCCCCTAAAAGCCAAGGCTTAATAGAATGGAGCACCCGATACACTATACAAGTAAAGAGAATTATATATTTTAAAACATAAAATAGGGTTAGGCAGTAAGAGATGAAGGCTTTCTTACTTGGAGAACTACGATATAGCGCCCTTGAATACGGTCCCTCGTTGGGATGTATACTGGAACAAAGGCGGCTGCCACGGCAACAAGAGCAAAGAAGATGAAGCACTTCATCATGAAATATCTAGTTGAAATGGGGGGGGGGGGGGGAGAAGTGTAAATCTGGTATATGAATATGAGATTATAACGTAACATAATAAAATGAAGTTAGTTCGGTTAAATTTAGGGAGCAAAGAAATCGAAAGTGATTGTAAAGGCTCACGATAAATCAACTCAAGGCAATTTCAACAGCCCTATCCATCACCTTATGAAATGTGGAAACGTAAACGTAATTCGAACATATATGCTATGGAATAGACAACAGCGTATTGAAATTGACTGATTGAGCTGATTTTCGAAAGTTTTTGCGATCGTTTTGAAAATAAATTGTTAGAAATAAAGGTTTTTAGAAAGGTATGAACGAAATATATAATGTAATGTAATAATGAAATAAAACGGAGTAGAATAAAATGAAATATAAAAGGAGAAAATATGCATATATTTGAAAAACAATGAATTCCAAGATAAAATTGCAATTGTGTGATAATGCATAACATCAGTTTTCTGTTCTTCCACAGCTCTTTAATTTTCAGGCTAAATTTTTATAATCTAGTATCAAAATGTGTTGTGGAATGGTAGATGTAATCAAGAGTGCCAAGCAACTTTTTTAAAACCTAGTATAATGCCGTTTGGATGAAATGAAATCCTAAGAGAAAATCATGAGCCGTAGAATCTTACAAACGAAGATGCTGTACAAATCGTCTTACCTAGATTCGATGGGCGTCAAGCAGAAGAATGTAGAAACCACTAAATCTACCCAGTATTTATAATGTTGACCATTGTAAGACATAGTGATGGGAGTCAACACATCTGAGTTATTTCTTATCATCCAATGTGCAAATGTCACATCATCAATATTTTCAAGTATGACTTTATTTTGATCAAAGAAGAAGAAAAGAAAAGCATTTGCTTCGTCAGCATTTTTCAAGTTCAAAAGTTCAACCGTAGCATCAACCTGTACCGTGCTTTACTTTTCTTTATTTTACTTAATACTGCCCTGGATAGGCAGCCATTTTTAACTTATAGATGAGTGTGCTTTTAGATCTGCTTCACCTTTTTTCTTATATGATCATGTAGATCATCGAAAGACATAGTGATGGGCAGAAGCGGTGCTCCGGGGGGGGGGGCAGGGGGCAGGGGGCACAGTGCCCTCCAACTTTTGCAAGTACTTTAAACGTGCCCCTTTTTGCATAGGAAAGGTGCCCCTCTTACTTTGACAAGTGCCCCTTTTTACAAAGGAAAGGTGCCCCTTTTACTTTGACAAGTGCCCCTTCCCCTTTCCACCTCTGATAAGTGCCCTTTTATTGTGACACGTCCCCATTTTCCTTTGCAATAAGTGTCCATTTTTCATTCTCATAAATGCCTTTTTTAATCTCTAGTAAGTTCCCCTTTTTAGGTATGAGAAGCGCCCCTTTTCACTTTTGATAAGAGTCCCCTTCACCTCTGATAATTGTCTTATTCAAGTCTGAGAGGTTCCCCTTTTGCTTTGTCAAGTTTCCCTTTTCCTTTGTAAAAAGTGCCCCTTCCCCTTTTAATAACTACCCCTTTTTAACTTGGATAAGCACACCTTAGATTTTTCACATGTACCCCCTTTCCTTTTAAATAAGTGCCCCTTTTTCTTATGATAATTGCCCCCATTTAAAAAAGAGCCCCTTTCCCTTCTCATAAATGCCTCTTTTCATCTATGAAAATAGTTCATATCATTCTCATAAGTGCCCCTTTTCATCTCTTGTAAATTACTCTATTCATAATTAATTCTCTTTTTCCTTATAAGTCCCCCTTCCCCTTCTCATAATGCCCAGTTTATTTTAACGTGTGCCTCTTTTTCTTTTTGATAAGAGCCACTTTCCTTTCTCATTACCCTTTTATCAATGATATGTGCCAATTTCCTTTCTAATAAAGAACCTATTCATTTTTCACTTCTTATAAATGCCCCCTATCAAAATCTGATTGGTGCCTCTTTTCCGTCGACAAATGCCCATTTCCTTTTCATCCCTGGTGCATGCCTCTTTATTGAGGTGTGAGAAGTGCCCCCATTTTCACCTCTGATAATTAGCCTTTGTACACGTGCTCCTTTTCTTTTCTAATAAGTGTCTTAACCCTTTCGATAAGTGTCCCCTTTCCCTCTCATCATTAAACGTGCCCCTAATTTCAAGCGACTAAAAGCAATTTCCCCCAAAGGTCGGTCGCTACGCTCGCTCGTAGTTATAGATGTTATAAGTATGTAACTTATCAAAGATCTTCTCAGTCTTCCGTTATGAGAATGTGCTTATAACTCCATCAGAATTGGGTTTTTCCTCTTTATAAGATGTAAATTTTCGCACTGCGACCTCACAAATCTTAATTTTTTTCCTCGCTAGCATATGAATTTATAGACCATCACACACATCATAAAGAAAAACAAATATTGAAATCATCCCCGATAATGTAATCACAATATAGGGGTACACACTAATGTCTAAAAAATTGTATATTTTCCCTGTGAGATTTCCCTTTGAAGGTGCCCTTTTGTCTCCAGAAAGTGCCCTCTTTTGTTGATTCCCCCCCCCCCCCCCCCCACTTTGGAAGTCGCTCCACCGCCTCTGGTTGATGGGAGTGAACATGCACATCTGAGTTATTTCTTATCATCAAATGTGCAAATATTTCATCAACGTCATCAATATTTTTATTATGACTTTGTTTTGATCAAAGAAGAAGAAAAGAAAAGCATTTGCTTCGTCAGCATTTTCAAGTTCAAAATTTCAATGTGAGCATAAAAATTAACCGTGCTTTAGTTTTATTCTATTTTTACTTAACACTGCCCTGGAGAGGCAGCCCTTTTCAACTTACAAATGGGTATGCTTTTAGATCATGCTTCATGTTTATTCTTTATATCTTATAGAAACTGCCCTGGAGAATTGGAGATAACACATTTTCATCATGCTATATTTTTTCTCAAACTTGTTATTAAATCGGATACTACTACCCTGGAACCATTCTCCAAATGCAAGCAATAAGAAACATAATTGTTATGCCGTGAAAAAAAGTGAAAAACGTTTTGCGGTAAAAAGATTCTGAAAAATCTGTGATTTTTAAGGGCATTTCATTGAGAATGGCAACATAATTTGATATAGCTAAATTACCTAGATATTAATGAGCATCGAGAGACAGAGAGAGAGAGAGAGAGAGAGAGAGAGAGAGAGAGAGAGAGAGAGAGAGAGAGAGAAAGAAAGTAGACAGTAAATTGAACATTTGGCATATACGTTCCTATATATATATATATATATTTACCGTCGATATCTAAACATTCAGATATGGATGATACAATATTAGTATTGCACGTGCGCCAGACACGTGTTGCTGAACCGGAATGGGGCAGTACAATTATCTTTTGATTTTTAATATGATGAGCAGTGTTCAATAATAAGGTTGGGGCAAAGTTATACCAAATATTGTTTGCTAGCTTTTGGAAAATTTTGAGGTACTGCCCGATTGTCTGGCTGTCCAGAGTAATGTCTTTTCGATCTATTTCGGCCTAGAAATTTGATTTTCATTATGATGGTTTAATTATTTCAGTTATATGATTTGCGATATCTTGCCCTTTCCTTGACAACATTAACTCCAGCTTTTATTCTTAATTGACCCTAATATATAAAACAGAAATATTAAATCACAAGAGAAGGACCACATTTGCTGGCCGTCAAATAGCAGCCCTATTCGGGACATCAAGCAGACCGACATCCCACGGGACCGCCATTGCCAGTCTCAGGAACCCAAGACGGCTTTCGGAAGACCCACAAGGCTTTAATAATTCTAAGTCCCGTGTGCCATCGGCCTCTCTGGGTGTCGGTCTTCTGTGCTGTACACCCGACGGCAAATCATTAATGGTATTGCAATGAGCATATCATATAGTGCTCGCGTTAGAATATGAAATGATGTCAAGCTTGATCAGCAGGGTTTAGGGTTAGTTCTTACACCTAGCTTCCAAAGAAGAAGATGAGTTTCGAACCCTGAATGTCCCTTTGCTTATGGAGTTTTCTCTTTCGACATGAGTACCTGTCACTTCATTCGTTATCATACTATGCGCTGATAACGACTCCCATGACAGTCGCGTAATCATTTCACAGACAATTATTGATAAAGGAGAAGTGCCATAATATGGTATATTAACAAGCCACAGGTCTTTCGATTTTAACCTTACGAGGGTCGAATCCCCGCCACAACATTAACATTAGTTGGCCAGCTATGAATCTACATTTGCCACTCACGACCCAGGGGAAGTAAATGAGTGCGAGAGGATGGAGTTCTCCGACGGAATGAGAGGCCACAATAAAGCAGGGGGTAATAGTATTATAAACTCATGCGCTCCTGAACAAACAGTGATGGCGCAGTGTATAGTAAGTGTTTGGCGTTGTTTTGGATCGGTATGTGAAATTATAAAATAGAAGATTAATTCATTCTTCTGGTAAATGGAATACTAGTAGATGCCCTTTTTCATTTTTAGAGAACACTTTTGAGTACAACATAATGGCAGCAAATAAATGAAAGGAATATCATATTGAATCACCAGAACAAAATTGGGTTTTTGTTTGTATGGTGCTAAGAGGAAATTAAGAATAATTGAATAAAATTAATGAATGAAACAGGGAGAAGAATTTAAAAATAAAGAATGGCGAAAAATCGTTAAAGGAAAGATCCCCCCCCCCCCCCCATTTCGTACAGTCTGCTCGTTCTATCTTTGAAACTTCAATCAAATTAACACCATCGTATACCTGAAAATAACATGAACAAAGCAATGTGGCAGCATAACCATTCTGGAAGCAAGCCTACATCAATGTCAAATCATTATCTAGCAAGGTCCGTTTTGTATGGTGGCCCTGAAGGGACATCGCGAATAGACTAAATCGTGAAAAATTTGCGATAAAATTCACGATATCGTCAATTTTATCGCATATTTTTCACGAAGAAATTCACGAAATTGACGATATCGTGAACTTTATCGTGAAAAGTTCACGATATAAAGTTCACGATATCGTCAATTTTATCGTGTACTCTATCGTGTACTCTATCGTGTACTCTCCTGACGGGCGCTTCGTAAACAAAACCAGCCCTAGCTGGGGGAGACAGAGAGAAGGAAAAAAGGAAAGGGAAAGAGAAGATAAAAGGAAAGAAAGAATAATAAGAAGAAAAGAGGGAAACGGGGGCAAAGGGCTTTTGCCTCGTCCCCCCGCCCCCCGCCAAAAAATAAATAAGAGAGAGAGAGAGAAGGAAAGGGAAAGAGAAGAAAGAAAGAGAAAAACGAAAAAGAGGGAGAATAGGAAAGAAAGGAAAAGAAAGAAAAGAAAGGAGGCAGGAGCCCTTCGCCCCTGTTTCCCTCTTTTCTTATTCTTTTTCCTCTTCTTTCTTTCCTTTTATATTTTCTTTCCCTCTCCCTTCTCTTTCCCTTTATGGCGGAGGGGGGGGGGGGAGGTAAGAGCCTTTCGCCCTTCCCCCGTTTCCCTCTTTCCGTCTTCTTCTTCTTTCTTTCCTTTTATATTTTCTTTCCCTTTCCCTTTCCCTTCTCTCTCTCTCTCTCTCTCTCTCTCCTATTTATTTGTTGGCGCGGGAGGGGGGGGAGGAGGCAAGAGCCCCTCTTTTCTTCTTATTCTTCTTCCTTTCCTTTTTTATTCTCTTTCCCTTTCCCTTCTCTCTCTCTCTGTCTTATTTATTTTTTGGGCGGGGGGATGCAAGAGCCCTTCGCCCCCGTTTCCCTCTTTTCTTCTTCTTCTTCCTCTTCTTTCTTTCCTTTTATCTTTTCTTTCCCTTTCCCTTTCCCTTCTCTCTCTATCTCTTATTTTTTTTTTTTGGCGGGGGGTGGGGAGGGAGGAGGCAAGAGCCCTTCGCCCTTCCCCCGTTTCCCTCTTTCCTTCTTATTCCTCTTCTTTCTTTCCTTTTATATTTTCTTTCCCTTTCCCTTCTCTCTCTTATTTATTTTTGGCGGGGGGGGGGGGGGAGGAGGCAAGAGCCCTTCGCCCTTCCCCTGTTTCCCTCTTATTCCTCTTCTTTCTTTCCCTTTCCCTTCTCTCTCTCTCTCTCTTATTTATTTTTTTGGCGGGGGGGGGGGGGAGGTAAGAGCCTTTCGCCCTTCCCCCGTTTCCCTCTTTCCTTCTTCCTCTTCTTTTTTTCCTTTTATATTTTCTTTCCCTTTCCCTTTCCCTTCTCTCTCTCCTTATTTATTTTTTGGCGGGGGGGGGGGGAGTGAGGAGGAGGCAAGAGCCCTTCGCCCCCCCCCCTCGTTTCCCTCTTTTCTTCTTATTATTCTTTCTTTCCTTTTATTTTCTCTTTCCCTTTCCCTTTTTTCCTTCTCTCTGTCTCCCCCAGCTAGGGCTGGTTTTGTTTACGAAGCGCCCGTCAGGAGAGTACACGATAGAGTACACGATAGAGTACACGATAAAATTGACGATATCGTGAACTTTATATCGTGAACTTTTCACGATAAAATTCACGATATCGTCAATTTCATCGTGAAAAGTTCACGATAAAGTTCACGATATCGTCAATTTCGTGAATTTCTTCGTGAAAAATATGCGATAAAATTGACGATATCGTGAATTTTATCGCATATTTTTCACGATTTAGTCTATTCGCGATGTCCCTTCAGGGCCACCATAGTTTTGTAAACATTGTTCGACTTTGAGAATGATGCTATCACTGGGTGATGACGTATACCCATTTTTTGCAATAAGGCAACGTATGATTTCGAACTCAGTATATCCAGCAGCTACCATTTTGTTAAGTGTGTGTTAGTTGTTCACATTTATGAATTAAAATTCGATTGCGGTATCTTTCTACCAAATTGTTCCAGATCCTTTCAGAATAATGTTTATCTCAATACTGGTTCCACCAATATATTTTACTATCAATTTTGTCGTTACTTTCCTTCCAATCCTGCAGTATAAGTAGGCTATAATGAGCAATATTTCATTAAATGGGAAAATGAAGTATATATAGTCTGCATGTGGGTGGGTAATCAGCATCAATACATTAATTCATACATTCATCATTTCACGTGCTGCTGTTTCATGAAATTATAAATAGTAATAATAATAATATTAGGCTTTTATATAGCGCTTAATACAATGTCTCTAAGCGCTTTACCAATATACTATTACCCCGGTCATTGGATTTAGTGCTTGCCCACACACACTGTGTGCACAATCTCCACTCCCTGGGGAGCATTCCAGCCAGGCGTTACTTGACGCTCAAAACTCTTTGACCAACAATGACGGTCGCATCCTACCGGGTACCCATTTAACACCTGGGTGGAGAGTAGCAAGTTTTAGCCAGATCGCTGTATTGCGAATAATAATAATTATAACAAACGGTGCTTATAAAGCGCTTACCACCAGCATATACATGCATTAAATACTACTTCTAAATCTTATTTTTCCGACATCTGCCTTACAATCTCAAAATGATATAGCCCGTTCTACATTTTTTGTTATAATCGTACACGTAGATTGAGCAGTACATTTGTCATACTATGTGAATTATTACGTGGCTATGTCTTTTTGTGTGTCATGTATCAGTCAGTCTCATAGAGATATAAATACATATAACTCTATAATGGTCAGCCTATATCATTTTAAAGATTCTAACATTTCTATAAATTATGTCTGATATTATATAGGAACCAGAGAGCGATCAAATATTCATCATTATAGTTTACAATTATTAAATTGATTCGTTAACTAGCGTTTTTTAAGGAGGTGTGAGGGACAGTTTACCCCCCCCCCCCCCCCCCCCCGACCGATATCGATCTGATCAAGAAAAAGGGCGCCCAATTTTTCACGTAGCGGACAAGTTGCTCACTAACGCTGATTTAGTCAAGAAGTTAGACTTATGACGGTTTCTAGGAACGGGCCCCAGGTATCTATTTTGCGAGCGGTTCTCTTTGTCAATGTTTTCCAACTTGACAGTAACCAAAAGCAAGCTAAAATGGGGATTAACAAAAGAAACTGCTCAACTGTTAAAACAGCCGAACCGTTGTCGCTAGAGGCCGGACATGGGAGAATATCCATTCATGGGATTTCATTACCCAACCAGTCTTTGAAGAGGAAGGTCGCGGTTGCATTCCACTCAAGTTGAGTGTCTCATCTATACAGGTCATTGCAGGTCTTTGGATACAATCGTTTGCAGTTGAGGAAAAGGCGATCTGTATACGGAGATTGTTCTCTTTATTCAGCAATCAAGAAGAGAAGTTGTTTTAAGATCCCTGGAACAGGCTCATAGTTTTGCATTGGATACCCTAGTCTGCTAATTTCAGAGTTTCAACCTCCTTTCGCATCAATTAATTCGCATTTTCATTTTTTCGTCATAAGGAGATGAATAACCTCGTATACGTGTGAGTGGACACAGACATATCCTTCAGTTATCTTCACTACATTGCACGGGATGATACCTGTCCTCGATACCGCAGTCACACCGCCAAATCGACCCCTTAAGCGTCCTCATTAACCGACCAATAACGTCCAATACCATTCGGGTAATGTACTTTTAATTCAGTTTAGTCAGTCTTTTGCCTGTCTCGCTGGTGTGACTCGGTAGTATAGTCTCGTTGTTCTGTGAATACATTCGTGCATGTAATCTCATCATTTTCACTGTATCGGCGGCCCATCAGTGCAAAACCGGTAAGTTCAAATCTCCAACTTAAAGTAAGATAGTGTATCACTTTTCGTGGACCAGCCAAACATTTAAAAAAGTCTCTAGAAAAAGATTTTATCGCATTTTGGTGGTAATGCATGGCATCCGTGCTAACAATCCTGCAAATATACTGAGGAATAAAATACGGGCGGATGCCACGCGCAATTTTTTAACAAAAATATCATTTGGGCTCTAATTTTTTTTTTTGACCGAATATGTATTATCTGATAAAGCCGGTCTATTTTCACTATGAATGTTGGATATTACGCACATAACTATTATGTATAGCGCAACGAAACATAAAAGTGTGATTTACTCAGAATTCAAATTATAAAAACTAATTATATTTCAAAAATTTTCACACACCCTAAATCTGTCCTTTGAAACAATTTTTCTTAATATTCTTGATTTAACACATAAAAAAAATATTATGTTGTCATGCACACACATAAAAGAAATAATCAAAAGATGTGATGGATGCGATATTGATTAGTCGCTATTATTGTTCCCGACTCTTGCCTAGCAAAATAAGCAGAAAAGAATGTGTTCACATGAATGTACAATATTGGTCCACTTTAGTCAGGAAATAGCCAGGAAATTATCTATACTGCTCTTCCTGGGCATTGGAATCGTTATTTCTCCATCGTTCCCACGTACATGTACATCTACATCTGTATATACTATCTGACTGCATGGGTCGATAGTATAGGAGATAAAATAATGTGGGCCAAACGCGCTACCCAAGGATGTAAGTGGTAGCAATGATAAGGAACAATGAATGTAAAAATTTGATCCACTTTAGCCAGGAAATAGCCAGGAAATTATCTATACTGCTCTTCCTGGGCATTGGAATCGTTATTTCTCCATCGTTCCCACGTACATGTACATCTACATCTGTATATACTATCTGACTGCATGGGTCGATAGTATAGGAGATAAAATAATGTGGGCCAAACGCGCTACCCAAGGATGTAAGTGGTAGCAATGATAAGGAACAATCCATTTGTATGAGAGTAAAGTACGTGTCCTTAATAATATACAACAGTACTCTATAATGTTATTTGGATATTAAGAAGCTGATAAATAACTTGTTAACATTGTTTTCAACATATTAAATGCTATCAACATTCTCTTCAACTTTCATGATGAAGGGATTAAAAAAAAATGTTCCCACCTTGTGTTCGGAGGATTAAGCGGAGAGAGAGAGAGAGAGGAGAGAGATAGAAGTGAATATTTTCACGATTAACTACCATGTATATTTAGGTATTCGTGTCCATTTTAACAAATAATTGCAATGACGACCCTCGTCATTGCCTTGTTTTCGTTCACATTCTCCTGGTTTTCCTTATCGTCCAGAAATCTTATTCGTTTTGCACGTAGTGCTTGTTTTTCCTAGTTAGGTGCTTTTCTCATGCCCTTTTCCTTTCAAATTTCGTAGGCATCATCTCTAGCATCTCATCAAGGTCACTACATTCTTTGATTTTCGAAATCACTCATGCATAACAGTCAAGGCGCCATTTTGTCCGTTTCTGGTTCATTTTAAGGCCTTTCTATCTTCCTTCCTATCTCCACTATCCTAGATCCTACAAACTTCTAACAATTTCCTCTCGATAGTCTAAGAGATGTTCTTTCATCTGCGACTTATAACCTGCCCTTCAAAATGCCATCTTCATACTCAAAATTCAAATCTGAAACCGATTCCGTCAAAAATCTCTCAAATTCTTTTTCTCATATAAATTCCGTTTTGTATTTAGATCTCAGACTAATTGCACAAGACCATGCTAAATTTCACGCTCTAATGGCTATGCAAAACATAAATAGCGCCCTCTAAAGTTCTGGGAATTGGCCGTATCTCCATTATGGCTTGGCAAACCCGTACCTTTTTTGGGATTTAGATACTTGAAGATATGCCCTTTCCAGCCATATACAAAATTATATACCCTAACACTGACCGACTTTGAGAAAAATGCCCTCCAAATTCGCCATTTTCAAGAAAATTCCAAAATAACTTCAACTTGCTCTAAAATGGCGATCTTTATACCTACATCAATGAAACTTGGCAGACATAATTTATATACGTGACAACTGTCTGCCAAGTTTAGTAAAATTTGAATATGTCAGCGCAAAGTTATCGCCAAAAATTATGAATTTACTATGCATTACGTGATAGCGCGTGTCAAACTGACCGCAATGAAGTGTCCTTTTGAATGATACCAAGTATAGTATATGTTCACACAGAAAATTGTGAGTAAATCGCATTTGAACAAGAGTCACTATATGAATTCCGCCGAGTTTCCGCCCGATTATAACACGTATCGGCTATATCGTCATTTTTTTAGACTGCTTTTCGCCCCCTAAACGTCCTTCTTTTTCCTTGAAAATTTGCAGTGACATGCCGAGTTCCAATACGCAGGGCACGTACCTCATGGCCGGATTTTTAAAATTGGTCAATGGGGTCATTTAAGACGCCATTTTGTCCTATAAATCTATTTTACATCACGTGTTTCGATAGGATTATCATAGAAAAAAAGAGAGTGGTTTACAATAACAATCATAAAATTCTCTTTCTAATGATACCAAATACGGCCCATAAAGAGACATAAAGAGAGAGAGAAAAAACAATTTAAAGATGAAGTTGAGTTCTGGTCATGCAATTGCATTGTGAAAGAAACGGTGTGGAACCGACCAGAAAAGGTTGATCATCTAGCATATAAGAATTTGTGTGTACTGCAAGATTCTGGAATCATCAAAATGATAAGAAATTTGGCCAAGTCTTGGTAAAGTTACAAACACTTGCACAGAAAGATGTATATGGGACTACACGAACACGTGGCGTAAAAAGCCGGCCCCCCGATTTTTACGATGTTACATGAATATTTAGAATATAAAGGCATTTGAAGAGCCATGCTTTTCAGGGAACATGTCTTATCTGATGTTCTTCCACACTTGCATAATAAGAATTAGTATAATGCTCACAAATTATTTTTCACCTCTTCCCAGAACTCAATCCTTGTATAAACATTATATAACATTATATTCTTTTTATTCACCTTGCCATATCGTTAATGTATGTATTTTGTTGACTATAGGGCCCCGCTCACAAGCTTAGCTTCTACAGGGGTCCTAAAACCATTCACTTAATGATGTACTATTACCAGTCTCTTTTTCATGTAAAAGATTATATCATGTTTTGTGTGGTTTTGAATAAATGAACTTGAACTTGAACTTGAACAATCTTCTCTTTAACTCCGGTCATAATACAGATCCTGTACGTTTTCCGCTCATGCATTACACGCATTGTCTATTGGGGCATATCGGGTTCACGCTTTTGACCCCCAGAACGATCTCGATTGCAATGACACACATGCACCAAATCCCCTTGGTTTTTGCACACAGTGCTTGCGAGCCCTTTCTACGTCCTTTCCCCTATCCCAATTTCTTTCAAACTTCGTAGGCATAGTCACTACCATCCCATCAAGGTCACTGTTGAGGCCTTTCTTTCGCCCTACCTATCTCCAATATCACATAAGCTACAGACTTCGTGCAAATTGCTCTGGATAGGGCGAGAGAAGCTCTTTCGTTTGACACGTAGAAACATGGCGTCATTGCACGCACATCGTTGTGACACGATTGCATTTCTAGTTTCATACTTTTTTAATGGCAATTTCGTCCCGAAGACGAACACAAATAATACAATTTGGAGGCAACTTTTTTCACTTGAGTACCTAGGATAAGAATATGCCATATTGAATTTAAAAGGGACACGGCTCGACTGTACACCCCCCCCCCCCCCCGACTCAACTGAATTTAATTTTAAACAAAATGTACTGAATATTACCTGTTTTTAACCTGCTTGTAACAATTACAGAATAGAGGAGATGTGGTGATACAGTAGTTTATTCGTTTGACTTTAAATCAAAAGGGTACATGTTAGACGCTCAACATTTTCACTGTAGCTACACCACCTGATATATGCTATACACACACCAAAATCACCCCTTCAGCGATTCTCATGGAAAGTGTACTGAAAAGAGTCATAAAAAAATACATTTGAGCATTGGTCTTGTCACGTTTCTAAATCGAAAGGAAATTATTTGCTTTGGCAAGTGTGATTGTTGGTACACGTTCTTTGAACCCACCTATTTTAACGAAGGGACACAACTGAAAGGGATATTATTGTACATGTATACATAATTATATCCCCCCCCCCCAAATTATCCTAGTTAAATATCCCGCGATGTCACCGAATAAAGAGGCTTCAGGCATTATACCCAAGATCATACAGGCATAGATCTGAAGGAATACATGTATATATTTATAATGGTGAGATCAAGGGCGATGTGACTTGTCCGGCCTGGCAACGGCTGCTGCTGTAAGCTGGTTCATGCAGGTGATACTGGGGGTAGGCATGGGGCGTGGCGCGGGTGAATGCGTATGCGTGCCTCGGGGCTCTCTGGGAGCAGACTAGCCTTTAAACAAGGCCACATGTCTGTTGCTTGCTGTATTTGCTATTTTTGTTATTTTTGCTTGTTTCACGTTGTATAATTTTGATTTGATTTGATTTGATTTATTGGTTTCTGCATCTTTTTCTTCATACATTTTCATGAACATAATATGGTTTGATACAATATTTTTAAGTGTATATAATTTTATACAGATAATAAACTAATTTAAACAAATATATTGAATGCATAATTAACATACATTAGATGCAGGAGGGCTACAGAAATAAGCAAAGTAGCTTGACGTGCCCGCAGCCCTCAACTTAGTTACAGCAACAATAACAAATAAAAATAGAAAAGACTGACTTGCAGAGAAGAAAAGGAAAGGGGAGAGAAGGAGCGTTGGTAATACAATAAATCTCGTACATCTGCTGATTGCCAATGCAGGTTCATTCATGAATGACTAAACGATGCTGGCTAGGTCATGGACGATTACACATCATTGTTGAATACAGTCAATGTACACACGAACATGAATATAGTACAATAATAATCATCTTATGTTAAGGCTTCTTGCCCACCTATTATTACTGTTACGTCCCCTACCGTTACAACTACTTCAACCAAATGTGAGTTTTATGATTGAATGCAGGTTCATTCATGAATGACTAAACGATGCTAGGTCATGGACGATTACACATCATTGTTGAATATACAGTCAATGTACACACGAACATGATATGTGAAGGCTTCTTGCCCACCTATTATTACTGTTACGTCCTCTACCATTACAACTACTTCAACCAAATGTTAGTTTTATTTATGGGAACCTATAATCTACAAGCTGAGCTTTTTAATAGGTTCCTCACATTTCACTCTGTATAACCTTATATTAATTACAATTAATTTCGACGTCTTTTCAAAGAATTAATTATATAATGTGACACTTTTAGTATATTTCATATTATGTTCTATTTTTGTCAATTATGTAAATTCTTTTTATTTGTGAAATGTGAAATAAACTTGAAAACTTGAAACTTGAAACTTGATGGGCTTGAGGCGTCTTGCATTCATTTTTCTACAATTGCCTTGCTTAAATTAATTAATCATCTAGATAAATTTGGGGAGCTTGAAGAATTTTCCCTTTCGGTGTGGGGGGGGGGGAGGGTGAGTCCCCCCCCCCCCCCCCTCTTGAACTGCAACTGAAGTCATACCGACCAAACCTTGCCTGGCCACTTTGGGTAACACAGTGTTTTGTACCGTCTATCGTCGGTCTAGTGGTGGTGAGTGTCGGTAAGGTATCACTCGAGACTACTGCACTTTTTTCTCCAAACGTCCATGACCTTGTGTATTTGTTTGGTCCATTTTTATTCTTAGACTAGGATGTAAATAGGTGAATTAAAAAACAATAGTGATATCAACATCAGACTTGTTTTTCCATATATCTTTTGAGAATACAGATTACAGAATTACAGTTTAAAGATCACCTGTTTATGGACACTAATCTGATTTCACAGCGCCCATCGACTTCGTAATCTTCTGTATTAATTTTGTGTTAATAAGGAGGAACGACCCGAGGACAGCTTTTCCCACTGTTGTTAAAGATGGGAGACCGAGGTTTGAAGATCTACTTCTGCGGCAGCATCCAGGGCGGTCGACAGGATGCTGAGCTTTACACCAGGATCATCAAGCAACTCAAGCAATATGGACAGGTCCTGACAGAGGTCATAGGAAACAAGGATGTTCTTCGTATCGAGGCTGGTAATTTTTTTTTTTTTTTTTTTTTTTGGGGGGGGGGGGGGGGGGGGGAGTTTGTTTTGACGAATTGACAGTAACCCGTTTACGTATTATTGGCTTTGTATGTTCCTTTCCCCTACCCCTCCCCTCTCTCTCTCTCTCTCTCTCTCTTTATCATTCCCTCTGTCTATGTTGTTTTTATGTTATGTTTCACTATTATAATAACTTATGGTCTACTAGAATATTTCTGATAAAATATGGATATCACCGACGAGTTCTTAAACAAGAACCAAGAGAAGAACGTAACGCATTCTTGTGTGGTTAGCTTTTAGTGTCGATTTTCATGTAAGTCATCTCTAGATCTGTATACATAGCGCACTGTTTAAACTATTGAAGAAATAACATATGAAAGACAATTTTAAAATTTGTCAACTTTTGAAAGATGTTACATCATTTTTCTTTTCTCTATTTCTTTTGCTCTTTTATTTTTGCTTTTTTATTTTTGCTTTAGCTGTGACAGAAGCTGAGATATATGAACAAGACATCGAATGGCTCGCTTCTGCTGACGGTAATGATTGATTTCTCATTGACATGAGCGCTATACAAGAACCCACTATTATTATTATTATTATTATTATTATTATTATTATTATTATTGTACGAATTAGTCTTCTTTTTTGTGGGGGGGGGGGTGATTGTGCACACAGTGTGTGCGGGCAAGCACTGAATCCAATGACCGGGTAATAGTATATTATTTTGTTAAGTGCCTAGAGACGTTTGTATTAAGCTCTATATAAAAGTTAATTATTATTATTATTAATATTATTCCATGGTGATTGATAAAGAAAGGGAACAGGAAGGAGTTGCATCATTAGAGGAGAGTATGGTAAATTATTATGGTATACTATCAGGAATACTAAATTCATTCATACATTCAAATTCAAATTAATATTTATTTCTTCCAAATCAATTTGACAACATATTTGACATCAGTTGAAACAGCTTTTTTAAGAATTTAGTATGAAGTATTGCCATCTAAACCTCTGAAGGCAATATTTAAACAATATTTAATGGATATTTTGCACCCAAAACCCTTGAACGGTTACCACTACTGGTCTTTGTTACCTTTAAACAGAGTGCGATCCCCATCCAGCCAGTCACCAGATTTAGTAATATCATTCTGTGTAATGATTTATTTAGGAAAATGGAAATTTAATACTGGTAAGTTGTTAGATAACATCACTCAGTCTGATTCGATTGATATGAAGATATATCTCATTAATGAAACAGTGTAAAGGCTAACCACAGACATTAAGCCATGCAGGCACAAATTTAGTAATCTTCTTTTGTGTATCTAAAGACCGAGGTTTCCCTGGTTTATTTGGGAGAATGGAAGGTTGATATTATGGTTAAGTTGTTGGATAACATCACTCAGTTTGATTTGATTGGAGATAATAATCTCATTAATAAATCAGTGTAAAGGCTACACAGTGCGTCCCAGAAAAAACGAAACCGAGAAGTATCGATGTTCTATAATAACTTAATCACAACTATAATTAATGAATGATACATATTTGGAAAGCTTATAGTCTCCTCTTTCATGTGATGCTAGTCAGATGATGCATGAGTGATTAAAAGCAATTTGAAGGAAGTAAACCAAAAAGACATTTGGCGGGCGGTATCTGAATTTCGAAGAAAAATTCACATTTCTAGAAAGTTGAGTTTCAGCCCTTTCAATCAGGAAAAATGATCGAGGAATGACAAAGTTCTGTTTGTTTAAAGTAGTGCTTGCATTTCCATAATTTTATTAAACGAATTCGTTTTCACTGGCTGCCCGCCGTATCAATAAACGAAATTAACAAAAGACTTAACTCTGTTTCGTTGACAATCAGCCATAGACGAGAGTCTTCATGCATGGCTGATTGTCAACGAAACGGAGTTAAGTCTTTTGTCAAATCTGCAAAAATCCTCTCGCTCCCTCGCATAATATCCTTCAAAATGTACAAGTAAATATTGTAGAAAATATGTTGGTATCACGTAAGCACAGTTTACACTGTATGTTTACAACATCAAGAGTTATAGAAATAGATCAGTGCTAAAAAGAGAGGATATTCAGCTTGCTCTTTAAAGAAGTCCCTTCCTGCCTACTTACTAAAATTGACCTAATGAATATTTACAACCCTTCGGACTGCACACTAGATACCGGCAAAGTAAAAGTGAATTGTGAAAAACAGTAAATTGCTCGTTTTTATACTATAGTTTTGCTAAAGAATGTAATTTTGTAATACAACATATTTCAAAAGTCTGTGAAGGGGTAGCATATAGAGCTATATAATAAGACGTATAATGGGGGTAGTCACTTTCGTCACATCCGCCCCTTTCACTGGCCTACTGATGGGGGGGGACAGCAACCCCCCCCCCCCATAATATCCTCTTCTTTTTCGTCATGTATTTTATTTGTTTTCCATATGAATGTATCCTCTTCCCTCCCCTGGTGTACGTGCTTGCACATGCTGCTGGTGATTGTAAGCGGTGTGCGCTGATGACTTAAACTCTTTCACCAGAGCACTTCTAGGAATTGTTTTCGCATAAATGGCTAAACAGTTTGGTTTTAAAAAAAATGCGCCACCAGGCCGGCGCCATCAGCCCAGCCTGAGAATTTCGCCGGGCGTCCTAATTGAATGATCACGCCACCATCGGCTGGTAGCAAGTAAGTAGAGGGAGGTTGGTGTGGTGGAGATCAAAATGAAATAGGCCAGATTCTCGACTAATAAGGCAGCGGCGTATATTGAGTCCAGTCATTGATAGTGCTCTGGAGTCTGGAATCATATTTTAGGAGGATGGGGGAGGCACCGCGGGTTCAAATTACCAGTTCGATGAATACGAGACTGGTAACCGGGGTTGGACGGCTAATTATAGTCATCATCTCCCTTCCAGGTCTGCGATTGGGACAAATACCCCCCCCCCCCCCACCCCCCCCCCCCCCCCCCCCCCCTCATCCGTAGCTATATACTACTGCCCACATCAGACACAATACTAATCGAGGGTTGATAGTACGGTGTTTCCACGCAAAAGTCACGAAAACTATGAAAGTAAATATTCGTCAATGGTAATATTTGATATATAGCGTGAAGTGATGGGTAGAAAAGGGCAAACACAAGAGACAAACACTAAGAAAGAGGACAAATATACAGTTGCTCATTCTACCCTCAACAATTGCTGTGGTAGACAAAGGATCATCCCTTCATTGCTATTATGTACAAATGTGTAGAACAAGCGTCACATGCATATTCACCTGTTCTACACATTTGGAGGGTAGAATGAGGAACTGTATATTTTGTCCTCTTTTTTGTCTTATGAAAGAGCATGAATAAAATATTTTGTATATGTAGTTCCATTTTATGGTCCTCTCCCTCTCTCTCTCTCTCTCTCCCTCTCTCTCTCTCTCTCTCTCTCTCTCTCTCTCTCTCTCTTTCTCTCTCTTTCACTGCACTCCTCTATCGTAGTGGTGGTAGCTGAAGTCACACAGCCCTCTCTTGGAGTTGGTGTTGAGTTGGGAAGAGCACAGCTTTTAAAGAAGAAAGTCTTGTGCCTATTTCGACCACAAGAAGGCAAAAGTAAGTGTGGTATTTTCCAATTCAACTCGGACTCTTCAACGTCCTTTAAGAACAACCTTAAATCCCATTTATTTAATTTCGTGTTTTGAAGACAGACATTCATTCATTCATTCTTTCATTTTTGCATTTTCTTCTTATGTAAATGTTAACGATTCTTTGTCATGATGTAATGTGTTCCCTAATATTTTGAAGCGCCTTGAGCATTTAATTAAAATGGATAGTGGGGCTATATAAATCTCATATTATTATTATTATTATTATTGTCCGTCTTCAAGTGGATTTTCAATTTTCCGATTCATTTAGTTTAATAACATAACCGTTTTTTTAAATAAGGTTTATTAGCATTATACTCGTTCGACCGCTCCGTACCTGCTAATATTATGATAACGTTGATAAAACACGGCAGCAGGATTGAAATTTGAACATTTGGCCTACTTTTTTTATTTTCACATGCCTTTTTGGGGTCTAACATTTAAAGGGGCACAGTTGTTGACTGGTTGTGCCTCTTAAATACGCCAGCGCGATTAATTGTGACTGTTTTGTTTGCGGGATTCCAGGGGCGGATCAGGGGGGGGGGGGGGTTCGGCGGTTTAAATCCCCCCCCCCCCCCTCTTGGGCGGCCAAGTGAAAAAAGGGGGAAATGAAAAAAGGGGCCAAAGGAAGAAAGAAAAAAAAAGTAAAACAGTAAAACCGCGCAATTTTTGGAAAATCCTGGATCCGCCACTGGGTCAACCACCCTCCCCCCTTTGGTAAAAAGCTAGATCCGCCCCTGGGGATTGCGTGCATGTATGTAACGTCCAAGGGGCCAATATTTGTGACCGTTTTTTCTCTTTCTTTTGTTTGTTCGTCTTTGTTTTTTGTGTTGTTTAAAATGAAAGTTGATACTATTCATACATTTTCTCAACGATTATTCCAGTCCTGTCGGCCATGGTTCGTGGAGCTCACGACGGGGAATTGTTTATGGTGAAGGACTATAGGGAGGAGGACCTCCCTACAATATTCAGCGAGTTCTTTCGACAACATGCCCCTTTTCACACCAACAGTAATGCAGACTAAAATTAAGTTGTGAAAGATTCTCAATCCTCAATTTCAACAACGGCCTCCTTGACACCAAATAAATTGGGGATTTAACATAAATTGAAGAAAGAGTGTCCTCTGAAATGCCATTCCTTACAAAGAACTTGGTCAACATACTCATTACTGGCATCGTTTACACTGAGGCGGATTGAGATCCGTGAAGTATAAGTGCACCCTCTGACATATACTGTCGCTCAATCTGCTAAGAGGAAATTCAATGAGGAGAGAATGAACTGGAAGTGGAATCTCATATGATGTTGTTAAAATAAACTAAACTTGTGAGTCATTAAATCGACCATTTTTCATTCAGAACGGCTCAAACCTCGCCATTATCGTCAAAATTGCAGCAGCTCGTATTTAATATCTTAGAATGTATCTCCAACGAACGCAGTATAACATAAATCATAGTATTATTGTATTATTTTCATAATTTTACACTTGAACAGGGCTGAATTCAGAGGCGAATCCATAAAGGGGGGGGGGGGTGTTCTTCTCTACAAAATCAAGATTTACAATTAAAAATACAATTCAGAGTAATTATAAATGATGACCCTTTTTAAGCTTACCAATTAATTTCTTTACATATGCTGGTACCCCCTACCCCAATATAACCTTGGATCAACTGAAATAAAAAAAATAAAAAAATATATGAACAAACCACAATTAAAAGAAACACACACATGTCAACAAAACATCAATAAAAACACACAAGTCAATATTACATGTACGTATCATTTTGTTCCATTTTTATTTTTCTCTCGGACGAGTGTACAGTATCTGTAACTTTTCCTGAATATAATAAAATAATTACTCCACAAATACAGCGAATATAATAATAAAGTGGTTGCAGACACATCTGCATCTATTTTTGTGGAATAAAAATGCTATAGTAGGCAAACGCAGTGGTGAGAAATAAAGACCATTTCTGCCACGGTTTGCTGGGTACTTGGCTTCAGATGATTTGTAATCATTAAGAACACAAAAGATTCTGAGCAATTTACATATTCAGACACACACTGTGGAATAATAAGAGGACGGTATTGCTATGGTGGTATCAAACATGCAAATGAGAAAAACAATGTTAGTCATGATAGATCATTAAAGATCCTGGATGATCGAACTTTCAATTGGGTAATTTTACTGAACATTACAGACATAATTTATTCATGTTCAAACCGTTAATACAGGTATAACATAATGTTGTATACAGTTTACATAATGGATTAAATAGTTAAATGTATGTTAATTAAGTTATTTCAAAGAGTATGGGATGGAATGTATTTTCATCTAAGCAAAGTTAAATTAATTCATTATGAACATATATTTGCAAACATAAATAATGAAATTAGATTATGAAGTGTCACCATTTCTAGATGGCTTTATTCAAAATATAACTTAACATTTCAGTTGCACTTTTGAACACACATTGATTCAGTGTTTAAAAAAAATAGTTGTCAAAATCATCTTTGTCATGATTTAGTCAGACAACTTTACAGTATAGTTCACAGTTCTTAAATGTGATATACCCATATACCTGTAGAGTTCTATATATTTCCCTGATATAAAGGGGATACAATGCAATAGCTGATGTAGTTCTGTCTTAATAGAATTAGTACTTGCCACAAGTTAATATAGACATATTCGGTTTTACTCAAAGAACCCTGTGATAACCCCACAATGTAATTATTATTTTACTATAATAATGTCAAATTGCTGGCTGTGATTAGTAGGGTCGAAGCAGCTTTCATGCAGACACGTAAACAATATCTCTTCATGATAAATTATAAAATCTTCATTTTCTAAGAGCCAAAAAATGGCAGAAGTCATTTGAAAGATTTTATACGAGGTGGGTTTTCCCTACCCCTACTTTTCAACTTATCTTTAATACATACAACTATACATGTACATAATCTAAATAGTACAACGTTTTGTTCATAATCACAACTAAAGGTGCTATTCTTTCCAAATTCATACTCCGTCAAGAGCAGCTTCAAAGTAGTTTTTCAAGATATGGCCCAGTTGCATAAAATGTGTATCAGCTAAATACTGCTGTGATCATGACATACATGCTCACTGCCAATCAAATCAGATGATTTCAGTAGAATTTATTAATTGTGACTTTTATGAAACAAGGTTATTTTGTCATTGCACAATGTAAGGCATGGAACCTACATGTACATAGGCTGTCCAACATCAAGCAACTAAATCTATATTGAATAAACCTAAATGTTGAGCCCAATATGCCAATCAAGTCTTGATCTTCGATTAAAAAATACATTTTGTTTGGTCAAATATTCACTTTTCTGATCTTATATTGGCTATGATGATGATAAATCTTATCATGGCATAAATAACATTTATTCTATGCCACATAAAAGTACAGATTAGAATGAAAATTGGCCATGAAAATGTCTATGGGGTGGCCTATTATCTCTTGTGAGATTGTGAACTGCTTACCTAAATGCATAGCAAAAAAAAAAAATGTACATTAAAAATGAAATGACAAGATAATGAATACAATCTCACTTCCTTTATACTTGGCCCAAAAGTATTTACCCATAATAATTTATGTTCTCTCTCTCTCCCCCTCTCTCTCTCTTTCTCCCTCTCTAAAAGTTTTAAAACTAACAAATGATTTACAAAAATACTGTACATTTCAAACATAATTTCTCAGAAACAGGACTGCATCAAATGAATTTATTTGATTTGTTTGCAAAATTGTACATTTCATCTCACATATAAACATATACTAGAACAAATTTGTTGTATCTTGTTCATTTCTCTGTACACACACTTTGAACATTAGACTATTTTTTATACAGGTAAAAAGTCCTTCACATCTTGTCACTTGGAAATACATGTATACTGTATATTTACAAGATTATTGTAATTTCAGGCAAGAACATAGATTGGGGAACATGCTACAAAATTAATTACCCCCACAATGATATGAAAATATCAAACTCCTTTGATAACAAAAACAGCAGCTGCTTTACATTGTCTTTCATTAAAATAACCATTTGTGAATGAATTTGTTCAATTTTGTTAGAGATCTGGTATAATTGTATTCATATGTTGTTCATATCCTCAATGAAACTTTTTCTTAAGTGCGATAACCATCCACATTAACTTTTAAGATAAATTATGCAGGTTTTAAAAAAATAGTGTAAAGTTGCTCAATACATTGCAATTTCTTATATACCGTAGCTGTTTTCTATCTTATTGCTAAATTCAAATTGATGTCATACCTTATGTTGCCTTTATAACTAGATAAGGTGTTGAATAACGTTATTAATGTTGACTGAACTTTATGTCTTATTTTTGAAGTGTTCAAAAAAAATATAAAGATGATAGAAAGGAAAAAAACACGGTCCAATTATACATGCAGCATGATTCAAATCTTGATCTTTAGAATTTATAATACAATATTTTCAATGTTCATATTTGCTCCAAATTCCATTAAAACATTGTTTGTAGTCACATCTTTTAGTTAAAGAACGGAATAAACATTTACAGGTGTAAGAGTGTTTTTGTGTGAATAATATGTTTTCTGTTTGATTAAATGTAATAATGTATTTTCTATATTCCAGTTTTATTGAAAATCAAATAAATATTTCTGACAATGTTTTTTCTTTCAATTGATGCATTCACTTTCATATATAGTAGGTTAACTATAGTTCAGGCACAAGTGTGCAATGAGGTATTTTTAAAGCATGCAAATATCAATTTGGCAATTCATTTATTTTGAAATATTCATTTCCCTTTCCAATCTCACTTTAATTACCAATCAATATACTATTAATATCAACTATCAATAAAAAAATAAGGTGGATCTCTCGAGTCTCATTTGTAGATAACGAATGCATTGCTTTCAATACAGAATCTTTTTGTCATGGTTGCTTGTCTTGAACACATTTGTACATACTGTTTGTGACAATTACTAAAATGGTGGACTTCAGATCACTAAGCTTGCATGAATTTCCTGTAAAACTCTTGTCAGGTATCTACTGATATTAAGATCAATATAGTGAAAACATGAAGAATTTTTTTAATAATTTGTCCAAATCTCGGATATGTCCAAATTTGTCCTGCAACATTATAAAAAAAATGACGCAACACTTTATCTGCACCACATTTTGACTTACTTATGCCGATTGTCTCACAAGTGTTTTATTTCACTATATATACCGCAAATTCCAGAATGACACTCACTCCTTACACAAATCAGAGTGAATTTCATTTCTAAAAGCAGAGATGACTGAGAAATGATGACCTGCACATGTCAGATCTCTTATAGGGTTCCCTCCCTGCTAATTTATGGGAGTACTTCCGGTGGAGCAGATCTATCAACAAAAAGCTACATCTTCAAGACATATTCAGGGTTCAAGTTGTTCTAAACCAACTTGAGCTTTAAGGCTTCATCTCTAAGAGGTAGTTTGGTGCCCTCATCCACAAGCCATGATCCTTATGAGCATGGTGCATACTGTAGTTTGTGTCTTCCAACATGTTGGCAGCAGTAGGATATACTGGTGGCAGCTGTAGGAATTACTGATGATCAGCAGTAGGATATACTGGTGGCAGCAGTAGGATATACTGGTGGCAGCAGTAGGATATACTGGTGGCAGCAGTAGGATATACTGGTGGCAGCAGTAGGATATACTGGTGGCAGCAGTAGGATATACTGGTGGCAGCGGTGGGATACAATGATTCCTAAATGTTCTGCCAAAGCAACCCACGGCACATGACTCTAAAACCTTTCTCTATTTGATCCTCATGGCACAGATGATATTCAGGAATAATCACACAGGGGTATGTTGGTCCCTCCTTACCCCTCAACATCTTGGACACTCAGCATCAAAAATAAAATTTCTCAAGATTTGATCTCTATAGCACAGTCATTGTTTTAAGCAACACAGTTGCTATCAAAAGGCACTTTATTCCATTTGCTTTGGTGAAGAGTCTGTATCTCTTAAACATTAGCTTGATCAGAACTGAGCTTCCTTGCTTTTTGATATTGATGGCAGCTGAAAGTGTCCATATACATTCTTCGATGCTGCAGGTTGGAATGTCTGAAAAAGATGGGAAGAGAAATTAGTTGGCAAAATAAGCTATAGTTACTGAATGAAACAAATTGAAATTTCAGAACTTAACAATTAATTCTTCTCCTCCATGGGGAAACAGAGATAATAAAATAGGAAGCTAAAAGAATCTACATGTTACCACAGAAAGATGGTTCTTTGCTGCAAGATGTATTAAATGAGCACATATATACGAATTCTAGTATTGAGTTTTTGGAAACTCATTATAACACACTTCATCTTTAAACATGGACCAAGTGGGGGTGTATGATTATCATTACTAGGTCCTCTCACAAATTTGAATACATACCTTTGTTGTATGATGATGCTTGTTGTAATGTGTATTGGCTATACTTGGCAGCATACTCTGTTGGTGTCTGTTGTTGTTGGTGTGTAGCTTCGGAAAGCTGGTGGAACCAAACGTCTGCGTCGGGTAGTTACTGATACTGTGACCGACCATCTTGTTGTTCTGAACCTTGGGCAGTAATGTACTGGAGTAGTTCTCGCTTTCATGAAGCTTACTTTTCCTCTGTTAAAACAAAAATAAAGTTCACAATAAGCAATCAAAATAATAACATCATAAGTATAGAATCAACACGTAGGTGAATGTGAGGTAAGATGGGACAGATTATTGAGCACCCAAACTCAAAATCAAGAACCACAAACATTATATGTCAATGAAATAGGCCAAAAGACATTTGATCAACTAACTTATAGATACAAGTCTTTCTTTATGGGCAATTCTTTGTTTACCTAATTATTTATAACACTTGCTGATTAAAATCTCATTTGCTAATATTTACCTCACAGTACAAGCTGTATTTTTTTCTGTAAATTTTATTTATAGGATTTATTCATTTATTCAACCATTATATTTAAGGTAAACCAGTTGAGGTGATGTGAATATCATGTGCATAGTGTGAGTGATATATTGCTTCAAGGACAACCTTAAAGGTAAAACAAGCTCATACATGTAAGTGAAGATTTGAAAATCATTCATGTGAGTGTCCCACATTCTCCCAATTTGCTGTGTACGTGTACATGTAGTTTCAGAAAAACAATTCATAAGCGTTTGGCAATTTTGCCACAAACATCGTCAAAAGAGCTCTTTAAAAGAAAAAATATAAAAGAATATGAAAATCACCCTCATAGAAATACAAGCCCATTGATCTACTTAATCCAAGAAGAATACCCCAGAAATGTCTTTCTTGGGGTTACAATACTCATCATATACCATCTTTTCCCACTACAGCAAAACACACACACAAGTAATTACCACATATCGTCAGCCAAGAGTCAGCAGAGCATTCACGGATATACTTCAAAATGGAGTTAATGCCTTACTGGGTCTCCGCAGACAATATATCATCTTTATTTTGTTCAATTCCTGCACACTACAGTACCAACTCAAACAAAAAGTCCTAGAGAGCAGTGAAAATTACATTTGTTCTTCACAACCATACCTCGATCTACACACTATCTTACCTTATGAATCTTCTTTACTCTTTGAGATCCAACTTTTTTAGATTTCTTATGAGAAGAACGTTGCAAAAAGGATTTGTTTTACAATAAATCTTTCAGCTTTGTAGAGTGTCTTGCATATAGTACTTTCACAAGTTAATTACAGATCAGTCACTAGAGTAAACAAGTCTCTCCTTGCCCGCTTTCTCCCAATTTAATCAGTGATTCCAGGAATAAAAAGTTTGTTAAAAACACAAACAATGGAATGGATATCTTGATTTTTGCACAGATCAAATAAAAAATAATCTTCTTTGTTGTTAATATTGTAACCTTACTATGATAAGCAAATTTCTGTAATAAATATAAATGTATGTCAATTGACAACACAAAGGTGTCATGAGACAATGCTCTTGATCTGATAATGGTCTGTTTGATTTCAGGTTGAAATGTTAGACTATATCATATCTGGAGGGAGGGGTAATAGCCCTGATTTAAGAGTTAACTGCATTATCCTATGGCACAAAAAGTTATAAGTTCTGATAAATGCATTTTATGCTGCCATCTGCCACCTCCCCCACCCTGTAATTGAATGATAAAACAAACTCCTTGGTACCAAATAATTTCAATCTGAACTGCATATCGCATGGGGCAAAAATTTATGATTCATTTGTTTGCCCAACAACGCCCCCTCCCCCAATAATCCTTAAGGAGGATCAATGCCCTTAATCTGGGATTTAGTCGAAAAAATTGTCCTTACCCTTGCTTTCCTAACAGCTTTATGGTTATCATTGTCGCCATCTTTGCCCTCCACATGACTCTCCTTGGCGGTGTCCTCTGATATGACTGACCCCTGATCCCCAAGCGACAGCTTCTTCTTCTCCACATGCTGCTTCCTCTTATCTGCATCCCTGTTGTTATTAAAAAGGTCAAAAGTCATGCATAAATATCACATGATTTACTATTTTAAGATTTTTTCCTGAATATTTAAGGTTAATAAAGTGCCTAGATGTCGTACCATAATACATGTACATGCACATATTATAAAAAGAAGAGACATAAAACATATTACATACATGCACAATTATATCCAATGTCTTAAATTGGGGTATCATTAGACCATTTTGTATGAAGAATGGGGTGGTCAGAGTCAATTTCGCTGGCAAATTAGCCAACAGAAAACAACTAAAGAATGTCCTTTGGTTTTTAGAGATACAAGTAAGCTGACAAGGCTCAAATAATTGTAAATTTGCACACAGAGATACTGTCATTCATCCTCCATCCCCTCCAATGTTGAACCTGTGTAGCTCAAGCCTTGGTCTAAAAATACTTACTAATAGTGTATGATGCTCTATTTAAGACATCAGTCATATTTAATAAGGTCACAGATAATGAAATTGAAATGATAATAAAGCTATTATAAATGATTAAACTAAGTTCAATTGACAATAGATCAGTATTACCCTGTAATTAAAAACAAGTCTTTGCTTGAATTAATTCACCCACTTAATTTCATCCACTTAATAAGTAATCTAACAAAGTCGTTAGCATAATATGCAAACATATATCTGGTACTACAAATCAATATCAAATAAACATAAGTAGGTGTAATGGTTCTATTATCACAAATGAGCTTTGAATTATCAAATTTTATCAATACAAAATAGCATAATTTCATTATTGGCTGGTAGTGGTCCCGGCCTAATTTACATTTTTTGCAATCATAGAGAGGTGTTCAAATATCCATTAATCCCACCTCTGGATATACATGTACATATCTTTGATAAATGATAGCTGCTTGTGTTTGTTTCAGACAATAGACAGAACTACGTGTTTTATATTATTTTCTTTTGTTTTTTGGCAGATTGAAGGTCACTATTTAAAATCCTCATTTTTGAAATTAACATTTTGGCTCTTTAATCACAGTAATTTGTCAATCTTCTGTCTGTATATTTTCACATATAATCTTTAATGAAAAGATATATCCCTCAATATTATATGTCATGAATAGACAATCAAATCATAATTTCATAACAATATAAAATACAGCATGTTCGAAAACTAGGTAATGAGAGTACAAAAATATCAAAACATTCTATTGGGGGCCAGGGCATTAACTCATCTCATTTTAAACATAACTGATGTCTTTCTAACTCTTAATTAATAGACAAAAAGAAAAAGATAAAAAATACAATGATACAAATTATGAGAAAAAGAAAGATAGCCAAGTGGAGGGGATGAAGATGGAGGCAAGAAATGGACAGGGGTCAGGGGCATTAGTAAATGTTTACATGGTTGCATTTTAAACATACAGTTTCAGATAGAGTAGTGATAGGATCATTATATTGCAGAGTAAGCTCAGAGTACATGTATAGTAAAAATGAATTTTGTTTTCATGAGAAATTTCCTGACAATGCTACATACATGTACTTACTGTTTTTATTGTTTATTTTTAAAAATGGTCTTTTCTTTGTCAAACAAAACATTTCTCAAAAAGTGATGATATCATTTAAGACATATTTTTTTCTCTGATATAATCCATTTAGTTGTGATAATTTCTTTATTCTATCACAGGCTTTCACTACTATAATCCCCTTATTCACAAGCTTCTATAATGGTAGCCCTTCCCTCATTCACAAGTTTCCATTCAAATGGTAGCCCCTTCCTCATCCTCAAGCTTCCATTCTACCAATAGCCCCATCCTTATTCACAAGCTTTCATTCTATGGTACAATGTAGCCCCTCTTTCATATACAAGTTTCTATTCCAATGGTAGCCCCTCTCTCATCCTCAAGCTTCCATTCTACCAATAGCTCCATCCTTATTCACAAGCTTTCATTCTATGGTACAATGTAGCCCCTCTTTCATATACAAGTTTCTATTCCAATGGTAGCCCCTCCCTCATCCTCAAGCTTCCATTCTACCAATAGCCCCATCCTTATTCACAAGCTTTCATTCTAATGGTAAAATGTAGCCCCTCTTTCATATACAAGTTTCCATTCTAATGGTAGCCCCCCACTTCTACACAAAAGTTCTATGAAAGTAATGACTTGCTGCAACACATCCATTTTTTTGAAATTGTACAGTATAAATACTGAAGAATAATCTTCCTACATGTAGCAATTAACGGTCTTTTTAGCTCTTACCTCAAGTAATAACTCAAAATGTGAGGCTTATCATAAGCCATCTACTCAATTATCTTGCAGATTGTAGCGTTTTTAGTCAATACTCTTTCTTTCATTCACCTAAGAGCCCAGACAGAGATGTGTCTCCATGCTAACAATATAGTTTGAGAGCAAGACAAGCTTAAACAACTACAGTGTAAGTCTGAAGCAAATCAAGTCCTCTTCATCAATATCATTTCTAGCTTTCCGATCGTTTTTAAAAGTTCCGCTAAGCACAATATCTGAGGACAGGCGCTCTAAACAGATGTATAAACCATTCAATTAATCCACAGTTTTGCCACACAATATTCACTGCCAGTCGAGTAATCCTCCAAGCTTCTGTAAAGTTCTATAAGCTCCACAAACAACAGCAGATAAGTTTCCAACTTCCAAGTTAAGTATAATCTACTGCATATATTTCAAAGCTATCTCTTGTAGTTTCCAATTCATGTAATCGTTCCAATTCAGCATTCCTGGAGAGCTACGACCACACACTCCTTACCAACAATGAGGCTATCTCATAATGCAAACAGACCTGAACAACATTGCTACACCCCTGCCTCTTAACAAAAAATATCTTGGCAGATGTAGATATCTGACAGTGACGATGGTCCAATCACACATAATTATGCACACGCAATGCTAAAGGTCAAGCCATAAATAGGGGAAGCAGAGTTGCGAGTTGATGAGAAACAACCGATAGAGCTCATTAAAGGGCTTTTATTTTTGGTGGTCAGACAGTGCCAGTAATTATCTCTGATTAGAGAAATTAATGAGGATGGAATACAATGCATCCAAGCAGCAACTATTTCCATGGCAATAGATGCGCATTCCTTCAAGTTTATTTGCTAAACCATTCATTGGGCTTGACAAAAGTAAATCTTCACCTAACAACAACAATTTATTGCACTTATTAATATGAAATAATGTTTTTTCTTTCTATTTTTTATCTTTCCTTTTTCCTTTGTTTAGTTTTTTACTCATTTACATTAAAGAATATTCAAGGTTAATAGATGGCCTTTTCAAAAATACTTGAAAACTTTGGTATTCTTATTTTTAAATAACATTCTACTTCAAAGAAAGAGAGATTGAAAGATGAAAAGTAAAGGATATATACTTTGACTTTTGCCTGTATGCCATTAGTCATTGGGGGGGGGGGGGGGCTGAAGAGCAAAAGAACAGAGAGGATAAGGGGGGGGGGGGGTAATGAAACAAAAAGATGGTACTCTTGAAGTACATGTACAAATACAGACGAGACAGAAAATTCAGCATGCTGAGTTATCCGTCTCACAATACAATAGAACCTTGCATCTCTCTCATAATCTCTTTTAGGAGTATGTTGTTCAGCTTAAAAGAATGTTAACAAGGTGTTTTGTCACATAATCTACAGAACACACCAGCCAAGGCCCTTGATATAATTATTGCAAATACTACAGACATGCATGTATTTTTTCACAATACACCATCCCTCAATTCTACGTGCACAACATAACAGAGGGCTACAGATAGTAAATGTTGACACAGACTCGAGCTGTAAAGTAAATATGCCCAGTGTAACAGAAACATGTAAATGGGAGCAAACAGATTTGGTTGTTTTTCACTTGTATAGTAGATAGTCAAGTGATGTATATTGCTGCCTTACATGACCTGCCTGGAAACGGCCTTGCAACAACCATAGATGGCGGTATGACAACCCCTCTTAAAAGTCATATAGACTGTAGCCATAATTTTTCCTTCCTAAATTTTTAGTAATATGCATACCTGTAGGATATATGCTTTGTAGCTCAAAAGAGAGTTTATGAACCATTATGATTATTTTAGTGCAACAGTCTGCAATATGTACTTCAGTGTACCACTCTGTTACTGTCTTAATTTGATCCTTAAATATTTGTCATCATTTAAAGAACTACATGGTAGAGGTATCAAATGAAAACATGTCTTAGGTAATCATTCTTGGGCCAAAAATATACCCCAATCTAATTTTCATAAGAATATCATTCCTTTGTGTATGATGAGCCCTTGGCATGATAGAAATAATTTTATTTGTGATCTTCCAACAGAGTTAACTTCTTTGGTTGCAGTGCAGGTCAACAGAAAGGTAAACACATACAGTTTTAAAAAAACAGAAGAAAGAGAAAAACATTTGGGCTCATCCTACATGTCGAGAAATAGATAAATTTCAATTAAAAAGCATAATCAAGTTGAATAATAACTGACAAAATTTTAGTACTTTTAAACAGAAACAAAATAAATAACTAAGACACCATACCTGAGATCTTTGAAGAATGCATGCCTGATGACCTGCTTGGCTGTTATTCTCTCATCAGGATCATAGGTACAGAGTTTGTTCATTATTTCCAGGGTCTGCTTGGTGGCGTTGGGCAACAGCTTCTCTATACCCGAACCCTTCTTGGAAGGGAAGTTGTAGTTGATGCCTCTCGCCTTACTGTAAAAATCAGGGTTATAAATATGCATTTAACATTGTAAACTGGCAAATCAAAGAGCATTTAATCAATATTTTCCCACGGACAATATTTTTGTCATGTACATTTTCAAACGCTGGAAATTATAAAATAAACACAAATATATATTATTGGCACTACTGACTGCCTAAATGTCAGAATATGTCTAAATATTTGGCATGTGCTAGAAGATAAAGAAACACAACTTATTATGAATTCATACATTTTTATGTCTCTATATTTTTATGGATGATCTCACCATCTCTTGGCAATTCCATGAAATTAATGAAAAGGATGACCAATAAAGGGATTTCATTCTCCTACTTACATGTGGACTTTGTACATCTGTTAATCATAAACCTGACTTCACAATAGTCTAGACTTAGGTTCATGATAAATGTTTTTAATCTGAATGTATCTGTAACCATGAAAACCATCTGTAACCATCAAATAAGAGAGGGGAATATGGCTATGATTATGCATATGTATAGATGTAAAGGGTGGATTTATCTAAACTATGTATGTATGAATCTTAGTGCATTTATGAAGAAAAAATATAAACAAAAGTCATTTATCTTAAAGGTAAAGACCAGTAATGGTCATGCGATTGCATTGTGAAAGAAACGTTGTGGAATCGATCAGAAAAGGTTGATCATCTAGCATCTAGCATCTGCAAGGTTCTGGAATCATCAAAATGATAAGAAATTTGGCCCATTCTTCGTAAAGTTACAAGCACTATACACAGAAAGATGTATATGGGACTACCCTATCTCTCTCACCAGACCATGAGAGAAATAAGTTTACCAAATATATGAATTAGTAGGCGGTTTCCCGGCAAATTTTTTATCATCATGTATTAGTCAAAACATATTCTTTCACATGATTGGTAATGAGAGCTTCCATTTCATTTTTTGAAATTGGGGCGTTGCCAATACTGGTCTTTACCTTTAATAGAAGAAGAAAAAAATCATATAAAAATCCATATTTCTGCTAAATTGCACACTTTCCTAGTTAATTCACAGATATCATTTTCTCTTTGGACCATTTGTGATAAAGACTTAATTGTCTTTTCTAAGGATGAATAACACATATTCTTTCTAAATTCCAACTTTAGAAGTAAATTGAACAGATGTGTTCTTATAGCAAAGTGCATTCTCTCAGCTGAGAGTCAACTGCAACTTATGCGGTGGTCACATCCCGCCGTACTTGCAAGTGCGTGCTGTCTACGTGCAAAAACGTTGGCAAAATTTGGGTATCCGTACGTGATGAGTACCGCCTCCGTACGGATTTGGGAGCACGCAGACACACCGTAGCACTTTTAGTGCATGAGGAACTTTCGCTGCGTTCGGGCTGCGTTCGGGCTACCGATTCACCCCAGTGCGTGTGACGTGCGTGCCCGGTACTGCCAACGAGCGCACAGCGCACTGACTCCGTGCGTCTTTTAAAGGCGCACGTGATAAGTGCGTGGTCCGTGCTTACTCGCCACTTCCCCAGTTCAGCTATCCAATGAGCACGCAGAACTCACGTGGACCGTACCGAGTAAGCACTTACAACGCACGTTGTTCGCACTGATTTATGCAGTATATAGTCTCTTCGGTGGAATGGGCGGCATCTTGAGGCAGCAACAGCTGGGACTTCTGGAGAACATCGGAATGTCGTCCTATATAAACACCGAGTTCATCGCACGTGCACGCACTTACAACATGCGAGTGAGTAAGGACACCGTACGTGAGCAGCACTTGTAAGTACGGCCTCCGTACGATAACGTGGCAACCGCACGGAGACCGTACGTTGTAAGCACGTTATAAGCACGTACAACGCACTTACCACGTGCGCAACGTACGATGCAAGCAACCGTTCACGGCCAGGCGTGGCGTGCGGGCCACGTACTTACACAGTGCGTGTGACGCGCGTTGCCGGTACTCGCTCCCTGCCTTTGCCACTCCCTCCCTACGTTTTCAGAAAAACGTGGCGGCCGTGGCCTCCCCTAAAACCGTACGGACTAAAAACACGCACGGTGGGATGTGACCAACGCTTTACTGATGCTATTGGCTACAAGAACCAGGTGATTCCTATACTAATTCTATGGGAATGAGACACTATGAACATGACAGACAAAGAAAGCGGACAAAATATACAGTTCCTCAGGTAGACAAAGGAACATCCCTTCACTGCTATTATGTAAAAAGGTGAATATGCATGTGACACCTGTTCATAGTGAGAGAATTCATTAGTCAACAAGTTCATGTTAAAGGGGAAGTCCATCCTGATATTAAGTTGGTTTAATAGAATCAGAAAAATGATAACAGGTCAGTGAAAGTTTGGGAGAGTCACAGAGTTGCCAATTTGTGTTTGATTGAGGGCAACTTCAAAACTTCATAACTTTCTTAATTTTAATTGGATCCTGCTCGAACTTTCACTGACCGATTCCTCTCATGTATCTGCTTATATCATAACCAACTTAAATATCAGAGTGGACTTCCGATTTCAATGTCACATTTTCACTAAAAGTGGACTTACTTCCTAAATTTGTTGAGTATGGTAGCATCTGGTGTCCCCATGACATCATGGATCTTTGCAATCTGATCTACCTCATTGGCACCAGGGAATAAGGGATGTAAGCTGAAATAAGAACAGAAATATATAAGGTAATCATGATAGACAACTTTAAGCCTCAACATGAATAGGCCTACAAGTAATAATGAAGGTTATAATTTTGTCAGTTACAAGTCAAAGGGATAAATAAGGGCAAAATTTAGATGAAGGCAAATATGAATGCAAACAGCGTGAACTATTTATTATGATTATTCATGGAAGGATGTAAACTGTCAATAAATATGAATAATCTGGGGTGAGAAATAAGCAAATCCACAGAAACCCCAATTCCCAAAAGCCGTTTCAAAATTTAAGAATTACAATGGGGTGACCATCCTCCCACATTGATAAGTAAAAAACTTTTATAGTGCCATTTTCTTTGGCAGGATAGTGCCTAAGCGAATGAAGCATATTTCAGATATGTTAGCTAAAGCTAGGGTAATAATTTCCAAAGCTCTTTGGAATCATATAGAGATTGTATTTCATGATGTATTATGTGCTACACAAGAACTGAATATTATTATTAGATGCAAGAGCTAATTGAAATATCCCACCCAATACTAATTTAATTTACTTGATGAAAGTTTTTTTGGTAGAGTTTTAGAGAACTCCTTCAATTAGTCCTTATTCAATACACAAATACTCAGTTCAAGTTGACTGATACAAATATAGGTAATTTGAAAAACAAAAGACCTATAGCAATATCCGTTTGTTTATGGAAACAAAACACTTTTATAAATAATCTCTTGATGTTAAACATACCTGAGTATTTCATAGAAGACACATCCTACACTCCACATGTCCATTTGATAGGAGTAGTAGCCATCTGTGAGCAAGCACTCTGGAGCACGGTACCTATATCATGAATATTCAATAGGAAAGGAAACATTGATATCTCACACTAAATTGACCTATAAATCAAGAATATTCATACACGAAACTCTTACATATAATAAAAGAAATGCTTGTTGTTTCCCTTGAATGGTCTTTAGATACTGGATTGAGTGTGATTGTACATATCAAATATCATCAACAATATCAATCACTATTTTTTGCTACATAAGTCTCTAATATTTTGGAATTTTCTCAAAACAAATGTAAATATAATAGCATAGATTGCTTTAAACACATTCACAAAGACTTTGAAAAGTCAAGTATCAATACCCTTTGAAATATCCTATACATGTAGAATCATTTTTGGATTATGCTATATGTTGTTATAATGCATTTTCCTATAACAGGTAATGGACTAGGCTATGAAAAATTCTCTTTTTTGATCTTCATTATAATGGCCTTCCCCAAATCGCTGAAATTAAAAATGCAATATTATGTATTGTATTAAATGTAGAGATAAATACATACCATCTTGTTGAGATGTACTCTGTGAATGGCTGCTTAGAATACACACTTCTACATGAACCAAAGTCTGCTAGCTTCAAATGATCATCCTACAACAAATGAAATTAAAATTCCATGAAATTAAAGGCAATTAATTATTAATAAAAAGAAAATAAGGTATTTTATTAATATATTATGTCTCTACCCTCCTTTCAAATGAGTTTGAGGTTAAAAAAAATAAGACATTTACAGAGATTTCACTGTATCACAGGGAATTACTTGTGACAACAGCACCAATAACAATAATAATAATAATAATAATAATATTAACAATAACAATTATAATAACAACATTATAATGATGAAAAAAAATGGAATTCATAAGAACAATAATTATTATATAAAACAATTAATAATTATAAAAATAGTAATCTTAATAACAACATAACAATAATAACAAAAAATGAAATAATAATAATATCATTAATAACAATAATAATGCCACCATTCCAGGTTTCAATGTTCATGTTCTTGGAATTCTTATGAGAGAGAGGGCAGGCACAATGAATATTACTGTTGGAATTATGAAGGCCACAATTTAAATTCAATAATGTTTGGAACAATGGGAAATAGATCAAATTTGACAGCCTATTTGTTGCCATATAAACTACCGGTAATATATTAGAATTATAGAATATTTGAAAAACATCTCTTGTATATATGAAACTAAATGAGGATGCTTGATGTAAACATGGTGATATACATAAACAAATACTTCATCAAAATTCTCACGGGAAATTCCGATGCTCAGAGCCACCAATTGATGATTGATTCTCATAGATCAATGACTGGATAACAATCTTATTCAACTAACAAAATAGCACGATTATAAGTCTACAATTCTCAGGTGTTACTATGGGCACACAAAACATGACGTAGTGTTGAATTATTAAATTAGTTGACATAAAAATCCAATTACAGCGCAGCTAATCTACAAATGCCCTGACCACAGTACGAGAGAGCAACGCGACCATGGCATTATTAAAAGTAAATTAGATCATCATCGATCCATTTCACGCTTCGGCGATCGCATGCCTTAGCAAATTTATGTCTCCCTGTGAAAATTAATTCGATAAAAGGCAGTAATTTGATTAAACAACACTATTTATTTATGTCACGATTAGAAGTGCACAATACAAGCCACTTCCCCCCCCCCCTCCCCCGTACGTCATCAACATGCAATGTAAAATTAATGTCAACGTTGGCATGACATCAGTATCAACTTCTTGTCATAAACACCACTCTATACAAGAAATACAAACAGTCCTACTTCATGTTACGATGCATGTTTGGTCACTTTAATAGTCACTGTCACAAAATTTACAGTACTATCAAAAGCTGCACTCTAAATGTGATCCAGCAATTGAGTTAAAAGCACTATATCTGTGCTAATCAGAGAGGGGGAGGAGTTCCTGTATGTTATTTATAATTCCATTTTTAAGAAATTGAATATTACTAAACTTAAAAACAAAAGTAAATGCTTCTAACATTTATCTAAAGAACCTTTGTGTATACATTTACATTTAACTTTAAATGTCTGACATATTCATAACACCAATCCCTACAAAAGTTGTTCCAATATATGTGAGCAGGTTACTACTGATTCTTGATGTAACAAAATTTAGAACACAGACAGATCAAAGCTAAACTGTTCTCAGATAATGGTCTTGACACAATATACCGGTAGGCAAAGGAAGGGGGACAACAAAATGTAACTTACCCTGATAAGAATATTTTCTGGTTTGACATCTCTGTGAAATATTCCATTCCTGAAATTACAAAAATGGAAAGGAGATTACATATCTAGGCCACGTACAGAGACGGGGCACGCTGTCACAACCACAAAATGATTACCACAGACCATGTATAATCAGAATGAAAATGCTCTATCTAGTGAACCTGATTGGTAAATGATAATGATGTGAAATCCATATATCATGCTAGATCACCACTACTAGTGGTGATACCCAAGCTCATCAATTCATTATTTATATATTCCATCCATATATATCACCCAGTGAACTCAATGTGTAGGAAATATAAATTGTGAACTATGCCGGGCAATTCAGGCTAGAAAATGATGTTAGGGAAGCCATAATAATCTCAAAAGAAAGGAAAACTGATCTAAAACGAGAATATATATTTCCCTATACTGAATCCATATGATCTGATATATTAATCATCTAACAAAGGTTACTTACCGATGCATATGTTCTAATGCCTTGATCAATTGGTAGATGTAATTTTTAACTTTCTCTTGGGGCAGGTAGTGCCGTCTCCCTGCAAAAGAAGGTAATACAATTATTACACTACTGTATAACTGTTCTAGACACTGATACCAAAAAATGTGCTACATTTGTACATGTAGTTAACCTTTTAAATTGACCATCAAAAATAAATGCTTAAAATCATTGTTAGTTTATGAGATGAAAACTTGCATGGGTGGTGATTTGACAGCCTTTTATTACATGTATAAAATGAACGTTGCTTTTCTTCACTACTAATTTTGATAATTTTCTTGAAACAATCATGATTTTTGTCCTCTCTGTCTGTGATACATTGTTCATGTCATTTCCAAAAATAATCAGCCCCTTTAAATTTTGCATTTGAGATTAGCAAAATAGCAATAGTTTTTTAAAATACTAAAATGTCTAATGCCTGAATGGGAAATCTAAGTAACTATGCCTTTTATATTCTGTAGCCTGTGATGCTACTCCAAGTTTGGAAGCACTTAGTGATTCTAAAAAGCACTATATAAAAACTGAGTATCATTACTAATTGAATGCCTGACAACCTGAACAGCTCATAATACGCAAGGATGGATTGTTTACTCAACATGGCCATTCAATCGATGTGCCCTTGATATTGCATTAATCATTCACGGAGTAATGAGAGGCAAGATTAGTTACTCCGCTGATTTGATTCTAGAGCTTTAGGTGCCACGGACTTACCTCGTATTAATTCATAGATGTTCATGTCCATAAGCTCGCATACTAACGACAGGTTTCCTGTTTTTCTGTCACTGTTCATAATGGAAGAGTCAGGAGGAAAAAATCTCATTATTATATGAATACTCATTTGTAGGTATTACAACAGGTTGTACATACATGTAAATAGATGTTTGGACAACCAATCAGCAGAGATCTGAGGTGACTCTTTGAATGTTGAATGTCAAAGGCCCCTTTTTTCATGGCAAGGCATATTATATTTTGACAAGAGAGCAAATTGACCTGAACAATCATTTTTTTTTCTTTTTTTCTAGTTTGTTGTCACTACATAAAGAATTAAATATGTGGACAAAGTAGGTTGAATAAAAGAAATTAAGATTGATAGTGTCATGTCCACAGACCTTTGACTTTGAATGTGTATTTAGGGTACGGTAAATCTTGCCTAAATTGATTTCTTATGAATTTGGTGAGACCTTTGCTACCCCAAATGGCCATCAAGTTTTTACCACACAAAAGCTTGAAATAGTTAACGACCCAATACTTCAAACCTAATGGGCGATAAAAGGGAATAACAGAAGTTTTCTTCCAGCACACCGCACGTATTTTTTTCTTGGTTCTTGGTTTTTGGTGCATGGTTTTTGGTGCATTTTGCATTGTATGGAATGATAGTTGAATTCATTTACCGATTTTGTGTCTCCTAATGATACGCAAATTTTTATCTTTTGGTATTTGTTTCCCTGAAAATATTATTCAATACAAATATATGTACAATACTCAGTTTAATATTTCATGAAAACACTCTATAACAGCTCAAATACAAGTACATACTGTACACTGCACTATCATGCTATCTCTATACTGTACTTCCAATGCAAAACTGATCTCCACGTTAATACAGTACCGGTATATAAGTGTAATGTACATGAACAGATTCAATCTTATAGGGAAATCTTCAAATTAAACATGTTTGATCCGCTCCCTGTCTTGTATTTATTTTATTCTGAGCTATATCCATGTATCCCGTGCACTATAAAAGAGCCCTACATCTTCAGAGTAAATCCCTTTAACAATTCTCTATCACCGTTACCATGGAAACATCAAATTGTGAAAGCTGAGGATTCAAGGCGCATTTTCTTTTTTAATACAAAAGTAGGTGAGAAAGAGATGGAAAATAGACATTGTGAAATGCATAGTTTTTTTGGAGTGCGTTGATTCTTTCAATCCTTCCTCTTCTTCTTCTTCGGTGAGCATGAAATTAAAAACATGCCTAAGTACTGTATCATTTTATTTTAAGTGCAGTTTTTAACAGGTGCAGTGAAGAAGCACAGATTGGTAAGCAGATATGTTTATCTTTTATTAATGCTTAGAGCAACAACAAAAAAATCTTCTTTTTTTTTTTAAATACAAAAGTAGGTGAGAAGCAGATGAAAAATAGACACTGTGAAATGCAGAGTTTTTTAGAGTGCGTTGATTCTTTCAATCCTTCTTCTTCTGTGAGCGTGAAATTAAAAACATGCCTAAGTACTGTATCATTTTATTTTAAGTGCAGTTTTTAACAGGTGCAGTGAAGAAGCACAGATTGGTAAGCAGATTTTCTTATCTATTATTGCTTAGAGCAAAAAAATAAAAATAGCACAAAAAGTACTTTTTCACAATAGAGAGAGGGAGAAATGAAAAAATGAGAACTAAAAGAGCAGTGGCATTATACTGCAAGAAGCCAAGGAAGTACTCTTTAACGGTACATAGCATAGAGGAGTAGAATTAAACCACTCTTTCAGAATTCATATTCATTCATATATCAGGGATCCCTTTGGATGGAGTGGAAATCTATGTTTGAAAATAAATAGTGGAATTCACTCTCAAAAGATTAATTCAAACCATAAGAGTGGATTTAAATAAAAAATGAAGTGATCAGTGATATGTCTCCTAAATGAGTGGATGTCTACTCCTCTGCATTACAGGGAAAGTCCATCCTGATATCTAGTTAGTTTCCTTTTTGTTAATGTGAAAATTGAAAGAAACAGATTGGTCTCAGTTTGAGCCCATTCCAATTCTCGCTACCCTAAATAGGTACGAAAATCTCGAAATTCGCGAGACGAGGTAATTTTCACTCTCTCGGGTCGTCACTACAACTTCCGGTATAGAGTCCCATCCCGCTGGCGCTAGCGCCTGTGTTCGCTGTGCAGAGTTTTCACGCACGCTAAAATCGATGCCAATCAGTGTAATTTGTACAGATTATAATATGCAATGGAAAGCTTCGGGCAGAATTAGTGACTTTAGCACAAAAGGCCGTTAAACTCTACCGTGAAAGAGAGGGTTGTGATCACGAACGCCTGCACAGGAAGCTGTAATGTCGAAAAGCTATCCCATAATGCAATGCGCGTTTTCAGGATTTTCCCCGGATCTCGGCAGAATCGCTATTTGGGGTAGCGAGAATTGGAAATGCATTTTTGAACTTTTGAATATCTCTTTTTAAGCTACAGTCCCATATACGTCCCGGACCCCATCCGGGGTGATCCGGGATTCGGTCCGTGTTGACACCGTGTTGGCACCGGGGTGGTCCTGGATGGTCCTGGATGGTCCTGGATGGTCCGGGACGGTCCGGGACGTATATGGGACTGTAGCTTTAAAAGCATCACACTTTTTTTAACAAAACATCCCGGACCATCCCGGATCACCCCAGACCATGGTCCGGGATGGTCCGGAGTGGTCCGTGCTCGTCCGTGCTGGTCCGGCTTTATATGGGACTGGGGCTTTACATCCTCTCCTTACATCCTCTCCTATTTGCTTTTCACAGAAAATGTAAAACACCATCTTTTTCTTAGTTTTTGATAAAATAATATATTTGTTTCATGTAGGGATTATGCAAAAAAGGCAAGGGTGCATACATGATTGAAACTGCTTCTGTTAAAACAAAATTAATATCAGGGTGGACCCCTGTTTAATTCAGCACTATTGGTAATTGATAGAGTAGAATATAACACTCTAGCAGGGAATATCCAAGAGGGTGATATTGCACTACATCAACCCCTCCCCCACCCCTACCCCTCCCCCAAGAAGAGGGGAATACTTACAAGATTACTTCTTTAAGTTCCAAGATGTTGGCATGAGGACTTAGCCTCTTCATGGCTTGAATCTCTCTGAGGTTGTTAACTTGCTCCAAACTAAAGATGCACAAAAAGCAAAAACAGAGAAAGTTTGTTGTATATTTTTATGGTAATTCCTTGAAAACTAGACTATTTTAATGGGAAAATGGAAAATGAAATGGACCCACATAAACAACATATTTTAGGCAAGAATTTCCAACAAGATATACATGTAGATGAAAAATATGCTCACAGTTGAAAATATCGTCAAAGCATATTTTCTGACCTGTTTTTCCCCACTATTGTCTACTAATTTATTTTGATTAGGGTTGTCACAGTACATTGAGGCATTAATTTATTTCTGACAATCATCTTGATGGGGGTGTGTACATTGCAAATAAGAGAAACTGCTTGATGAAACTACATGTGAATTAACATACATTTGCCAATTATATAATACAACTACATGTATAATAGTACTGTACATACCATGTACTTGTAAAATTGGCATGTGTATATATTGAAATATAAACGACATATATATATATAGCACACATTCATCTAAAGCTATTATTTTTCTTTCTGTCCCCAAAGCAACAGCAACTTAAAACCAAAGTAATTTATACATACATGTAGATATTTGCTACATGTACAGCTCATATTTCCTACTGTTTTGTAACGAATAGCGTCAATTATCAAAATTCATTTCATCAATCTCAGTTGAATGATGTTAACAACAATTTGATATGCATGGACATGTTGTTCACCTGTTCAAGTTTCAAAATCATACAAATCCATTGAATTACAGATTACTCTAATTGAACACTTTGAAAAATTGAAATGAAAACAACAAACTCATGAGAATTATCAAAAAAGGTACTTTTCTCAACATGTCTATTGCTGCATGGACACACAAAAAGATTTCTAGTTTTCTCACCTTTGATAGTTTTGTTTCATTTTCTTGCAAGCATAGTAAGTCCCATCTTGTATATTCTGGCATTTTAGCACCTCTGAGAAAGTGCCTTCACCTTTCTTTCCTAAAACCCGATATTCTAGATGGGAGAAAAGCGGGAAAAGTAGAAAATGGCATTTGCTTTATTTCTTATATGACTTTATTGATCAATCACTGTCACTTATATATGGTACATACTTTCTTTGAAAATGTCATAGACTTGGATACTTATTACCGGTAAAGATATAAAAGACTACATTTCCTCTCTAACATGAATGTTCTTAACAACAATAACAACAGCCGGAGGAGGATATCGATATTGACTCATGCAGGACACAACTGCAAATCTCTGAATTGTGTGGAGGAAGAAGAAATTTAATATGAACAACTTGACTGTTTGATTTATCATATATATATATATATACATATACAAACAGTTGGGTGATGGATATTGCTAATAACATGAAATAGAGATAAATGTGTTTTGGTACCATAAGGAAAATATATTCATGAATTTCACATTGGAGTTTTCAGGTTTGTTTTGCTTAAATATTGAGATCTGAAAGGGTTATCTTAATTATGTCTTGTAAACACATTTAAAGCTTATCTGCCGTAGTTTACAGGAGGGATTAGACTGCCCTGCAAGGTCACTGGACAGATGGTTATCTCATCAACTCAGCTCTCAGTTAACATAAGAAAAAGAGGATCATGGGGGACCAATGGTCACCGATTAGGCATTGTTTGTTATATAGAGGGCGCAAGTAGCTACAAGTAGTGCAGTGGGCCTTTAAGGCTTCATGTAGTCTACTGAGAGTCTAAAGGGAATCAATTAAATTTAAAAACAATGCATGTGATACACTTCTTTTCAAAACTCGATCAGGGTGCAATAAATTGCAATGCACATCATATAATTTTTAAGTTACAAATACAATACACATTTTGGGGGTATAATTTCTTGTCATTAATCAAATCTCCATTGATGTAAAATATTTAAATCATTTTATATTTAATTTCCTAATATGATAATATTTTATTTCATTTTTGGAAATTTTTATATATTTTTGTTGTATATAAACTTTTTATGGAAAACGATACATCAATAAAAATACATAACTATAACTATGCTTAATAACAAGAGAGTATATATAGCCAATTATGTGTACTGTAACTGATATACTTTTTAAAATTATATTATTTTGTGAATTCTAATCGAGAATACAAAGAACAAATCATTAACACGGAAACACACGGACTCTGCGCTCTGCGCTCCAAAGCTGTCGCAGAGCTCACAGAGGGGCTGGCCAGTGTATATAGTTACATTATAATCCTCGCTGTTATCGACACTGGTAAACATTAGCACGTAACAAGGTACACAATTAAGATACTCACTGTGCATGATTATCACGATATATCACTTGGCATAGCAGAAAATGAAGTATGATTATAATATCCAGGCACAAAAACTAGAGATTCTCTGCTCAATTCTGTCAAGATGACATCATTCGATCATGTTATGGCAAAATTCTCCATTTTAATGGATCCTTTAGGAAGACGCGTACAGGAGATTGCAGTGAGTAATTCCAGTTCACATGTTAGCTGCCGACGACTCGAGTCCATTCACACAACCTTATTCTCTATGGATTAGTTGAATGGGCGGAGCACATGGATAGATGTCGGATATATTTCTCCGCGTGTTTCGCTCAAAACATGTAGAATATTGAATTAGGGCTAAAAATATGTGAAAAGTACGAAGTACGGTTCAAAAAGAAAGTTTTGTGTTGTTACTATGCAGAGGATATGATTAAAATTTGACAACACCGCCGCTGTTGTTGTCTTAGAATGAACTATACTCCTGGCTCGCGCACTATTATTGCTAGAGTCTCCCCAAAAGTTGGTTGCCTGTGGTAACGAGGTACGCCGTCTATTTATCATGGGAACCTCCGTGAGGGGGTCTTATTGTTATCATATTGATTTATCCTCGAGCTTTCTGTTTGTTAACAGCTTCTTTATCATCAACATTATAAGGGTTGCGGAGGACGTACCGCTGTTAAAAGAGGGGACGGGGCGACAAATAGTAACAATGACATTGCTCTAAATAGAAGGAGAAAGGAACCGCCTATTTTGGTACTCTGTCAACGCACTGTCGTATACTTTCTAGTGAGGGTGAAAGTGTTTGTCTTAACGATTTGCGGTCGGGGCGGTTATACAATGTGGACCAACTTAACCTAAATAACGAATTACAGAAGTACCCTCTGATATTTGTGGTCAAGAAAAGTCCCGTTTTATTTAAATTATGTCTGGTAAAATTGTTTATGAAAACATTTCTAGCCTCCTTCGAGGCATGAAGATAAGGGATAAAAGATGAAATTTTTTCAAGAGTCTTTCAAAAGTTGATTTTTTATGTTCATGGCATTTCTACCATCGCATTGTAACAATCAGTTTAGTGTATTGACATTAAAATGCAATGAATCTTTTTATTGGTATTGCACCATGTTATACGTTGCTATGTTTGGTAAAATCTCAAGTTGTCTCTAATAAATTCTTATTCGAGAGGTATGCATGTAAATAGAGGTCATTTTTAAAATAAAAAACGGGCATGTGAAATCATAGTAAAATATAACGGATAACCATATCCTTCACATAAAAATATTAGTTTTCGAACCCCTTCTCTCTCTCTCCCTCTTTCCCCAGCCCGACTGACATACAGACGAGCGTGCAGGGCCATGAAGAAAAAAAAATCGGGGGGGGGGGAGCTTTGGGGGTGTGTCCACCATGAATCTTGCTCGGTGACGTTACTAAAAAATATGTCTGACAATGGTTTGGGATTTTGTGATGTATGGTCACAAAATCTCATCAGTCTCATATTATACATATATTTTGAGTTGATCATCTACATCTCCAGTAGAGTCTAACTCTATGCGCTAGGAACAATATGCATGATACAAGCCTAGTATTAATGTTGCGAAATCAAACCAAGGGCGCCTTTGGGTTGGCTTATGGACCAACATTTTTTTTCCTCTTCAATCAGCTCGTAGATGCTTGCTCCTAAAAATCATCGTAGAGTAAACATCTACCAATCAACAGGATCAATAAATCAATTGACAGTTTCTTTCTTTAATACCTACCGACTCCGCACCCCCCCCCCTTCTCCCGCTATCCCCTGCCTCTCTCTCTCTCTCTCTCTCTCTATACATATAAACAATTTAATGTTATCAATCCTCCGTTAATTGTTTTAATCAGTATTTATATATATTGATTCCTATTATTTTTGCTTTATAAATCCGCTCCTCTCTTTCTCTCTCTCTCTCTCTCTCTTTCCACTGACCTATCTTTACACTTTCTATTGCTTTTCTCTTTCTTAATCTTTCTATGTCGCTCTATTTTCTCTATAAATGATCTCTTTCTCTTTCTCTATATCTCCCCATCCCCCTTTCGCTCCCACATCACTTGGATCTTTTAGTCACTTTAGAACCAGATTCCAGACTTGGCATGTAAAAGGGGGTTAATGAAACTTTCTCTTGTTCCGGAAATTCTCATGCAGACGAAACTGTCATGTCATATTTATTTTGTAACGCATGTAATCTCGCTGTAACTGTAATGAACACTGAAAAGTTTTTTATTTTTTATTCTGGAGTTAATTCACAAGCCTCCTTGAAGCTGCACCACTAGTTTAGGCTCCCGATAAGAACATCTCCTTCTCTCTCTCTCTCTCTCTCTCTGTCTTTGATCATGATGGATCTTTTTATCCCGATATTAATTTCTTGCCAGTGTAGATTTTTTAACGCTAATAAAGCAAAATGGTCACCGCAGTCTTTCCAAATATTTGCTACCTTTTCACAGGTAAAAAAAACAGATATTCATAGGTCTCTTTGTGTTTATTGCAAAAGGAGCAAAGAATGCTCACTGCATGTTTGAAAGTGTATAGATGCTTATTTGTATAAATTAAATTATATAACATTTATATTGAAATTCCCTCAGCTTTCTGTCCAGAGTGGATGGTTGACTCTATGCCTCCGAGCCAAAATTGAAATGTCCCCCTCTATCGAGGAAGCATAGCGTGGGACGTCCCCTTGGCGACAGTTCATTTGCATACGTAATTGAATCTAGCGAACAGGTACATGCATGCATATGCAGTATACAGCGATATCGCTGTTCTACGTGTGTAAAGGACAATGCACCAAAGCCGATGAAAACCAAAGTAGACTAGAAATAAATAAGGATGGCGGCTTCCGAAACGACGAGTTTTCCCTATAAACTGGAACTTGAGCCCCAGAAACAAAGTGTTTTTGTGACGCAGCTTGGAGAGCGAGGGTAAGTTTGTAGTCTAATTTTATTATTGCTTCCATCATAGGTCTATCATGACTCTTGAAAAGGTCGGAATATACTATTTGATGTGTGTACATTAATATAAACATCGCTCATGCATGCACGATCTGTAGACGGCTGAAGCCGGCACTTCTGGCCAGGTTATGTGTAGCTGTACTGTGACTGTATACTGAGAGATAGACTAATCGAGCCTGAGCCCGGCGAGATGTAAGCAAATGTATTTTGGTATCGTGATTGGGCTAAGACTGTATGAAGGCTGGTTGAAGCAACACACATCAAATACAGACAGCTGCATGTGTAAACAAATATGTAACAAATTTCCATCATGTGTTCTATTTTTGGTGGGAGTCTTGAGGGAGGGGGTTCATTTTTTTGTATATATTATATATTTTATATATTAGATTATATTATTTTTAATAAAGTGAGACAAATATCAGTGAATAATCTTATCAATACATACGTTTTTATTCCACTTTTATTTTACAGTGATGAAGAAGATGATAACGTCAACAGATATCCCATTGTTAAAGAGGTAAGTCATCTTTTACAATTAAAAAAAATATACATCTGAAAAGAAAAGGAATGGATATATTTATATGCTTACATTTTATAATATATTTTGTTGTATAATTAGGTATGTGTGATTTTATTTTTCCTGTGCAAAGGAGCCTAGTAGAAGAATAATCAGGCATTATGTAAATTTGGGTAAAAGCGTGAAAGAGAAAAAAAATACTATTCATTTTTGGCTTATTATTTCTCATGACAATGAGTGACATCCTGTCTCTCCCTACTCACACAGTCTGCAGGTAAGCTGATAGAGAATGGACTCAACACGTTACAGAAGACTCTGCTCCTGAAACGAGAAGTAGAGGTCGACGATGTCACGCAAGAACTCCGCACCAAACGCATCCAGTTCCAAAAGCGGATGGAAGAGTGTGAGAAGAAGAGAGTGGACTTACAGAAAAAACAACAGTTGGTAAGTATGTCTACACTAGGCAATATTGCAAGTGTCGTCATTTCATTCAAAGTATTGGAATACTCCTCGGAGATATGGAACCAAATGAAAATGTTGGTAAGAAAGGAAATGTTAGTTCTCATTATATTGGTAATATAACTGATTCAAGATTCAAGTTTCATTGCATATATTTAATAATACAGTAATTTGTTTCCCATTGGTGTTACATACAATGTAAACATAGGCATTTTGAAAACATAATATTGTATGCTGAGAGTCAGAAGGGCATTAGTTAATGTTTGAGATGTATTCACAAATGTGATCCATAATCTTCTCCACAGATGAAGGACAGAGTGGAAAAGTTTGATAAATTCATCTCAGAGACGGAAGCCAAGAGGAGAAGAGCGATCCATAAATATCAGCAGGAACTCAAAGTGAAAGAGCAGAAACAATCAGAATATGAACTACTTCGTGAACAGTTGGAAGAGCTAAAAACAAGGTAACTATTCAAGGGTTTGCGTTCTGAAAACTGTTATCTTTTATGTTAGTGAAGAGTTTTTTATTTTTCAAACGTACATCATTTTGCAGTTGTATGGAAAAGACACAGCTCTTTGTGCTTGGGCAGATGTTTTTATAAGTATATATGTACATAGTCAGCTTTTTGCACATACAAAAAGCAACTTATTTACTTGTCATAATTTCAATTTTTTTAGGACAATCGACATACCTGGGAAAGTCCAAGCTATTTTATGTCATAAGTTACCATCATTTTATCATCCACTTGATATTAATTGTTATTCTTTTGCTTTACAGACACAACAAACTGAATGAGAAGATCAAGCAATACAAAAAGTTTGAAGAATTCCTCATGAAAGTACTAGACAACATTCCAGAAAGTAAGTATCATTTCAGAATTGTGCATTTGCCTTCCGCTAAATATTTCATTAAGTGATTAGAAAGATATTGTAGAGAATGATCTGTTCTATTTTAAGTCAGATGTTTATATATATATATATATATGTATAAAGTACATGTACATGTAAAGTACATGTAAAGTATATGTTTATATATATATATATATATATAAAGTACATGTACATGTAAAGTACATGTAAAGTATATGTTTATATATATATAAAGTACATGTACCCTCTTGAATGTCAACAATTGTTTAACACTTTGAGTTGCTTTCTTCTCCTCTTGTACAGGCACTTGTTTACTGCAACTAGTCTTAAAGCAGGGATAGTGAATGGATAGAGACACTTAAAGTAACTTTTATTATTACTATCATTATTCTTTTTGTTAATACAGACTACTTGGAAGTTAACGATGACATGTTGAGAAGCATCATGGACAGACATCGGACGTTGAGCTTTACCAATGATTCCCTGGTCAACAGAGTCCAGTCCATGTATGACGAGGTGGACGAGAACAACCTTCACCTAGACGAGCTCAAGTACAAACACGATCAAAGCATACTGGTAAGAGTCCATTTAAAAACAAAAATATTATGTGCTAGTCAAAACAGTGTGAATGGTTGTTCAAACAGATTTATATTTGAAGAATAATGGATTTGACGATTTTGAAAGTTCTTGTGTTACAGTCATGCGACATGTTTCTGTCTCCGCATCGTCCAAATTCTTAACGGTGATTATTTCTTCAGGAATCAGTACCAGGCATTTTATCAATTTGACCCCCAAAACCTGGTATTGACAATAATAAACTTCAAGTTTTAAACTGTGACAGTATAATAATAAGGGCTACTGGCACATGTTTAATTAACATACTTCACAGGAGCACTTATTCAACAACATTTATTCTTGACTTCATCTAACCTGACAATTTTTTTCTATGCATGATAGATTAATAAAGCAGGTGAAGTACCACATAGATCATTAGATGCTTCACATTTCTTTCTATTTTTCTGACAATAATTATCGATTGCCATGCTAACTCATGCATGCAAAGTGTGACCGAGGTCAATCAATGTATGTCAAAATACCATTACAATTCAAAACTTTCAAAATCAACCATCATACAAGCATACGAGAGCCTGTTGACTTCACACTGTCACTTCGTTGCATGAAAATCAATTTGCAAGTCCGCCAATTAACTACCCTCACACTGCTCGAGTCAAAACACCTGCCTGACTTCCTCCAATCATTTAGATATCTCCTCCTTTTCCTGTCATCGTAAAACCCATCAATATGATGACACCTCTTGCAGGTGTTGTTCACTGTGGCAGCCATTTTGTTTCTTTGTAACTCTGCCTTGCTCTGACTGTAACTCTAAAAATCTGCTTTTATATTTTGAGTGTAATGAAGATTGAAATATAAAGAAAATAATTCAAATTCCAATAAATGTGCTGTTGTGATCTGTTTCAGAATACAAAATGTTAAAGATTGTTTATAACGTAAACTGATTAATATTTGTATTCATCACCTTTAGTGTGTATTTATGGCCTTACATCATGATTCGTCATATGGTCCGAACATCCTTATGCTACATCTCTTTTTTAGTGCCATGCATAAGGGCATTAGGTCTGTTTAAATATTGTGAGTTTATGCCCTTCAAGCTCTTAACATTTCATATGAAGATGCTCGCACCTTCCCATAATAACCTTAGATAATCAGCTATTCAGTCTAGCGGGGAAATGCAGTTTTCATGCAAGTTCATGAGCATTCTGGCTCATTTCTCTGCTTGAAAGATTGAAATATCCTCTGAAATTCTTTGATGTCACATGGATGAATCATTGCCTGAATTCTATTTTGACCCTTATGTGACCTTTGACCCTCATGTGACCTTTGACCTCTGTGCTCTGTGCTCTTCCCAATCAGGTGATCAACAAGGACCTAGCAGAGATGCAGCATTTGCAGGAGGAGAGGGTTGATATGAATGCTGAGCTTGAGGAGGTGATCTTCAATGATGCCTTCTCTTACAGAGACCATGTGAGTGAGCTAGAAGATACAGGTTATTTTATATGTGAGAAACAGAAACTAGAAGTGAAAATAATTTTATGAATGATCTAGTGTCGTATCAGTACAGTGAGGCTATATAAGCCAGTGTAATATATGATTACTGTTATCATATTAAGTCCAGAAAACTTCATAAATGACAAAACTCCCACCCCCTTGACAACTAATACCAGGATAAGGTCATGTACACTTTAATACCCCAAGACAGTTCTGACTTGCTGTCTGGTTTCAGTTGTTTTCACAGCATTCAATATCAATCATTATTTTAATTTTGATTGAAGATAAAGACCAGTTCTGGTCATGCGATTGCATTGTGAAAGAAACCTTGTGGAATCGATCAGAAAAGGTTAATCATCTAGCATATAAGTATTGGTGTGTACTGCAAGGTTCTGGAATCATCAAAATGATAAGAAATTTGGCCCAGTCTTGGTAAAGGTACAAGCACTGTACACATAAAGATGTATATGGGACTACGCGACACGTGCGCAACATGTGCGTTATATTTATCAGGTCCAAATAGATATAATAATGTACCTAATATATCAATTAGCAGGCGATTTCTCAGCAAAATTTGTATGATCACGAATTAGTCAAAACATATTCTTTCACATGATTGGTAATAAGAGCTTCCATTTCATTTTTTGAGAGGGGGGCGTTTCTAAAACTGGTCTTTACCTTTAATATACTTTTTTTAAATCATTCTTTTGTTATTATTTATCTGTGTCATTGTTGCTGTATTGACATCAGTATCATCATGGTTATCATGATCATGATCATCATCATATCGTAATCATCATTATCTGTGACATTTATAACTATTATTGTATTTATTTTCATCGATCATCATCATTCCCATATTTTTCTCATTTCATTTCCTAGAGTGAGACTTTGGGTAGGATAAAAATGGCAATCAACAATCTGGTGGATAAGTGTCACAAGAAACATGACGAGCCTCTCGAGACGTTAGGCTATGAAGAGAAGCTTCACTTGATCATGGTAAGACAACCTCTTTGAAAGGGAATTACTTGGCTCAATTTTGCAAGAAACTACCACAACCATATATGTCTGTTGATATTTCCAACAAACCGATGTTAAAAACACATTTTGAAACATATACACAGTTTGCAAATGTAATCTATGAACCAATTTTTATGATACATTCTTGCAACAAGCCCCTGCACCTATATAAATTTAGTCCTTGGATTAAGCTAACATTTTGCTTAGCATGGCTTAGTGAATTGGTTAAGTCATATTCAGATCACATTGCATGATGTACTTCCAAATCAGATTCAAATCTCATTTTTATGTTTTATGACACATTTGTTCAATCTGCATTTAATACCGGTTTTATTGCCATCATATATTTTTTGTTTTCTCTTAGGATTAAGGTAAATGATGTGAAAAATAATCATTTGTTTTTTTCACTTCCAGAACTTTGTAGTTGATAAGATCCATGTAGAGAGGATGGCCAGGCAAGGTTTCGTTTTATCATCTGCATCATCTTCAGGCAAACGAGAGAGGACGAGAGCAAAACAAGAGCAAACATGAGAGGTGCTCCCTTTCAGGTGACCCTTTGAAAAGACTACTTTAGATATCAAAGACACTTTGTGTATGTCCGCTGAAATTGGGAGAGTGTCTGCATCATTTTGTTTATGTTGAATGAACAAGTTATGATACGGGCTTAATGTCAAGACCAGTGATACAGAAGGGACAGTGTATCATTGGCATCAGGATTGGAGCAGTGAGATCAAAAGAAGATATGAAGAGCAGATGTCCAAATGTAAGTGTTAAGTCATCGTGGGCGGAGCAGATAATGTAAATTTTGTAAGCATGCAGTCGCAATGTGTATTACATGCATATGATGTTGTGTGTCTGTACTTACCAAGGGCACAAGCATGTGAATTCCCTTCCCATCAAATTAACATTTCATCTGCTAATCTTCTTCTGGGTCTGTAACAAAACAAATTTTGTGCTAACACCCTTCTGTTAGGCACAGAATGAGGGGTCCCGAAAATGGTCTGCCTTGTCTTAAATGAAACTGCTGACATTAAGTTTACTGGGAGAATAGCGAAATGGCTACTAGTAAACTATGTAACATATGATTACATAGTTTACTGGGAGAATAGCGAAATGGCTACTAGTAAACTATGTAACATATGATTAAGTCTTGGTGTGAAACAAGTTTATAGACCTATGCAATCGCTTTAAGAATATTCTTAGTAACAAAATTGAAATTTATATGATTTTGATTGTTTACTATATTCTACTTTAATTTGGAACATAGAAACAAGATTTCAGAATTATGGCCTTCAAATCAAATCTTCTGTTACGTTATGATATCTTGGATAGAACAAAGATGACAAACATCAATATTTCCTGACTAGATTTTATGTTTTTCAAATTAACTTATCATTGCCCAATCTATGTAAGAGAAAACTAAAGCACCCCTTGAATTGAGTTTACATATAATAAAGTAGTTTTGTGTTTGTTTACAGGAAAGTAGTGATTTAAATACTACAATAATAACTGAAGGAATCTAATCATATTTATATCAACATTGTTTTCATGTAACTGAGCAAAATTCATAGTTGTAATGAAGTGATCAAAATGCATGAACAAAGGTATACTGATATCATTGAAATTAAATTCTTTGAATATATTAAATGTCAAAATCATGAATCATTGAAGAGATCTGTGGACAATATTTTACCTCATATATGTAGGCCTATGTTTTATTAAATTGATTGAAGAATTAACTGTTGAAACTTGAAAGTATGAATTTTTGCCTTACACTTGTAACTTGAAATTAGAATATATAGATATATTGTTAATGACTACGTTGCTGTCTTTTTTGATGAGCATACATTTAATCATGTTTCAACAATTACACCTTGCTCATTATGGAGAAATATAAGAGAATTATGAGATTGACAGAGCTGTATTCTGGGGGAAATAACGTCCTCCTGTTTAGATATTTTTAGGAGCCAACATAATTTTCTGACATACTCATGGAGAAGTTTTTGTTAATGTTACAAAGATTATGCATTAAGAGCAAACTTAAACTACAGCATGCATATCATGTCGATGTAAAACTCTTGCCAGTACTGAATTGTGAATTTTTATATTTGTATGTAGAATGTTTTAAATATGTGTTCATGCATCTCTCATGCATATTCTTTCTTACGCATTTTGATGTAAAGCATGCAATTTACACAGTAAAGTGACTTTTAAGCTTTGACTTTATTTACAGGACTCATTTTGATTGGGAAACGAGAGAAAGCTCATTTTACCTCATATTTTGCCACAGCCCAGTCCGATTGGACCTTCTGTAAAGTTTTCTCACTCTTGAGACCGATGGCCTGCTAGATTGAGAGGTGACATGGCCAACATTTGGTCTTGCTGGCCTCCTGTCAATTTTTCTGACGGTTTGTTCTTAGGCTGTTGGTCTGTTTAACCCATTGCTTACAGGAACCTGGTGGTCCCTGTGTTAAGTCTATGGGAATTAGATAAATCAGTAGTCAACAGGTTAAAAGAACAGCCACTCTCTCTGATTGAATAACCACAGAAATTTGAATGTTATTACTGTGACTAATGGAATTTAACAGCCGTACCTTGTATTTCAGTATTTGTGTGGTGAAAAGCCCCCTTATGGACTATTTTGAACATGTCTATCACAGATGATCAAGAAGCCTGCATTAAACCCTGCCCACTTCTGGACGATTTCCGCATGTTTGAGATCATATCTTTATTTAATATTAATTTGTATATATTTTTTTGTATGTGTTATATGCAAAAATAAAGTTATCACTATTTAATATTTTGTATATTTCAATGAGTTAGTGTGTGAATGAAGGAAGAGACAGGGAAAGAGAAAGAGAGGGAAGAGAATAAAAGAGAGAGGGGAAGGGGAGAAATTCCCAGAGGTTGGGGGGGGGGGGGGAGTTACGGGAGTGGAAGGGATGAAAAGAAATAAATGTGACATATCACAAAATAATATAATGTTTAAAACTAGAGATGGCGCTAGACCACTTCAACACACCGCTTCTTTGAGGGTTGAATGTTGCCATGTATGTAGCGTGCAGAAAACTTTTATACATATTTTAACTGGTCTATTTATCATCACATGAACAGGTACTTGTCATTATAATGTTTTTAACGCGAGACGGCGCTAGACCACACCAAAACGCTTTGGTCTCCTCATCAAGGGTTGAAGAAATTCGGCTGTCCGGTGATCAAATTCTTTAGAATAAGGTCGAAGCCCCCCCCCCCCCCACCCCTCAATCCCGAGAATCATGAGAATATACAACCTAATATGATCATATGATATAGGGTACTACACTGTTCAAGGTAATTGGTTATTTTTGCTGTAACATACGACAAAATAGTTTGGACTTTCAAATCTGTACAAAACATGAAACATCAAAAGAGTATGGAACATAATTATGATCGCGTTTGGTTTAAAATCAATTATATTAATTGCTACTTCAGTAGTGCAAAGCCAGGGCGTCGCCAGAAGAGCGTGTGGGATGTGACACCATTAAAACCTTGCTGGCAACTCCTAACAACTTGATGAATTTCATTTTCTTCCTTATAAATTGTTTTTTTGAAAATCTGTCAACAAATTAGAATATCTGATTCAATTTTATGCTCGTTTGTTTGTTTAAAAGTTATGGCTTCTTGTCGACAAAAATTTGCCCCCCCCCCCCCTGCCCTTCTAGCGACACCCCTTGCACATAACAGGATCACCACGGGAAGGTAGCAGCATGACCCCGTGTTAGTAAAATAATAAAATGAGAAAGAAAAAACATTGGCGAAATAATATCAATGGTAATTTTTGTTAGAATAATCGAGGACCTCAGTTGGAAAAACGAAAGCTCTGTTGATGATGGAGAAATAATTAAATGGATAAATACATATTGATAAATACATATTGAATGAATACGAATTGAATTGAAAACTATATAATGTGGATAATTTATTGATCATCAAATTGAAAGGTTGCTATACCTCTGTTAAAAGCAGAAACATCAGAGGAAAAGGCCGCATCATTGGCAGCAACAGCAGTGGCAGCGGCAGTGGCAGCAGCAGTGGCAGCAGCAGCAGCATTGCATGAGAGCTGCAGTGGCAGCAGCAGTGGCAGCAACAGCGGCATTGCATGGCAGCAGCAGTGGCAGCCGCAATGGAAGCAGCAGCATAGCATGGCAGCAGCAGTGGCAGCAACAGCGGCAGCAACAGCGGCATTGCATGGCAGCAGCAGTGGCAGCCGCAATGGAAGCAGCAGCATAGCATGGCAGCAGCAGTGGCAGCCGCAGTGGCAGCAGCAGCATTGCACGGCAGCAGCAGTGGCAGCAGCAGTGGCAGCAGTGCATGGCAGCAGCATTTCATCATCAAAGACAATGGCAGCAGCGGTAGGAGGAGGAAGACGAGGAGAAGGAGTAAGAGGAGCTAGAGGGAGGAGGAGAATAAGTGGTGTTGTAAGAATAAACTCACTAGATCACCAACAGCACACATGCATAGTAAAAGGTAACAAAAACAGACAAAGGTATCTTATATACATTTAACGAAACTAAAAAACAAGTTCAAAATATGAAAATTAATCAAAGTAGTGACAGATAATAACAAACAAAAACCATCTCAGATATGTTATTCAAAAGGCAAAAATATGTAACTCAAAAAAATATAGAAACAAAAATACATTTGCGGTGTTAGCGGTTAGTATCATAAATAAAGAAAACAATATTTGTATCCAACGTACACAATTTTCATATGATGCACAATTTAGAGCAAAACATAATGTTATTTGTAGCACAAGTGTTATACTGGTAAGAAAAATAGCAGCACTGTTAAATGGAAATCAAAGCTGTGGAGATGAATGTGGAAGAAACCAAAGCAGTCGACGTGATTATTATTAGCATTTAATGTAAAATAAAATGGGAAAATTTAGTACAAGAATGATTTACAGCAGGAATAATGAATTCAACTATCTCTTAATTGTCATAATAATTCAAATATTGGTATATGTATGTATCTAAAAATTACCTTTTTGCATTATTATCAACTCAGTGCAATTCAGCCTACAGGCTACAAATTTCAGTATTCTAAACCATTCAATCAACCAATTAATTACTTTTTCAATTATGATAGAGGTATTGTAAAGTTGTAGTAGTCAATGTCGTGATTTTGAGAAAAGTTGTAGTTCCAGTAAGAGTACACATATCGTGTATTAAGCTCTAATTTTTTGATGTAAATCATCGCATAATCTGCATAGACATAACAGAACACATCAAACAGCTGAGCTCATGAATATAAATTTGCAACTACCGTGTTTCATACTGGGTTGTTTGTTACTCACAAAAGCTGGTTAAAAATCAAGTTTAACACCGTCCGTACTTCAGGGAACGGTTGTGTCTCAGCCCGTTTTACTGTGTTGCTCCATCGTCACCCCCGTCATCGCCGTGATCATTGTCGCCATCACATCTGTCGTTTTCACCTGAATATTAAACACTTCTCAATATCGATAAAGCATGACATTAAGACAAGTCCAGAGTGTTTTGTAATTTGCTGTCCCGTTAGTTACCAAGAATAGAAAGAAATACACAAAATATCAATATTATGAAAGTCATTTTAGTTGTTATTTAGTCTTATCCCAGTTATAGTGCTATCAACTTCATAATTATTGGGTATACTACACTATAAGAATGTTGATGATGTTGGTAACGTATGGGACAAAAAAAAACCCTTTAATTTGCTCATTAGATCTTACCTCTCTCAGTATATTCCAATCTGAGAAAACGTTGAATAGACATGCCAGAATGTATGTTTGATATTTTATCGCAACAGTACCCCCTACTTGTGTTATCATACAGATCAAAATCAATTTTTTTTTTCCATTATCTAAATCTTGTTTGATGGAAATGATAGAAGAAAAAAGTATTTCATGAAAGGAATTGGCCTTTAACGGCCTATGATGATTTATTGCCTGTGCAAACCTTAAAGAAGCAAATGTAAGTATTTCCGTCGTATGATAACCAAATCATTTAAAAACTGTTATCACCTACCTGTGACATAATTGTAGTATATCTTACCTGTGATTTCATAGATTATTGATGAAACATGTGATAGATGGAAGGGCAATTTGTTGCTCAGTGGATAATAGTTTGTTGCCCAAGGTCGCGGTAGACACTGATGGATGAAAGGCGACCCGTTAATGACGAGTGATAAATTGTTGACCAAGGTAGTAGTAGGTGGAAAATGCAATATATTTCCTTACGAATTAAAGACTATTGACCAAGCTAGAGGTACATGGAGGGGCGAGTTGTAGCTTGGCGTATTGTAGATTGTTGACGAAGCTAGTGGTAGATGGATGGCGACTTGTTGCTCGACGGAAGGTAGATTGTTGACGAAGCAAATGTTAGATGAAATATGTGTTGTTACATAACGAAGCTAGTAGTAGATGAAAGGTGAATAGTGGCCTGGCGGATCATCGCGGATGGAAGATGTTTGACCAAACAAGGTGATAGATGAAAGGTGACTTGTAGCATGGCGGATGGTAGATTGTTGAAGATGTTTGCGGTAGATGAAATGTGCGTAGTTACATGAGGAATAGTACATTATTAACAAAGCTAGTGGTAGATGAAAGGTGACTTGTAGCACGGCGGATGGAAGATTGTTGAAGATGCTAGCAGTAGATGGAAGGTGCGTAGTTACACGAGGAATAGTACATTATTAACGAAGCTAGTGGTAGATGAAAGGTGACTTGCTGCATGGCGGATGGAAGATTGTTGAAGATGCTAGCAGTAGATGGAAGGTGCGTAGTTACACGAGGAATAGTAGATTATTAACGAAGCTAGTGGTAGATGAAAGGTGACTCGTTGCGTGGCGGATGGAAGATTGTTGAAGATGCTAGCAGTTGATGGAAGGAAGGTGCGCAGTTACATGAGGAACAGTACATGAAGCTAGTGGTAGATGAAAGGTGACTTGTTTCACGGCGGATGGAAGATCGTTGACCAAACAAGTGGTAGTTGAAAGGTGACATGTTGCATGGCGAGTGGAAGATTTCTTGATCAAGCTAGTAGTAGATGAAATCAAATTAGTTGCATGAGCGATAGTAGATTGTTGATGAAGCCATTGGTAGATTCAAGGAGACTTGTTGCTCGGCCGATGATAACTTGTTGACCAACCTAGTGGTGGATGGAAGGCGACTTGTGTGATATGTGATAAATTGCTTACCAAACTAGTGGCAGACGGAAAGGCGACTTGTTGCTCGACGAATGGTAGGTGTAGACTTGTTGCATTTCTTACAAATATTCATTATCAATTAGATAAATATTGAAAACTTAAATGACCTAAGACCAAACTGTGCATTGAAACTTGTGCGTTGTTGCATGGCGGATGGTAGATCGTTGACCAAACTAGTGGTAGATGGATTGGCGAATTGTTGCTCCACGGATCTTAGATTTTTGACGAAGGTAGCGGTAAATGGATAGGCGAATTGTTGCTCCACGGATGTTAGATTTTTGACAAAGCTAGCAGTAAATGGATGGGCGAATTGTTGCTCCACGGATGTTAGATTTTTGACGAAGGTAGCGGTAAATGGATGGGCGAATTGTTGCTCCACGGATGTTAGATTTTTGACGAAGGTTGCGGTTGCACGAAGAATGATAAATTGTTCAAGATTGAAGGCGACTTGATGCATGACGGATGGTAGATCGTTGACCAAGCTAGAGGTAGATTCAAAAAGACTTGTTGCTCGGTCGATTATAGATGATATAAATGATTATTTAACTGTAAATTGTGACATGTACAATTTATATGTTGGATTAAAAAACAAAGGCCATTCAGCTGAACACTTCGTCATCAATATCCCCTGTAAATGTCATTACTGAAGTGAGAAGAGTACAATAATCCGACAACTACAAGAAATATAATACCGGGTTTTCAGATTACTTAGTTTTGGCTTCATGAATAATTTAATAAAATTACGTCATAATTGTGACAGGGATCGAAGGATAAGCAAGTTCTATAAGATAAACTGTTGCTCCACGGGTTTGAAGATGGTGGTGGTGGTGGTGGAAGACGACGTGACGAACGTTTGATTGTGGGCAAAGATGGTGGTGAATGAGCAAAGACGGATGATTTAGACGAAGGAAGTGGTAGAAGAAAACTAGGGTGTTGATACACTGACTAGTGATGAGGGTGGTCGATGAAGGTCATCATTGACGAAGGAAGTCGTTGAGGAAAACTTGACGGACGTTAAGATTGCTATCGTGGGTAGTTGAGGAAGATGGTTTGGTGAAGACCATTGTTGACGAGGGCAATGATGGAAGAAAACTTGATGGATGATAGATTGTTGACAAGGGTGTTGAACGAAGTTGGTTGTTGATGAACTTTGATTGTTAACGAGAGTGGTTGGTGAAAGTCATTGTTGACGAAGAGAGTGTGTGAAGAAAACTTGACGGACGGTAAGATTGTTAACGAGGGTGGTTGACGAATTTGATTGTGGAGCGGTGGAAGAAAACTTGACGGATGATACATTGTTAATGAAGGTGTTCGACGAAGTAGGTTTATGACGAGAGTGGTTGACAAAGTTGAATGTTGATGAGGATGGTTGGCGAAAGTCATTGTTGACGTTCAGATTGTTAACGAGAGTCGGAGAGTGGTTGACGAAGTTGATAGTTGATGAAGGTTGACGAACGAAGGAAGCGGTTGAAGAGAACTGGACGGATGATACAGTGTTAAAGAAGGTGGTCTACGAAGTTGGTTTAGGACGAGGGTGGTTTACAAAGTTGATTGTTGAAGAGAGCGGTTGGTGAAGATCATTGTTAACGAAGAGAAAGGGCAAAGAAAACTTGACGGACTTTAAGATCGTTAACAAGGGTGGTTGACGAATTTGATTGTTGACGAAGATGGTTGACGAAAGAAGCGGTGGAAGAAAACTGGACGGATGATACATTGTTAACGAAGTTGGTCTACGACGTTGGTTTATTACGAGGGTGGTTTACGAGGGTGGTTTACAAAGTTGATTGTTGATGAGGATGGTTGGTGAAGGTCATTGTTAACGAAGAGAGTGGGCGAAGAAAGCTTGACGGACGTTCAGATTGTTGACGAGAGTGGTTGACGAAGTTGATTGTTGACGAAGATGGTTGACGAAGGAAGCGGTGGAAGAAAACTGGACGGATGATACATTGTTAACGAAGTTGTTCTACGACGTAGGTTTATGACGAGGGTGGTTTACAAAGTTGATTGTTGATGAGGGTGGTTGGTAAAAATCATTGTTGACGAAGAGAGTGGGTGAAGAAAACTTGACGGACGTTAAGATTGTTAACGAGGGTGGTTGACGAATTTTATTGTTCACGAGGGTGGTTGAAAAAGATGATTGTTGACGAAGGTTATTGACGGAAGGGATTGATGGAAGGAAACTCGACAGATGATAGTTTTTAACGAAGCGAAGATGGTTGACGAAGTTGATTGTTAATAAGGACGGTTTGTGAAGGCCATTGTTGACGAAGATGGAGAAAGAAAAACGCTTGATAGGTGATTACTGTTGATGAGGGTTCATGAGGAAAATGTTTATTGACACAGGGAATGGTAGAAACAAAATTGACGGAGACAAGATTACGCCTTTCCATTTATTTTCCTGTGTCCATATCTGTGTCCATATCTGTGGCGTCCCAAACCTGTCGAAGGAAATTTACATTACATAGTCTAACTATGTACCTATCAAGCTCCGTGATCTGACACGGGTTCTGATACTAATACCTATATCATGTATACCACTAGATCTAAGGATAGAAGATTACGTTTCTTGATTGCCGTTTTTTATCGGACAATGTTTTTCTCCATCATCCTGGCTAATATGTTCTGCTGATTCTATTTCTAGTGCTGTTAGAGCAATGTCTTCTATTCTTAAATATCAAACATAGCCCATGTGCTCTTATGAATTCCTTAAAACAGTCAGACGCTAACGATATATCCCCTAGTTGCATATAATATCATTCTATCAATTCTCTCTTCTATCCTAAATCTCCCATTTTCACCTTTGTCCTTTCTTCCATATTATAATCCATATCATATATGTCATAGTTTTCGTTCCTTTGATCATGTTCATACTTTATTAATTCTAATCTTTACCAATGAATCATAGAGCATATTATTCTACTCTCTGTGCGCTCTGTCTAACTTGCTGTCATCTTTCAGTATTCTTTTCAATTATATGATTCTTATTTTTAATGTTTAACTTCCTATATCATTTTTAACTTAAAATAAGTATCTTCTACATCTACACTGCTGCTATATTCACGTAAAATGTAATAGTGCTATCATGTATTACACTAAAATACTATTGTCATCTATTTATAACAAAATAATTCCAAATGATTTTTAGATCTAATCTTCCACCAATAATTCAACTTCTCCGTTCCACACTGCCTCACTGTCGGTCCATCTGATTTATAGAATCAGTCAATTAATTAATGATATAAATTATGAAAATATGATAATGGTATCAATATCATAACACAACAATAAAAATGATAATAAAAGTAATAACAATAAAATATTAGTTATTAATTGCGTTATACGACAAACCAGTAAATTATAACAATTATTATAACTCCTGTTGCTTAATAGTAGCCTAGATCTTTATAAAACGGTAGTTTGTCTAGACATCTAAAGAGTTAATAAATTTCATGCTCAATTTTAATGTTAAGCTTTGTATGATTCCTCGTCAATGACCATATTCTAATCCATTTAGTGTCTTTGTTTATTGCTTAATCTCTTGCTAATTTTAACGATAATTAAAGTCAACAACTAGCCTAAGGTCTATGATCTTATCACGTGCACGGGAGTGTGGGACTTTAAGGTTTTGAGTTGTTATTACTTATTACTACAATATTGTCAAACAGTTGTCAAACAATAATGACGAAATGTATAAAAGTGTACGGCAATGGCATTGCTGAATATAGACCTACACTTAGTATGTAAAAAGAATTTCTACAAGATCAAAGTAATGAAACTTACCGCGAAAACTTACCAAATGGATGTGGACATGATGTAAAATGCTGCATTTATTCTAGATGTTGTGCCTGAGGCCCTGATGACTCTGTATTGTTCACCATGCAACAAACGAAAACGACAAAAACGAACGAACGAACGAGCGAACGAAAGAAACGAGCGAAAGATCAAACGGAAGAACGAAGTGCAGACGAACGAATGAACGATATTGAACAAACGATTTAACGAACGAATATCGTTGACAAAGTATCAATTTCAACGAAAATTTCACCCGCCGAAATTTTCGTAAAAATTTTCGGAAAAAAGAAAGTTTTGCCGCCCGACTAGCGGACTTTTCGGAGACGTGTCTATCGAAAGAGTCACAAAACTCTTGGCACACAAAAAACATTCTGTCAATCAACAACTAAAAATGGATACCCATAGGTGGCAACGCAACAATCTTCTTGATATGAAACCATAAATTTTAAAGAGATAGGTCAAGATCAAGCTTAAGTCAGGCGCCTACAAGGGACCTATCAATTTGCCTAACTGACTTACACTACGAATCCTGGCATTAAACCTAGCCTTACGACCCATCTCAATAAATTTCACAGTTCCATTAAGATCATTAAGTGATATTGCTGTATTGTTCTACAGGTATTACTAACTTTGTACAGTCTCAGCATTCTCAGGTCCCATTTTGTCCTGGTTGGTGGTAGGCTGGCAGGGATGATAATCCATGAAAAGATCCATCCAAAACTTAGAATTCAGCTCCGCAAACAACTTGGGATCCATAAAGAAAATCCTTCTTCAAAGCTCCACAAATATTCTCCTTTCTGCAAGTGTTAATAAATAATCAATTCTATATTGACAAGGCTGGCAGGGAGTGGTAATCCATAAAAGATCCATCCAAAACATAAAATTCAGCTCCGCAAACAACTTGGGATCCATAAACAAAATTCTTCTCCAAAGCTCCACAAATATTCTCCTTTCTGCAAGTGCTCATAAATAATCAATTCTATATTGATAAGTCATCGGTGGTACAACTATTGATAAAAGTTAGCCTTTGCCTCGGCAAGCCACCTGCCCAGCGCAGACCTATCAACAAACCTCCCGTAAGGTTCGGATTAGTCGGGCCGACACTGCAGCTCGGGCAAGCTCTGGCGTGATAAAGATCAAGATATGAGAGTTGTCACTTCAGTTGTGTCACCTGCAGACGATGAAAGTTTTAAAGAGATGTCCATCTATGAAAGTCTTGTTTTCCACCGGTTCAATGTCTCAAGTTCACCGTCACATGCCACCTTGCCCTTATGAAGATAATCCATACTATGAAAATGATTTCCAAACCGCAATTATCCCGGTTTTATATGCAGTTTTGACTTTCCTTGGAAAGAAGTTCCAGAGGTCGCTCAGGTGATGAAATTTATGCTGCATTTGATTTGGTGCCGTCTGCAGCTGTCAAATGCTGCCGCCAATTTACATAACAATAGGGGGTGAAATGCACCTGAGAAAGGAGCGTGCTGGCATGTTGGAAGAATGACATCACAATGCTGTTATAAAGTATATGAATGAACTCGGCATTCGAACATACTAGTTGTCATGAACAACCTGTATATCAAATGTATTTAAATTAATGCACGTTTCCCATAACTGTATTGATATCAGGACAGGGGCGGTACAACTACACTGTTGGTCATAATGATGGAATAATTATTTTTTCCTCAATTTATGGAATGATTTTGACAATGATTTATTCCTAATAAATCTAAATAATAGTATACATTCTCAAATTTTATTGCATAATAATTTGTAAGGGTTTGTTTTGCGTGACTGATTAAGCATGTGTGTGTTACTATACTAATCAACTCGGGGACCTACGGCCTTAAGTCATAACTGAAAGTAATAAGGATCAATGCCTCACAAAATGACACTAATATAGCTGATCGACACGGTTTTTATCCCGGGGCCTCACAGTAACGAGTCCATTGCTTAGCCACTGAATCATGACTGTACGCAGCGGGGACTAAGATAGGCCTACGGGACCGCCCCCACAAATACAACAACAAAAAACAGAGAAAATACAATAAATTATCAATAATTCATTGCATTTTCCCCCGGTCCCCGATTAGGGCCATGCATTATGGTTTAAGGCATGGCCACACAGAGGTTTTTTTTCTATTGGGGATCGGGGCAAAATGCCATCTTCTTCTTCTTCTTCTTTTTCTTCTTCTATTGTCTCCTTCCTCTTTTTCTTTTTCCTCTCCTCATCCTCCTCCTCCTCCTCCTCCTCCTTCTCCTCAATTTACTCCCCCGTGCTCATTTTCTTTTTTTTCTTTTTAATTGGAGATGTTGTACCCCCACCCCCCCCCCCCGGCCGCAAGGGAATAAGGGAGCCGCCCCTGTAAGAATTAGATTATCTGGTGAATGTAGTAACTCTTCAAAGGTAACATGTTTTCATTCGAGAGCATGATAAACACTTATCAATTTCAAACACAACAATGACTCATGTCCAGCTAATTCGAAAGGATTTGAACACCTGAGAGCCGAAATCCTTCAACCCTTGAGGACACGGCAGTGTTTTGGAGTGGTCCAGCACCATCTCTCGTTTAAAACATTACGGTGGGATGTACCAGTTCCGTTCATTTGATGATAATGTTGACCAATTAAATATATTTTTTACAAGTTTTCTGCATGCTTGTGTGAAAGATTTTTAAGGCGATTTTAAGGAGAGAATTACAGAGTGGGGCGAAGGTAGAGGGAGTGGGAATAAGGAGAGAGGGGAAATGAGAGAGAGAAGAAGAAGAGAAAGAGAAAGAGAGAGAGAGAAATGAGGTTGACAAAGAAGGGAAGAGCTTGGATAACACAGATAATTATGTTAAAGAATAATGTTTAATCATATATCACAGTTAAAAATGCATTATAAAGAATTACGTTTAATCATATATCACAGTTAAAAATGCATTATAAAGAATTAATATCATAGAAGTAAAAGAAAATGAATTGAATGAAATTATGAAAATAACTAAGAAACAATGGAGAGACGAAATATTGGAGATAAAGAGAGAGAGAGAGAGAGAGAGAGAGAGAGAGAGAGAGAGAGAGACATAGAGAGAGAAATATAGAGAGAAGAGGCGGGGGGTATTTGGTGAATGATGCTAGATCACTTCAAAACACTGTCATGGCATCAAAGGGTTCAAGAATTTCAGCAGTTGGGTGTATTTCGAACTTGCTCGATAACAAGTGATGACAATAATAGTTATTATGTTAATTAGGCAATTTTGTAATGCTCTCAGATATATACACGTTTGCATATATTGATGAACTTTTAAACTCACATTTGTGCACTACTACATACATATTTCAATAATAATGAAGCGAATAAATTGCCATCACGTTTTCTTTTCATCTTTGTTATAAATCCTGAAGAAAATTATGCACCTGAACGGCAGCATTCTTCAACCCTTGAGGACACTGCAGTGTTTTGGAGTGGTCTAGCTCTATCTCTCGTTTAAAACATTTTAGAGAACCGAAGCTGTGACATCATAAAATATATTTTTGGAATTCTCAATATTTTCTTCATTTTCTGAAAGAGCATCAAAAATGTTAAGTATTGGCTGAGATATGACCATCTGAATAAAAGGATTGCCTATGGGAACTCGGTGTTATATTGCTCAGGCTCGTAATGTTATGAACCAGAGCAATCTTTTTATTCAGATGGCCATATCTCAGCCAATACTTAACCTATTCAATTGGTTTTCGACATTTGGACATTATTTTTGGTGTTCTTTGAGAAGTTCCAAATATAGAGTTTTGATGACGTCACACTTCAACACTCTATAATGTCATGCATTGATTTTGTGTATGTACCTTCAAAACAAAATATCCCCACTTGGGCAAATGTTCCCTGTGCTTGCGAGTCAAACTACTGACAGAAATGATGACAATCCACAGTACTTGTTCTTCTTTTTTACTTTATTTTCCTTCGATAGGTTGTTAATGGCATACATACACAATAATAATAATGATGTTTTATTGCTGACACGAGTCTCAACATCGTTCCCTCCATAAATATCACAAATATTCTGTACAAGTAGAAAATATCTTTGGAGTAAAATGAGTACTATGCATTTATGCACAAGACCAATATGTGATTTATGGCAAAATATTTTTTATCAATCTAAAGCTTGTCTTGAGTTTTAGGCCCTGTAACACAAAGGTTTGCGATCAATTGTAAATTTGAAATAATGATTCTGATTAGTCAACAGTCAGCCCTCCTAACAATAAGTGCATGCAACAATGATCTTGATTGGCCATAATCATTTTGAAATCGATTGCAAGCTTGTGTGTTACAGGGGGCCCTAGTAATGGATTGCAATTCATGAGAAACATCCTTCAAATGTGGTAAATGGGTTAATTTGTTCCAGTAAAATGTTTACAACTTTACAAAACCCTGCTTGAAGTACCATTCACTGAAAAGCACAACTCACATTTGCACCGACTTGAGACCATGAGTTGTGTGCACTATTGGAACCACTAGCTGAATTTCCTCATCAGTCTTCACTTATTTATTACTTGGCCCTCATTCATTTTCAACCAATTCCCTTCTGATCCTTCAGCAGATGGAATTTTATAGATGTGTTCACGACTTAATTGGCGGTTTTGTTTAACTTTGACTGAATTCAATTTTATTATCAGAATTCAAAATTGTCTTGAAGATATTTCCTTAATATATAGTACTTGTCCTGGACACACTGATATTGTATGCAAAAATGTTCATGTCTCTCGTTAAAATCAGAAGACATCAAATTCTACAAAGTATCCTCAAAATTTATGTCAAGACATGTTATAAGAAGCACTGCTTGCTCCGCATTTGTCAAACTACTGTAAAGCAGAAATTACATTAATTTTTGCACATTTTGAGCAACATACTAAAAGCAAGTGATAAAAATATCCAGGATTTTCGTACCCTCTAAGCATATTTGAAGAAAGTCACATTTGTCGATGACATACCGGTGCAGTGCATACTAAAAAGCAGGAGTACCTTTACACATGTTTTTACGCTACTCTCTACAAAATAATTGACTACTTGGATGCATCTCCTCTCTGCTACCATGTACAGTAAGTAAGTATAGGTCTTGAACCAAAGACTTTATCCAATCCGGCCGCACGACACATTCTATAAGAAAATCCACATGATCTCTTAAGAAATGTATCATTCAATTAAGGGATACAGACTTAATTGGGCCAGTATTGAATTCAGGACTTATGTCAGGAAACGAGTATTATACTTAGTTTTCGGCTTAGATGAAACACTTACCCAACTTTGGTATATAGTTGAAGCTCTTGGCCAAGTATTTTACCTCAAGACTAAGACAGCTCCCAAGCTGGTTTAAGCCAATTTTTTTAGAGGCCTTGATTGACAGGCACGTAGTTTACTTTAAAGCCATCATATGCCGTGCACACATTTATTAGAGTGCATTTAATGCGACACATTAATTGTGCATTATTTTGGATTGACCATGTGATGTCACAATGTTTATCAGTGTTTGACCTTAAAGTCGGCTTGTTTAAATTAGTAATATACTCAGATTTAATCTGAATATAAGTTATAAGTTATAAACAAATAACTTGGCAAAGCAAAAAGTTGAGTAAAATACTGACTTGATCTGTGTATTGAATTGAATACGGCCCCTGTTGTCAAACTACTGGTTTTAAAATTGTTACTTCAAGGGAAAATGGAATAAAACCAATTGCACTTTGTTGAACAAATATACAAATTCCACAACTCTCAAACAATGATACTTGTATGTGCATAACCATTTGTAAATCAAGTCAGACCCTAACAAGAAAGAAAGAAAAAATACAATAAAGTAATAGTAAGGCCATCCATGACAATCACATACACATGTATGTTCATATTGGAAACATGTTCATGTGTATTCTTTTACAATTCAAATTCGGTGGGTTCTTATATTTTCCTCCCCCTTAAGACACATGCTGTGTAAACAGAGTTGGGATGGAAGAAAATGTTATTTCAGTTAGATGTACTCAAAGTAGTTACAATGTAAGAGCTACAGAGGAGTTCCCTTTTGTGCTGGAGACATTACAAATAATATACACATCCTCTAAATGAAAGCTATGACCTTTGACCTGCTGCCGATCATAATCTCATCTCGGTGCAGAACTCTCTGATGAACAGTTCAGGAGATCCAAATTAAGATTCTAACTGGTAGTGTGCTAATCAAGCTTGGGACATACAGTCATCAAACAAACAATGCAACCTCTTACAGTTTTGAAGTCAATTTTTAAATTCTCTCCACCCAAAACAGGACATGGAAATTCTGTTATGGCGATTCAATTTTTGTGAAATCAACTGAGAGAAAAAAACCAAAACTAATCCTTAAATTTATTTGAACTTGGAATCTATAACATACAATAAAGCTTTATGTTCTAAATACATTGGCCAACCATGTGAAGCCAAATATATTTCTGCACCTGCACAGTGTACAATAACCAAACGCAAAATGACAGCATAATGAGCAAATGAGGGGAAAGCACTTTAAAGATGAAAGCCCTTGTCAATTTTGGCTGACACAAAGAACAAGAGATTCTTTTTACTGGTGGAGAAAAAGGCAATAACATGAATCTAATCATGAACATCGCTATGAGTACAAGATCATGAACAGTATAAGAATACATGAAAGGTACAAGTTTAGTTTCAAATACTTTAAATTAAAACAATCTTAGAGATAACATAATGAGGGTAAAAATATTGATTACACTATACGTACATGTAATACAATTATATTACAATAATTAACTTGAATGCATTCATTTTTGTTACATCAATAAATTATCAATTACAATTATAAAGATATCATCCAAATATAATATTCAACATTTTATTAGTTGTAATTGTGTAAGTATTTTCTCTGTTCCCTCTATCCCTTTCAACCATTCATACAGAAATGGTAGATACCTTTTAATACATTTACAATATATTAAATTCTTTCAATATAAGCCCTACACTACAGGTACATCTTTGAGTTAACAGGTAGATTAACAGGCATATACACAAAATTAGTACTGATTACTTTTACATAGGACAAAAACAATGATACAATATACTGTACTTCAACAATATTGTGGTGATTGACAACATTGGTATTTTTGCAGTCAGAGATGATAGAAGATTATCTCACACATGTATACACATGTAAGTACACTTATTTAATAGGTCACATATCATTGCTGATTTGGTTTGGGAAACTGCACATGAGGCTATGCACAATACACATTATGGCATTACACATACATCAGGTTCATGAAAGCAGTTTTCACAAGAATCTCTCGTAACAGGTTATCCGGGAGTGGTTCCTGGGTTGAGTCAGAATAAATTAGGTGTGAAAGGGGTTATTAATATAATATTATATAATATAATATTAACATGGGTATTAACCTGTAGTTCCTGGTTTATATCAGGAAAAAAAAGCTTTAATATGAAAGGGGCTACAAAATCCTTTTGCATATCATTACTCAGTTAGCATTCATCATACCTTCAAACACATACCACATGCATGTGCATAAAAACGTACATGTACCATACTACAAGAATGACGTCATGTCCATACAAGGTGACTTAGAGCAAGTATAAATATGGAAGAAGAAGAAATCCACCTTTGGCACGGGCATTTGATGACCAAATTACACTGTCAAGTCTTTTTTTAGAATTTACATGTGTTTTAGTACATTTGTATAAAATTATGAGAAGTACATTTATACATTGCAGAAAAGACAATTCACCTTTCAAGAATCAACAGTATCAAGGTTACAAATACAATGTACGTTTCCCCAAACCAATAATAATAACATTTACTTATGATGCATGTATTGCTGCTATCTTCAATTAAATTCAGTAATCATTATCCAACATAGACTAATTTCTTATAAGTCAACTAAAAAGATGAAAATAAATATTGCTTTTGAATCACCTAAACCTAAAACTTACTAATTATAAATGGATGAATTTATATTTTGTTCACATGAGTTGATATTGAATATATAGCTAATATATCTTTTATTCTAGACTATTTCAATAATTTTGTCTAATATAAGGACTCTCCGACAAATAACTTACAGTAATAATCGTCTTTTTCAACTTTCCTTAGGATAAGGTTTGTGAAAGAGATTAAATCTCTAAAGCCTCTCATAAAAAGTGTAGCATGCTTAGCATAGGGGAAGACAAAGAAAAGTTACAAGGTTAAGTATCTTTGGAAAAATAGAAGACTACGTTGAAGGACAAAGAAAGCCAGCTAGGCAGGAAAAACAGGATAAAAAGGCGAAATGGGAAGTCGACAAGAGAGAAGAAGGTTAGACGGGGAGAGAAAAGCCAGCTGATTGACTTGAATACACATAGCAGTTTATTCTCGCACATGGAAAAGCCTGAGGGATGTGTTTGGCCGTTTATTGGGAGCAGGAATACTGCAAATATATCATATCCCAATGAAATTAGTTTAGAGACTGAAGTCTGACTGATAGTTGTATCAAACACCATCACGGATCAACCCCTTTATGTGTCGTCACGCTCTAGAATGAAATCCTTCTGTACATAAACATTCCAATACCTTTTCAAATCTGAACTTGGTTCTCCTGTGCATTGTGGTTGTATGGAGCCCACCAGGTCTGACAAAGACAAAGTAAGTCCAATGCTTAATTTACAAACCAGGAGCAAAGAGCAGGATTGTCCACCGACAGGGCAGATGACAGAACAAATCAAGTCTTCTACATGTACGTCTCTGAATTGGAAGAGATCGATCTACTGTTGCAGGCTGAGTAACATATATGCAGCTTGGCAAGAGCACTAATGCTCCCTATTACGCTCTCCTTTTTATCTCATTGTTGCTGATTGCAAATTCATCTCATCTAAATACATGTACGCAGCCATTGTCATCGTCTTATTGGGCGATAAAAACAAGTACATTTCTAGGCCATCCATGTCATATATCCTTTTTGAACGTTGATCTGGTTTACACATGCAGCCACATGTAGCCATCTTGTCGTAGTGAAGAAACAAGGACGTTCATGCTATCGATTTTCACATCCATGTTGCTGATTGCAAGTTGACATGATTTACACAAGCAGCTCTATGTGCAGACACAGCCATCTTGCCGTAGTGAAGAAACAAGGGCGTTCATGTGATCCACTTTCATATCCGTGTTGCTGATCGCAAGTTGACTGCATTGACACATGCAGCCAGATATTACAATCTTGCTGTCAACAGAAACAAAATGATCTGAAATAACCTCTTCATATTCTTGTTTCTCGGCCATCTTTAGCACCCTGGTTCCGTTGGTGGAGTTTTTGTTGATGTTGTTGTTGCTGCTGTTCTAACAACTGTTGGTACAACATTGTAAGCTGTTGTTGGTGGGACAATGCCTGTTGCTGCTGCTGTTCATGTTGCTGCATTAGACCTGCATGTTGTTGATGCTGATTGAGTTGACTGACTTGCCTTTGTTGTTGTTGTTGTTGTTGATGTTGTTGCTGTTGTTGTTGTTGCTGTGGGTGGTGGCCATGAGCCTGAGAGGGTTGTGGGTAGCCATGTTGCTGGTAAGCTAACTGCTGTTGCTGCTAGGGATAACAAAATAAGTTCATTCAATAGTTTCATGGTTATTAAGGCAGGGGTCATGGAAACTCAAATGTAATATTTTCAAGATCAAACACAATATATCCTTGTCTGACATGAGTGAAACATTATTCAGCATGATAGAGATATGCATTCAGGAAGCAAAGAGATATCAGTCATCCATGTAAGAGGTAAGGCTCAAATTCATGAAGTCTTGTTTTAATTTAATAAATAATTTGTCTCTTCACATTTTACGTCAAAGCTAACTTATTATGAGCCATTAGGGTAAGAACAAAGAGAGTGCTATTTCATCTCAAACAAAACAATTACTTGATCCAAATTAATTTCCGTAATTTTTGCTTATTCTATAAAATATCTAAGTGACCTGGGTGGTGTTTAAAAAAGATCCTAAGTTGAACATGACAATAATGGAAAGCAGTTAGCATCTATGAAAATATTTTATAGAAGTTATTTCAAAAGGCATAAAATGTTGGTACAAATCATTCATAATTTCTATAATCAGGAAGAATGTTCTTGATGTGGAATTTATCAAAAGTCTAAAATACTTGAACTTTCGCTTTTTAGAATATATTTTACTTTAAGGCTACAAATGGCTCTCCATAATTTTTAAGTCCAACTTAGAGTTGAGTTCGACTTAGGATATTTGTGAAACGCCCCCCTGATCCTACATATTTCCAAAGTAAGGATTATGTAATCATCTAGTCATTTCATCCAATGTTTTCACTGTGAAAAGAGTCACTTCACACATTTCCATACTGTACCTGTATATGTAATTGTCTGACATGCCGCCTCTCAATCTCCCTGAGTAACGATTGCCTGTAAGCCTCATAGTCCATTACCACTGTTCTTAAATCTTCTTTGTATAACCTTGTTAGCATGGCTTGAAACGCATCTAACTCAGGCAGTCTGAACAGGTCCCACTTGAGCTTATGATCGTGTTCAGGGGAGGCTTTGTAGTACACGTCCAGCCAATTAGGTATTTCTGCAAACAACAGGGATACAAAAAAAATGTGACGGCACATGTTATGAGACGATCCTTACTATCAAAATGTTTCACTCTCTCTGTGTAAAATATAAGCGTCTTCAACAAGCATGTGCTAAGGTATGATATCGATAACCTTTGAAATTTTATTTATAGTCCCAGGTATATTATCACAAATCAAATGCTTAAAATAAAAATATTGCAAAAATAGCAATCAATTAATTTAATTGGTACTGTTGCTTATTGGAATACATATCAACAAAAAGGGAAACAATCCAATCCAACTCTTTATATCTCATGCATATGTGTGTCTTTTCATCAAGCAGTCTTGATCATATACAGTCAAGCCTGCCTATAGAGGTCAATAAATGGAAATGATAATCATTTTTTTTCTAGATATTGCCTGTAAAATATTCAGATCTGGAAGGCAACAATAAAAGTGAGCACTATGACCAGGACCCTGTTTCATAAAAGTTAATAACAATAACAAGTTACAAGCTACTGTTATAAGCTACTGAAATCAAGGCATCTGATTGGTTGAGAGCAAATTTGTCATAGAAATTTAGCATTTGTTATAGATAAGAGGTTTTATGAAATGGGCCCCAGGTTGTTTCTATGATCGGTTGGCCTCTATATCAAGGTTTCCACCATTCATCACTTTCTGTGGTCTCACCTGTATAAAGATAGGGGTTGGGTGGAACCCAGAAGTTGTTTGCCTGGCCTGGTTGCCCCTCTGAACGGGATGCAGGGTTGAGGCTGGGTGACTGGGGTGGGATGGGCAGACTCTTCGGGATGGGTGGGGTGGGTTCATATCTAGGAATCTTGGGCGCGTTGGGATGCCTGTACTGTGCTGTCCTTGAAACATGGCTGTCAGATATTGATAAATTATTATTATTATTATTATTATTATTACTTATACCGCGCTTTTCCCATAAGGCCCAAAGCGCTTACAGTGAATGAAAATAAAAATTACATAAATACATATAATTAGAAGAAAAAAACAGTCTTACAACTACAAATTGCAAAAAAGATATGTTTTTAAGGCCTTTCTGAAGGTAAGAACTGATGGAGACTGCCTGATTCTAAGTGGTAAATCATTCCAACATTTTGAAGCAGATACAGTAAATGTTCTATCACCGGCTAATGTGCGGGTAACTGAATATGTGAGACGGAGAGGATCACTGGCTGACCTCAATGCCCTGGCAGGTGTATAAAAATTCAAACAGGTATGTAAATATTGTGGAGCTTGATTATTGAATATTTTGAATACAAACAAGAGTAATTTAAAAATTATTCTTTGTTTCAATGGAAGCCAGTGTAATGATCTCAAGATTGGCTGAGATGGATGGTCCCTAGAAACCTGAAATATCAATCGGGCTGCCCAATTTTGTAACTGTTGCACACGAATCAATTTAGTTGAGGGAATGGTAGAAAGAAGCCCATTACAATAATCAATACGGGATAGAACTAAAGAATGCACAGCGTTATGACAGGCAGACTGGTCAATAAACCTTCTGATTCTAGCAATATTTCTTAAATAAAACGTAGCCATACTACAGATGTGAGAAATATGGTGAGACATCGACATGCTAGAATCACATACAACGCCAAGGTTTCTTATTGTTTTTGAAGGGCTAATGAGTGTGCCACCAACATCCAACTGAACATTTGGAAGACTGCGCAGATTGTGACCTGAAGCAGCAACAAAAAATTCAGTCTTTGAATCATTTAATTTTAACTTATTTACTACCATCCATTGCCTAATATCTGAAATACAAATTTGAAGTTTGATAGGTGCACTATCAAGAGCTCCTGGAGTCTTAGGATTAAAGGAAACATATAACTGTATGTCATCAGCATAGAGATGATAATTAATACTATGATGTCGGAGGATATCTCCAATAGGAAGAGTATAAATTGAGTATCCTATAAACAGATGGATATATATACAAGGGCAAACTGAAAGGGGTTTGTCGCACATTAAAAGGCAGAGAAGGAAAAGGGGAAAAAGAGAGCTAGAGACACACACAGACACACCATGGTGGACATAATAAAGGTTATCAAAGTCTGTGCTTTAAAAACGCATTTAGAAGGTACGATAGACTACATCTCTACAACAATACAAATGCTTTAAAATTCTGGAAAATAAGAATGAAAGATAATGGAAGAAATGGTGCTTTAACATGAGATAAGATTTATTTGAGGCCTGTAGTACATATAAGCAAACAATTCACATTAAATTTTAAAGGTAATATTCAACTTGTAATATTTTCACACATAAAAATGCCCATAAACTTTTCCAAGTGATGAAAGTAGTGACTAGAAAGAAGCATGCCATTGTATGTTGTTTAAGCCTAGGCTCTTTTCATTCTAATGTTCTTAAAAAAATGTATTTTGCATCACAAGCCTAACACTGTTCACCCACAGATAAGAATGAATGAGTATTCGTTTGTGCCACGTCTATTATTGCTGTGTTACATGTTTTTAAATGTACTATGGAATTTGATTTTCACTGTTCTGTAAAAAACATTATGCTTTTTGATGTAAATATGTTCTTACCTATTCAGGGCCCCATGGAAGACCCCTACTTATTAATGAATTGGCTACCCTGACAAAAGATTAGAAATACATAAGTAAATAAATAAATAAATAAATAAATAAATATACAAACAAACAAACAAACAAATAAATAAATAAATAAATAAATAAATAAATAAAAAAATTAATAAATACGTACTTGACATAGTAGGTGCCATGCTCTCTGGATTCGACTTTCTCCCATCCAGGGGGCAACCCCTCCTTCTCTAATGGATGACTCCAATGTGTTGTCTGAGTGTTGTGACTGCGTTGGGGGAACAAAGGAAGACGGATACAGATAAATCGGGATAGAATCTGTTGAGTGAGTACTGATGGAACATAACTTGGTGTAATGGACCAACGGATCGGAAAGAGTGATGCCTGTTATACATTTAATATATAGTGAGTGTGGGAAGAAGAAATGGCATCCAAAACTGTACAATGCTTAAGAGTTAATTTTAATGAAAAATTAAATGAATTACTCTGTATTATACTATAAATAATACATTATGCCCTCATGTAAATTAACCCCTATTGAAATTACACTGATAACATTTTTGGGGGGTTGGATTACCACCTAAATGATAACGAAATAAAACAAAGAAAACATGACATCTCTCTCCAGTCAGTATCAGCATAATACTGTAACAACAACCTGTGGATGATACAAGTTTGACTTACTCAATAAAAAACTTCCTCCCTCTCATTGTCCTGTCTACAGTCCAGCCAGGAGGAAGAGGCAAGTCTGGTACATTCCCTGAAATATCAATCAATCAAAAGTCATCATTATTAAATATGATATCGAGATCTGGGCCCTGTCTTACAAAGAGTTACGATTGATCCAAATCAATTTGTAAGTCCTTCAATTGATCGCAAATTTGCAGTCTCCTATCTCTTATGAACATAGTTGCGATTTACATCAATCGCAAATAAGTTGCGATTGATATCAACTCTTTGTAAGACAGGGCCCTGATGATAAATCTTATACAATTTCCACACAATCCAGCACCTTTACAATGAATTCCAAAATCTGAAACTAAATCATAGATGTCAAAAAAATTTAATAGCCAATGGACAAAAGGCATTCTCATTGAGTTTCATCTAAAGTTATTTTGTTCTTACTGTACATAATGATAGGGGTATCCCTCATCTTCAGGATTTCAGGCGAATGCATTATCTGGAAGATTCCAAAATTATTTTGGGTTTGGGATAGGGGAGGGGCATAGCTTTCTCTCCCTGAATTGGCAGGCCTAGAATTGTGGGTAGTCGTCAATGTGGTTAATTGTTAGCGACATATTGATAGTGGATGTAACTTCCCAGTTTTTATTTTCTTCTTACCAGCATGAGGTGGTTTATCTGGTCTGTAGGCACTGGCAGGGAGAAGGGGAGATCCCCCTCGTTGTTGAGTGGGTACACCACGATCTCCATAACCGCTATGGTGTTCTAGAGGGAAAAAGTATACAAAATAAAGAAAGGGTTGAATAAATCATTCTACCGGTAGTCAAAAGTGATGATAGTTTTGATGGAGTGAAATGACTAATATCAGTTTGCCCATTATAAAAATGAAGTATGGCAAAGTATACATGTAGGTGCAATGGAATAGGAGAATAATAGCATTAGGAGGAAAATGTAGAAGATGATGATGTCGATGATGATGATTTAAGGAGGAGGAGAGGAAGAATGAGGATGAGTATGCGGAGGAGGAAGAGGAGGAGGAGGAGGAGGAGGAGAATGATGATAATGATCATGTGGTTACCTGTTGGTGCCTGCCCATTGTCTTTGTTGAAGTCTGGCAGACCCAGCTGAGCTAGACCAGGGCGTCGCCCTACGGGTGCCCCTATCGGTTCCCACTGGGGTACGGCTGGGTTAGTGGTCCCAGGCTGTCCTCCCGAGGGTATCTGCGACGGCCTCTTCATAGAAGGACCGTTGCGCTGAACAGGGCTCATGTAGCCTGGATATTAATTAAAAAACAAATACCGGTAACAAGTTCTGTAAAAAATTAGCACTACATTTACTGTTTCAAGATAGTGGTATCTGTAATTACTTACATGTATGTGTTTACATGCTACATGTATTCTGAATGTTTAGAGATAGATATTATTGCACATGACAAATTCATGACAGTTAAAACAAAACCATAAGCCTGACATTTCATCTCCACGATATCAACACAACCTGATATAAATTTAGAGACTTTGAACTCAGGCTATGATACAATTAGGAATACTGAAGTCATCCATAACTGTCAGCTTAATATAAACTAAGCTATGAATTCTTTGATGCTGTTTTCTTAAAAAACAAAGAAAAATATATTCTACTTCTTGTACTTTGGGTTACCTTGGATTTTTCTTTGCCTGGGCAAGTATCATACATAGCTTATAATGGAAAAATTGAAATATAGTAGAGCTTTGTCCCTTTGTTGAGACTTACTTGAAACTTTATATTTCAAAGATGCAAGGTTTTCATATCAATACCCCGAGTCCTGATATTGAAATGGGTTGTACTCATGAAAGAATCATTCTTTCCCCCATCATTTTTGTTAGAAGCATGGATAACAATCCAAGTAGGGATCAAAGGTCGTAACAAAGTTTCCATTGATGAAAGCAGCTGCTTACCCTGTAACCATGGTGATGTCTCTTTCTTGGTGTACTTGCCAGCAATGCCTTCAGGAGGTAGTGGTTTGGATGAATCTTTCTTTCTCAGGAGCATGTTCTACATTAGGAACATCTGAGAAAGACAGAGATCAATCAAATATGGTAAAAAGTCATGACTGTAAAATATCACTCAAATACGACAACAGTTATGATTGCACAGTTTGAAAGTAATCTAGGCATAGTTTTAAAAAGTAGTCAAAGTGCAATTTTACCAGTATCTCATTGAAAAGCGTGTTGATTTTAATACACCCATGTTTCAAATTTTCAATGGAATATTGGCGAACATTTACTATAGACTGTTTCGTGGGACGCTGCCCAGAGATCAAACAATAAAACCGCTCTTTGGCAAAACCTATTTGTTCATGTTATTATGAGGTTTCCTAAATCAATTTACTCTAGTTCGAAGATATAAAGCATCCTCAGATATGAAAAGGATGTTAAGACATAACACTAACTGGATGAAAGTGTTAACACTCAAAAACACTTTTACAGGTGTTATATGTACATGTATACGACATCAATGTCTGAATTAAGAAATTTACACTGATTTACTTTAGCAGACTTCACCAAAATTGCATATGTACAATGTACATCGCATGTGCCTACACAACTTGCTCATGTATCCACTATCCATGTTTCATTGCTATAGTGTACACTGTTGTAATCATGTGTCAATCATGCACACGTACACTGTAGGTAAACATACATGAACTTGAGGAACACGGCAGTCTGTATAGGCCAATACAAAGCATGTTAGCATGTCCTTGCTAGTACCAATTTATTTTCGGTCTTCAAAACAATTTGATGCACTTGCCAGGTTAGATACTGAATACGGTAGGGACAGTCTGACAGTGTTCTCTACATGTAGCACAATGGTGTTGAGATTTCTGCACAAAATTATCATAACAAATCCAAATTGTTTGTTTGATTTGTTTTGTCTTTACTTTTTCCAAGAATATTAATTTAAATGATTTTTTATTTTATTTGTATTTTGAGACGCTGTAATCCTGTAAACTGTAAAAACTTGCTTACATGTACTGATAAAGATTCAGTCCATCCCCTCTCTCTCTCTCTGAAAAAAATTACAACAGAAGCATTTCAAGAAACATTCCTATCTAACCAAGGGACCATACAATGTACACATAAACCATACATTGTAGGTGTACAAAACTGTACAGGTTCCTGTCATTTGGAAATATTAATTCATTTGATTTTGTTTCAGCCTTTTATAAGGCCAAATCTCAATGAAAATAACCCAATCTACTTTCCAACATTGGCAGATATATGAAATAGAATCTACTCAATAACGAAAGATGCAAACCCTTTTCATATTGTGTGGAAAAAAAAGACATGGGCATATTCCCCTGTCAAAAAAATCCATAGAAGTTTAATGAAGGAATGCTTCAGCCTTACAACTTCTTGGTATTTATAATTCCATTTACATACATGTAAATACATGTAGAATAAATACTGTATCTCTCTCTATTCACACTATTGTACCTGGTTCTGTGGAACCCATCTCTTTAGGACAGAGATAACACACAAACTCTGACCCTATTCATATCTTGTTATATCCGGTCCTTGACAAGAGACATAGCTCATTAAAAGAAGTTTGGCTCTATACACTGGAATGGTAGGAATGTCTATTAACAAGGAGGTACCGGTACAGGGGTTTATTGATGGGTGTGTGCATGCACTACACTGTACTTCACCCATTTCATACCAAACCAGTAAACTGAATTAATGATTATAAATACCAGTAATCAAATCTAAATCTATTCTATTATGCTCAGCTGAGAATAAACTTTTTATACCAGTAAGTGTTTTATGAGTGATAATTTCCCTTTCACAATATCATCTGTACATTTTGTATACAATACAATGCATCAAAGAGTGGGATAAAGTTAGCACTTGCCAATGTAAGGTTTTGAAATGATTAAAGCACCTATATTGTACCCCACTGTTTGCATAAATGATAATGGTATTTGCTTGAATTCTTGGATCTGATTGTAGACATAAACCATGGACATAGACAAGATGGACTACCGTTTATCTGATTTTCAGCACTAGAAAGTAATGCATATATTGATGAAGACATAGACAAGACTAATCATTCAGTAGATTTTCAAGATTGATTGTATTTGTAAGTAGTTTTGTAATGTTTAAAGAGGAAGATTTTGGGTAACAATGTGTCCTGAACACCTGTTTATGCTAGTATTGAACTGTGTAATAAAAATAAAAAATTGTTCACAAAATTTTCCAAGTTTAATTAAGCCCAGAAGTTTGTGTATGCAACATGTTTTAACTGACTCTGTTACATGTAGTTGGTTTTTAATACTGTTGGTTTTTATTGCACTGTCATCCCGGATAGGAACATTCCAATTTATTTGATATGAAAGGGGGATAGAATAGACTATAATGACGACTGGAATGGTGCATCAATCAACAATCCAAAATACTATACAATACAATGGAAAACTATTGGGGTGCATCTGGTATTTGACAATTGGTTTGTTGACATCAAGGTTGAATGGAAAATACAACCACTGAATAGTTAAGAGTAATCACCTTTTTGGAGGCTAAAAGTTGAAAGTACAATTTGAACAACCATATATACACTGTAGTTTGTAGTTATTGGTCAGTGTTGGTTAACTGCAGCAATAATCATATTAAAATTATTGCCCGAACTTGAAACTTGAAAGCATAATGTTAATGTACATGTATGCCACTTACATGTGCTGTGTAATGTACAGTAGTAGTGGGTTGACATTTAAAGTTATTTGCTTAAATGACAACCTTTAATATAAATAGTGTATACAGTGTAGTGTACATGTAATTTACGCATGCATGCCAAAAAATGAATGTCCCAATTACAGTACCTCAACCCATTTGGAGTTTAATGTATCTTACTTACACAGTGTGTTGCTTACAGCCTTACAGTTCACATGTTCATGGGGACTAACATGTACTTGTATAAATTATAACAAGTAAAGATAGAAATAAGTTTAGCCTCCACTTACAGTTTTATTCAACAATTATTTAATGCTATCCAAATAAATGCAGCCAGCATTTTTGAATTTGATTTCAAAGTAGATTTTGTTTCTCATTTTGTTGATTAAATTCAGAGCTCATGCAATTTAAGTTGGTTAATTATTGTTTTGACATATTCACGGCACTCTTGTAATTGAAAAATGTACAATCATATACATGTATGAACAGTAATGTATATTAGGCCCGAGTCAAAAAGGCTCCACGCCCAGTCCCCAACCGTCACTCTAATACCTGGGTTTTAATTTTTGATTTCGGGTATTTCAAAATTAAATTTCAGACTGATATTTTGCAATACAGAACTTAAAATACACATTTTACTGAATTTCAATTTAATTAAATAAAGATCCAAAAGGAGATCATTTTAGATGACGGTAGGTATTTTCATGGCTCTACAATTGAGGCTGCAAGGAAGGAGGGACGCTTCGCGTTACCGAGCGTGTTCATAAACGGAAGTCAAAATATGACTCACCAACGACTGAGCAAGTTACGAAAGTACCACACACAAAACCAAAATGATGATCAGACTATTGAAATTAAAATTCAATAGGCATTAATTGTCTAACTATCCACAAAATAATGGTTTACCCAAGAAGGCCAAGATATTATGATGAAGGAAAATGCATTAAAGCTCTTGAAACAGCATAGATGTGCCTTTTGATCATCAAAAAAAATATGTGTGTATCACGGTTAAGTTTGTCATGCTTGATGTCCGTGGATACAGGCCTACACTATCATTAATGCAGAAAAAAGTCAGAATTGATCAGATCAATAAGCATTAAACCAACAAAAAATGCCTCATTAGACAGGGTGCTACAAGAATTTTTTTCACCACTTGCCCTGTCGGGCAAGTGGGTTTTCAATTTACTTGCCCAAACAATATTTCCACTTGCCCAAAACTTTAAAGCGAAAAAGTAGTTCGCTTTCTTGGCTGGCGGTGCCTCCATGTTTACTAGCACAATCGAGAAAAAACAGCTGATCAACGCACGTGTGTGTCTGTGCAAGCCGCTGTCATTTGGAAACGTAGGCTAATTTTCAGCTGTTAATAATTTGGGTCAACTCTTCCATCAAGAAACGTCATGTAAATAATGGGTAATCAACTATTTTAAATAAAGTACGGACATTTTTATTTCATCATTCACTGCTATAAATATCATGCCAAAATTTGTAAATTCTTACTAAATAATAATATTGAAGATATTTTACGATAAATCTCGGATAAGTATGCGAAAACTAGACTAAACAACGTCGCTAAAACCATGAAAACAAAACAACAACGGCTTATATTCTGGGGGTCTCGATACTATTATCAAAATGACTCGCTCGGTCGGATCTTGAGACCGCAGTAATAAACTGAAAACGAGACAAAAACATTCATCTGATTTATATGAGCAGCGAGTTTTAAATAATATGTTCACAATCATTAACAGTCATTATGAATAAATATCAAACATTTGACTTTTTGTACTTACTAGAAAATCCCTGTTGTTTATTCCATTCCGATTCGCACGTGTTCATTTCCCTAGAATAATGACGTCATATTTGGCGTGATTCAACCAATCGGCAATCAGAGAATAGCAAAGGCCTGTCGGTGCGGCCTGCAGAGCTAGAGAGAGAGAGCGCGAATAAGCTCGCAGCTGGTACGATCGCGCTAGCTGTCTCTAGCTAGCTCACGGCCGGCCGTGCGTGGAGGCGGAGCGCGCGGCATTCATGGCTTGAAGTGTCACTGTTGCATGCGCGCTGAGCTAGCTGAGCTGGCTAGCTGTCTGTGAAGTTTTTTCGAAATCGGAACGATCGCTTTTTTGCTTCTGGATTTTGACGACGGGTAAGAAGTTGACGGGTAAATGGTAGAGTTCTTGGACACTAGGAAATTACTGTAAAAGTATCACTTGCCCGAATCGGGCAAGTGATAATTTGATTTACTTGCCCGACGGCTCAATTTGGTTGCCCCGGGACGTCGGGCAAGCGGGTTTGTCGCGCCCTGTTAGACAGCACAACAAAGTTTTCTAAATTTGCGAGCGAGCAAGCAAAAAAGAATGATACTTTTATTACAGCAAAATTGTTATTTATTTACTTTGAAAATCATTACATAAGATAATAATACTAATTAAATGTCTTTCTCCTGATCGAGGGCTCTGCAATCATATCATTACCCCGGCTTTAGTTAAGCTCACCATAAGGTGCTCGAGCATTCAAGGAATGTCTTCCTACTGGGTACATGCACCCATACATCTGGATGGAGAGTTGCTAATGTACATGTACATTGTAGATTAATATCTCGCCAAAGGATATCAGTACATGTATAATATATAAAATTATGTATGCGGGCAACATGATGCCGAATACATGAATACAAATATCATATATTCAGTCACTTCAATGAATTAAACATGAATATGAGCTAGTTGCGCATGTCCATGCCCAGAATCATCCTGTTCCTAAATGTTCAGAGCAAGTGAAGCAAACTTACATTGTAAAATTTAATTTAGATATATTCAAATATATATAATTTTAGGCTATTATAGCACCTTGGCCTTTGCCGAATGTGAAGATATTCTGGCACCTTGTTTATTATAAAGGTATTCAGGCACATCACTGCCCACAATCCACACAAATTTTGCCGACATTAAAGTCATCATGAGTCAACCCCGACTTGTAATGTTCAAAAAGACTTTGTTGCCCCTACAGATATCTAAAAACAATAATTATCGGCAAGACTTTGTTGCCCCTACGGAGATCTAAAAAAAATAATTATCAGCCAGGTTTTGTTGCCTCTACGGAGATCTAAAAACAATAATTATCGGCAAGGTTTAGTTGCCCCTACGGAGCTTTCAAAACAGTAATAATAGGCAAGGTTTTGTTGCCCGTTCGGAGCTCTAAAAACAATAATTATCGGCAAGACTTTGTTGCCCCTACAGAGCTCTAAAAACGATAATATTCGGCAAGGTTTTGTTGCCCGTACGGAGCTCTATAAACAATAATAATCGGCAAGGTTTTGTTGCCCGTTCGGAGCTCTAAAAGCAATAATTATTGGCAAGACTTTGTTGCCCCTACAGAGCTCTAAAAACAATAATTATCGGCAAGGTTTTGTTGCCCCTACGGAGCTCTATAAACAATAATAATCGGCAAGGTTTTATTGCCTATACGGAGATCTAAAAACAATAATAATCGGCAAGGTTTTGTTGCCCCTACGGAGCTCTAAAAACAATCCTTATCAGCAAAACTTTTTTGCCCCTACGGAGATCTAAAAAGACAATTATCGGCAAGACTTCATTGCCACTATGGAACTTCTAAATTACTAACTATTGGGGGGACTTCATTACCGATACGGAGATATGAAAGCACATCTTCATCGAAATGACTGAAACGTTTGGCACAAAAACCGTAATGACTCAGGCTTCGTTTTTCAATCCATCTCCATCCTCTTTATTTGGACCAATCAATATCGGGAAATGTTGTTTACCCATCGTTTGTTCAACATCTTCATTTCGCGTTGTGACCTTATTTGGTGCGTTTTCAGAGTTTTTTATCAGTGAAAAACTTCGGGAATTAAATCAGAAAAGGATTAAGAGTTGAGATAATGGTACATCGAATCATCTTCTTCCCTATACGTTTTAATTAAAACGTCATAGCTTCCGCGCTTTGCGCGGGAGGGGTGGGAATTGATTTCAGAACAGGATTAATAGTCAAGAGAGTACAACGAATCGTCTTCTGTCTCTAATAATTTATTAAAAACATACAAGCTTTCGTGCTTCCCGTGGAAATCAGAAAAGGATAAAGAGTCGAGAACGGTACATCAAATCGTCTTCTTTCTCTAATAATTTATCAAAAACGTCTAAGCTTCCGCGCTTCCTGTGGAATTCAGAAAAGGATAAAGAGTCGATAACGGTACATCGAATCGTCTTCTTTCTCTAATAATTCAATGAAACGTCAAAGGGGTGAACTCCCCACTCCCTCCACCCACCCACCCTCCACCCACCCCATGGGCGGATCCAGCCGGCGGCAGGGGAGGGGACCAAAGAGGGGGACCAATTCGTGGGAGAATATTTAGCGGCAAAACAGCCAGCCTGTTAATAAGGGGGGGGGGGGAGGGGGGTAGTGAGCACTATTTTTTTTTTGCTCCCGAAAACTTGAAAATCGCGCCGGCCGATAATTCGTTCAGGTTGGGGGGGGCACAAATACTCCCCCCCCCCCCACCCATGAAAAAGGTGTGAGGTGATTACGCACACTTTCCACTTTGGCCTTAGTGCCCCTTAGGATAGATTTGTCCCGAGATTTGTGCCCCTTTCAGTGGATTTGTGCCCTCTCAAAAAAGTGGCCTTGACCCAAATTTGATGTAATTCAACTATTCAAGGCCTGTATTGATAATATAAATTTCCTATTTCCCCCCTAAGAATCTTATTTCTTTATGTTTTTTGTGTGGATGCACTAAATATAGAGTAATTTTTTTTTCCAGTTAAATCATAAAAAAAGTGAAATTTGATAACCTTATTTATATAAATTCAATATTAATGAATATACAATATTCAGAAAATAGTATCAATTCTTCAAAATTCATAAAAAATTGTGGGAAATTTCATTCTCGCATTGGTTTGTCTGATTTTTCTGTTTTAATTGACAGTAAAAAAAATTTGGAGTGGACTTGCCTTTTAAAATGTGGTTGGATCGCTTATGAGAGAGAGAGGTATGACGAGAGGGGATACCAAGAAAACTTGTTCTTGGAAAACTATTCTTGTTGTATTACAACATTTCTTTTTCTAATCTACACTGTAGATTAATTTCATAGAGCGTATCCATTGACTCTTTTAATGAGACCCCAAAGTACCAAACATGAGCTTTGTATACAATTAGTTTTGCATTATTATGTGTCCAACAAATAGAACAAAAATATTGTTTGACGTTCTTGATGGAACTAAATGGAATCATTAATTACAAAAGAAGTTGAAGTGGCACCTTTTCCTTCAACTTATTTTGTTTTCGTGTACACCAGGCCAGAAAGGTGCCATCAAGTCTTGGATATAAATTTGTTCTGCATTTCGTTTTAGTTTGGCAGCATTCTTCCTCATTTCTCTCGTTTCTGTTCTTCTAGATCTAGATCTACCAGTAATTCTTTCCTCTTTATCATGTTGATGATTTATCTTTTATACCTTTCATCTCTCATATCTACGGAGCCCCGGAAGTGACATGGAGAAATTTTTTTTTTCTCGTTTTCCTGAGATAAATTCTCGTTTTCCTGAGATAATTTTTCGTTTTCCTGAGATAAATTCTCGTTTTCCTGAGATAATTTTTCGTTTTCCTGAGATAAATTCTCGTTTTCCTGAGATAATTTTTCGTTTTCCTGAGATAATTCCCGTTTTCCTGAGATAAATTCTCGTTTTCCTGAGATAAATTCTCGTTTTCCTGAGATAATTTTTCGTTTTCCTGAGATAAATTCTCGTTTTCCTGAGATAATTTTTCGTTTTCCTGAGATAAATTCTCGTTTTCCTGAGATAATTTTTCGTTTTCCTGAGATAATTCCCGTTTTCCTGAGATAAATTCTCGTTTTCCTGAGATAAATTCTCGTTTTCCTGAGATAATTTTTCGTTTTCCTGAGATAAATTCTCGTTTTCCTGAGATAATTTTTCGTTTTCCTGAGATAATTCCCGTTTTCCTGAGATAAATTCTCGTTTTCCTGAGATAATTTTCGTTTTCCTGAGACGGATAATTTTTCGTTTTCCTGAGATAAATTCTCGTTTTCCTGAGATAATTTTTCGTTTTCCTGAGATAACTCCCGTTTTCCTGAGATAAATTCTCGTTTTCCTGAGATAATTTTTCGTTTTCCTGAGATAACTCCCGTTTTCCTGAGATAAATTCTCGTTTTCCTGAGATAAATTCTCGTTTTCCTGAGATAATATTTCGTTTTCCTGAGATAAATTCTCGTTTTCCTGAGATAATATTTCGTTTTCCTGAGATAATTCCCGTTTTCCTGAGATAAATTCTCGTTTTCCTGAGATAAATTCTCGTTTTCCTGAGATAATATTTCGTTTTCCTGAGATAAATTCTCGTTTTCCTGAGATAATATTTCGTTTTCCTGAGATAAATTCTCGTTTTCCTGAGATAATATTTCGTTTTCCTGAGATAATTTCCGTTGTAAAATGAACAGTTAAAATGAATTGAAAAAATACAATTTTCTTCTAATTTTATAACGTTTTGGCATCTGAATGCCCCCCCCCCCCCCCTGAGTACGATGTCATATATATTTACTGTAAATTGCGAGCGAGCGAAGAGCGCAATTAACAAAATAATAAAAGACACTAGTCTTACTCGTACAAATTTAGGTACAATACCAATTTAGATGATAAATCTATCTTGATTCAAGAACACTTTATTAACAGACTGCCCGATTACAATAGGGGACAGCCCACGAGGCCGACGGCCGTCAGCCTAGGGCCTAAATCCAGTTTTAGGGGGGTATTCGGCAGGCGCGGATCCAGGATTTCTTAGGGGGGGGGGGGGCCAAATTTGAAATTTTGCGAGCCAAATATTGGTACATAATGGTGACCAACAGTGACGTAATGCGGGGGGGGGGGTCGGTGCAGGGAGGGGCGATTTTCCCCCTCCCTCCTCCGCGAAACGCGGAAGCTTTGACGTTTCATTAAATTATTAGAGAAAATAGACGATTCGTTGTACCGTTCTCGAAAATAATCCTCATCGGAATTTAGTTCCCCCTCCATCCCGCGCGAAGCGCGGAAGCTTTTACCTTTCATTAAATCATTAAAGATTCGTATTACCGTTCTCGCCTCTGAATCCTCGTCTGAATTCAGGTTCCCCCCTCCCGCGCGAAGCGCGGAAGCTTTGACGTTTCATAAGATTATGAGAGAAAGAAGACGATTCGTTGTACCGTTCTCGATTCTTAATCCTTGTCTGAATTCAGTCCCCCCCCCCTCCCCTCCTGCGCGAAGCTTTGACGTTGCATTATATTATTAGAGAAAGAAGACGATGCGTTGTATCGTTCTCTATACTCTTAATCCTTGTCTGAATCAGGGGCCGTCTTAGGGCCCCTGGGGGGGGGGGGTCGAGGCGGCGGAGCCGGCCCCGGAAGCTCAGGGGTTTTAGGCGTTTAATTAAGGTCAGATGAGCATTTTTGTGTATACCTTATTATTTTGTGAGACTGGCACGTCACTATTTGGCGTGGGGTCCAGGGGGCGGAGCCCCAAAATATCAGGGGTTTTAGGCATTAAATTACCGTCAGATGAGCATCTAAGGGCCCGCCGTAGGGCCCTAGGTGAAATCCAGGGGGCAGATTATTTTCGAAAACGGTACAACGAATCGTCTTCTTTCTCTAATGATTTAAGGAAATTTAAAAGCTTCCGCGCTTCGCAAGGGAGGGGGGAACCTAAATTCAGACGAGGATTAAGAGTCGAGAACTCGACAACGAATCGTCTCCTTTCTCTAATAATTTAATAAATCGTAAAAGCTTCCGCGCTTCGCACGGGAGGGGGGAACCTAAATTCAGACGAGGATAAAGAGTCGAGAACTCGACAACGAATCGTCTCCTTTCTCTAATAATTTAATAAATCGTAAAATTTTCCGCGCTTCGCGCGGGAGGGGGAAAACTAAATTCAGACGAGAATTATTTTCGAAAACGGTACAACGAATCGTCTTTTTTCTCTAATAATTTAATGAAACGTCAAAGCTTCCGCGTTTCGCGGAGGAGGGAGGGGGAAAATCGCCCCTCCCTGCACCGACCCCCCCCCCGCATTACGTCACTGTTGGTCACCATTACGTACCAATATTTGGCTCGCAAAATTTCAAATTTGGGCCCCCTCCCCTAAGAAATCCTGGATCCGCGCCTGCTGAATACCCTATTGTAATCGGGCAGTCTGTTAATAAAGTGTTCTTGAATCAAGATAGATTTATCATCCAAATTGGTATTGTACCTAAATTTGTACGAGTAAGACTAGTGTCTTTTATTTGTTAATTGCGCTCTTCGCTCGCTCGCAATTTACAGTAATTATATGACATCGTACTCAGGGGGGGGGGGGGGGCATTCAGATGCCAAAACGTTATAAAATTAGAAGAAAATTGTATTTTTTCAATTCATTTTAACTGTTCATTTTACAACGGAAATTATCTCAGGAAAACGAAATAATATCTCAGGAAAACGAGAATTTATCTCAGGAAAACGAAATAATATCTCAGGAAAACGAGAATTTATCTCAGGAAAACGAAATATTATCTCAGGAAAACGAGAATTTATCTCAGGAAAACGAAATATTATCTCAGGAAAACGAGAATTTATCTCAGGAAAACGAAATATTATCTCAGGAAAACGAGAATTTATCTCAGGAAAACGAAATATTATCTCAGGAAAACGAGAATTTATCTCAGGAAAACGAGAATTTATCTCAGGAAAACGAGAATTTATCTCAGGAAAACGGGAATTATCTCAGGAAAACGAAATATTATCTCAGGAAAACGAGAATTTATCTCAGGAAAACGAAAAATTATCTCAGGAAAACGAGAATTTATCTCAGGAAAACGGGAATTATCTCAGGAAAACGAAATATTATCTCAGGAAAACGAGAATTTATCTCAGGAAAACGAAAAATTATCTCAGGAAAACGAGAATTTATCTCAGGAAAACGGGAATTATCTCAGGAAAACGAAATATTATCTCAGGAAAACGAGAATTTATCTCAGGAAAACGAAAAATTATCTTAGGAAAACGAGAATTTATCTCAGGAAAACGGGAATTATCTCAGGAAAACGAAATATTATCTCAGGAAAACGAGAATTTATCTCAGGAAAACGAAAAATTATCTCAGGAAAACGAGAATTTATCTCAGGAAAACGGGAATTATCTCAGGAAAACGAAATATTATCTCAGGAAAACGAGAATTTATCTCAGGAAAACGAAAAATTATCTCAGGAAAACGAGAATTTATCTCAGGAAAACGAGAATTTATCTCAGGAAAACGGGAATTATCTCAGGAAAACGAAAAATTATCTCAGGAAAACGAGAATTTATCTCAGGAAAACGAGAATTTATCTCAGGAAAACGAAATATTATCTCAGGAAAACGAGAATTTATCTCAGGAAAACGGGAATTATCTCAGGAAAACGAAAAATTATCTCAGGAAAACGAGAATTTATCTCAGGAAAACGAGAATTTATCTCAGGAAAACGAGAATTTATCTCAGGAAAACGAAAAATTATCTCAGGAAAACGAGAATTTATCTCAGGAAAACGAGAAATTTTTTTTTTCTCCATGTCACTTCCGGGGCTCCGTACATATCACTCTTCTTCTTTCCCTTTGAATTTCTTTTCTTTTCTTCTTAATTTTATTTAGCTATTTTCTTTCATTCCTCTTTTCTTCCTCTCGGCCTTTCCATTTTCTCTCCATCCTCTTTCCTCCTTCCCTTTTAGACGACACCGACGTACGACCATGAAGACGCTGCAGCTAGTTCGGCCGCGCTCGGCCCACGGACACGGACACGGACACGTCTTTTCTATGTCGCTGGCAGTCGAGTTCCGCTGGGCGTCTCGCTTGCTGGGCTGCAGATCGTGGCTAGCTCTTCGGGCACCGTGAGGCGCTGGCCTAGCGCTATGCGCTAGTGCAGTGGTTGTATGAAAAGACGAGTTCCGATTCGCGGCAAGGGTAAACAATGCAAGATAAGCAGTATACGGCAAACTACATTCCACACAAGTTTGCTGAAATAGCTAGGCTATATTTAAATAATGAGAATATCATGTAAAAACTCACGCAATTGCTGAGAAAAGGTTGTTAATCAGGTATTATTAGTCCACAAAAACAAGATTTGACACCGGAATAGAGACTGGCAACAACTAATTACAGATCTTTAATTGATTATATAAAAATTAAAAAAATCTCCAAAAATATCAAATTTTCAACAAATTATAAATATTAAATATTCTATTATATTTTTATTGTTAATTCAAGATATACAAATATTTTCTAATAAGCTATTTTTTTTATTCTTAAAAGCAAACCTGGAAAAGACCGATAGGGACGAACTTCGTTTCACCTGTGACGTAATGGCAATGATATTTATGCGGCGAGATCCCATAGCAACAGGCCGCAAGTCAGTGAAAGAACGTGTATGGAAGTTGTTGGTAAATACTCGATGAATAATGCCGTGCTTTTCACTTAATTGTAACATTTTCTTCAAATTGTTGTTTATCATTGCCTAATATAATATTTCTGAAATATTTATTACATGTTTGACTGATTCATTTTGTTCTAGAACCTGCGAATTGAGGACGGAACAACGCTAGTTTTAACAGCTGAGTGAGAGCGAAGTAGGCAACACACCTCAGACGGACGCGGACCCTCGGTTTTGAGAGTGAGGAGCCAGAGGTGTAAAATCTGCATCTGCTGCTATTTTTTTTAAAAGACCTTGAGTAAAACGGAACAACTATATCGAGGAACAACTATATCGAGCCACATATTTGAAACTGCGTAGAGATAGACTTAAATGATGGAAGAACCTCAAAACAATGAAGGAACTCCCAAAACAGGCAACTCCAAGCCACAGACTCCAACAGGAACAGCAGTTGCAACTCCACCAAATATGGCTGTGAATCTTACTCCCACAGAAGAGGCATTGGTGAATGCAAAGGCCTACCTACTGAAAGCAAGCAACAAATCAAATCTCAATTTGTAAGTACTAAGTAACTTTAGACAACTAAAGAAGAAGGACAGGATGTGGATTGACACTTAAATTATCTTGTCAACCAATTATTCAATGTTAATATTTAAGCTGTCAAGTTAACACAGCTTGCTGTTGTTAATTATCCAAACTGCACATAATTATTATAAAAAATCAAATGAACAATTGGGGTCTACAAAGACCTTCTCAGGTTAAAAGAAAGAAAGAAATCAAGCTGATGCACAATCAAACTCCATGATCAAGATTTTAACTGTGACTGTTTTATGGCTGTCACTGTTAGTGTTAGGGTAGAGTACCCAGTATTCGGTCACTTAAGGGGAAATCACTAATATTTTGAATTCTTACCTCTTTCATTGGGCAATCTACCCATCAAAAGAAAAGAAATTTATTCCTCTAACAGGATTTTATAGTCACTGAAAATATAGAATAACGATAAGCAAAAGACTTCCGAAAGAAGACGGAGCATTTTTCTGCCCAGAATTCGGTCGCGCCGACTAGAATTCGGTCACGCGATTTGTGCGTGGTATCTCCGTTGCAAAGGAGCGTAGCGTATTTGCGCACTATTTTCACACAATTGCGCAATAAAGCACTGAATGTCAATGCGTTGACCGAATACTGGCTGAGCGATACCGCATGGCAAGGGTATCGTATAAATACCTCTTGCACATCGGCAAGTGCGTCATTTGCAAATTCGCTGCGATGGAGCGAACACGGAAGTGATTCTCTTCACACACATACTAAATTCATTGTGACAGCACACGTAGTTGTTTCGCAATAGACTTCTACATATGGCTATGCATGTTAGCGCATGTGCTAAGAGAACGCGAAAGTGCGGAAAGTTGTGCGACACTGACCAATTTCGAGCTAAGTTGGAGATCATTCCGGGGCCCTAAATCTGATTTAATTTTGAGAGTTAAGAAAAATTGTTCAGCTGCCTGATTTGTGCAAGTTTCGTGGCTCATAAATTATTTTTTAAATTGTTACAGCTGTTGAAACGGCTGTCTGACCGAATACTGGGAATTGACCGAATACTGGGCGCGCTACCCTACCCTAATTAAGTCTTTAGTGATAGACTTTTTTGTTAAATATCTCACAGTGCTTGCCAAACTACTTACTGATTTCTCCCTGTCGGTATGAATAAGATTACTTCTAGATCTATGCCCAAGTTGCTACTAACCAATTTAGATGAAATTAAAGAAAGGCTAGATATCTAGTTGGAAAATGAGACATGTCAGGTGAATCTAGTCTATTTGCTTTTTTAAATGAAATGAAGGAAGAATGAACTGTGTGCTCAGTATCTGTTAAAAGCTAACTATTTTGATTTCATTTCCCTGATATTTTGTAAACTATCACCATTGATCATCATTCTTTAAAAGTAAGGATTTCTACAGTGACAGTAGTGTAATCATTATTTTTTTATTTTTTGCTGGCACAAATAATTTTTCAAAATCATAACATCATTCAGGCTAGTGATGGTGGTACCCGAAAATGCAGTGTTGTTTTAGAATTAATTCTTGAATACCATAACATTATACCAAACTATTGATATTGTAATTTCATTGTTTTGTTTTGGTATATTTACAGTAGACTCTAATTGAGATGACTTAAAGAGATATATGAATTTGACACTTTCATGTTTAAGTTATATACCAGTAGTCCTTGTATCTTTGTTATTTTTTGTTATGAACTGCTTAAAGTTCATTAGTCTATAAAGGCTGTAACAGATACTTTGAGGTATTATAAACATCGATATAGTCATTGTACACAACATTGTTTGATTTCATCACAAGTGTGTATGATTACAGTAGATTTCAAGTCATCCATATTTAGACCTGTTCATTTACACTAAGAATTCTACTCTCTTACCAGATATGATCACCTTAGCAGAATTCTGACAAAGGTTTTAGATGAGAGACCGGAGAATGTAGTAGGTGAGTAATTTAGATTTTAAATACTTTTCTGTATATCTCAGGATCATAGTTAATTTCTTTGTGACAATTTTAATAGTAAAACACATAAAACATGAGAACAGAATAGAGGAATAAAAAGAAGCTTCACCATGGTTGGTTGGAAAGAGAAATCACAAGTTGTTGATATACCTATATATATATATATATGACTTTATGATTTTTCTTCATACATTGTTAATACCATCATTTTACTTTTTTGTTTGTTTCGTAAAGAAGTGTTATATAGCCAGAATATACTGTAAATAACTTGAAATCAAATAATTTGAAATAATTTCTCACAGACCTCTTTGAGGACATCAGCAAGAATGTGAAGAAGTCAAAGTTCACATCGACATCAGACACAATCCTAGACAAGGTAGACAAAACAGCAGAAGTTGAACTAGGAGAAACACAGAAGATTCTCTTTGAGGTAGGTTTGTAACATACTCTCTCTCTTTTTCTCTACTTTACTTTCTCTCTCACTAACCTTTAACCAAGGCTCTATTTCTATCTCTAGGAGCCTGTTTTTTTTTTAAAGTGCCTTTTCAATTTACTCAATGGCATTACATGCATGATCCGTAATCTTGTCGACTACAGTACCCATTCAATGATGAATTTATCATGTTTATTACATTGTCTGTTTTTCTGTTACTTTTTGCAGAGGAATCAAGAAGAAGCTGAACATGATGGAGGTGAAGATGAAGTTGAGACCCCGTTGCCAAATCTCCCAGAGCTCATGTATCACTTTGAACAAGCAGGAGTGAGTCATATTCCATCTTCTTAATTGAACTTGATTATGTGGGACAAGCTCTGTTTTTTTATATCAAAATATATAAATGTTAACATAGTATATGATGTTTAAACATTTTAACACATTTGTTAGTTCAATAGTATTACCCTGGACAAGATACGCATTTAGAAATTTGGATTCCACCCTATTAGGGGCATAATTTATCCTTGAGTTGTATATCAATTCTTCTAAGTGCTGTCAATTTAAGTCATGATATTTGGTAGCCAATAAATGAACAAAAAATAGATTACAATGTTAACTATTTTAATCAGTTATAGTATACTGGAGGCGCACACAAGTAGTTAATTCCATTAAACTGAATTGTATGTATCAATAATCTTTTATTAATTTTGTTGCTTTTAAGCTATTGAACATGTTGAATAATATTAAGTTTGACAGTACCATCTGTGCGTTTAGAAACGTGCCCTTTAAATGTAATTATTGTTATTAACTATTGTATCCTTGACCTTTGACCCAGGTTGGTGTGAGCCGAGAGGAGATGATGAGGATCTACCTTGCCCTCAAGCAGCTGGTAGACAACTACCCTCTCCAGTCCTGCAGGTTCTGGGGAAAGCTCTTTGGTACCGAGAAGAACTACATTGTCGCTGAGGTGGAATACAGGGAAGGGGAGGAGGAAGAGGAAGAAGAGGAAGAGGTATGCATGAGAAGAATACAGAATAATTTTTTTTGTGTTGATATTATTTACAGTGGCAGAATCTCCTATTGAGTTTAACATTCATTCACAACATGATATATATTGATGAACTGGAAGATATTGTTGTTCAGTGTAATTACCATTGTTCAATTATGATAACCTCTTTATTAATCAGAGCTGAAGCTTTGAAATACTTTGCACATTTTTACTACAAAAGTAAAATTTGTCGAAAAGATATTTCAATATCCAATATTTCAGTTATCATTGGCAGAGCATGTCAAACAGGATAATATACTTCTCTTTATTACACCAATCCTTGAAGATTAGAAGAAACTATTGTGCTCTTAATTCATGATCTACCATCAAGTCTCTTAATTAATTCTGTAATCCATTGCGCAATTTAGTTTTTAGCTACGAAGCATGGAATTAATGAACATTTATTGTTTACATGTTTGATTTGATTTGAATAAACCATTTATCTATCTATCTATCTATCTAACATGGAATCATTTGTGCAATTGTTTTATTCTTTAACTAGGAGCATGAGACTGAGGAGCCAGATACAGAGAAGGATGATGAAGAAGGAGAAGGAGGTATGATTTTTTTCTTCAAATCTAACTTTTACGGTTTAAGATCCAAAGAGAGACACATTCTTACTTAGGTCATATAGAAAAGCTTTGATTTTGATTATAGCGGTGCTATATGACATTTTTCAAATGAAATTAATAGTGGTTAAATTGTGTATGAATCTATTTTAAAATGATAGAAACAAAAATCAATATTAACAAGACCTTAAAACAACAACAACAAACATTGTAATTTAAATGATGGTATTCATTTTATTATGTTTACATGAGAAAGAGAGAGAGGGGGATGCATACGTTTTACATTCATACCTAAGTTGTTTATCTGATTGTGACATCACACCCATGCGCTGTGAATTTTAAAGCGTGTGCTCAGCCAACTTGCTCTGTCAATCATGCATATATAAACGCAAATCATTTATTACTCTTCATCTACAGAGGAGCAAGAAGAGGATATTCTTCCCAAGCCTGACTTCAAACCTCCTCCAGTCATCCCTCGTGAGGAGAACAGGACAGGAACCAACAAGAAAACATTCTTTGTCTGCAATGAACGTAAGTATATTGGTTTAAAGGAGATGCATGCACATCCGTTATTTAATCAAAGTTGCATCCACATATGTTTTTTGCCGACATCGGGTAGATAGAACCCTTCTGCTTCCTTTTAAAGACCTTTAGAGAAAAAAGAAAAAAAAATCAAGGCAGGGAAAATAGAAATAATAAAGGTAGACATTTTTTATGGGGATAAGGATCCATTAACTGTATGTTTTTATGTCTGTCAGTGATATATTGTTAGAGAATGATTTCATCTTTTAAGCGCACTTTTCTTTGAATATCTAAGATATTGTAAGTTCCTCCAGCAAAATCATAATTTTTTTTTTTTTGTGAATATTATGCATCATGAGAAAGAGAATCATTGGCTTCAATAACAAACATCCTTTTTATTTATACCACCCACTCAGCTGGTCAACCATGGGTCAAGCTACCAGCTATTACTCCTCTCCAGATCAGTGTAGCCAGACAGATCAAGAAGTTCTTCACTGGGCGTCTTGACCAGCAGGTATGCTCCATCACAGTTTCTCAGTGTTTCCTATATGAGTACCATATCTTCCAAATGATTTAAAATCTAATCCTGAGGTAGACAGTAGCAACATGCACAACAAAAGTTGCTTTGCAGAATTAACTGTGAACACTTCTTGCTTATTGAAGATGTATTAAGGAATTGGAGAAAAAAATTTATAGTTGAATGCATAGTTACAAAAGTGCTTACAAATCTGTGTAGATCGATAAATATGTGCAGCTACCTGCATCCTCCAAAATTGTGTGTGTGTGTGTGTGTGTGGGGGGGGGGGGGGAGTAATATGGGCTTTTATTTATAACTGAATGTACATCTCTCTGTTTCTCTTTTCCTAATCCATCTTTACCTTTTTTCAAATCCGTTATTTTTTCTGAACTTCTATTTTTCTCCTCTTTTATATCCTATTTGTTAATATACTTATTTTCTTTCTATTTTTGCTTATTATATTTCCAGATTATTAGCTACCCACCTTTCAATGGCACAGAGGCCAACTACCTGAGGGCACAGATTTCACGAGTCTCAGCAGGCACTCAGATCAGTCCTCTTGGATTCTACCAATTTGATGAGGAGGAGGAAGAAGAGGAGGAAGATGGAAGTAAGTTATTAATACTTCTCCTAAGCTTAATCCTATATACGTTTGCTCTGGCTACATGCTCATGAATTTATGTTGTGAAAGAGATTGGATTATGGCTTAGGATGTGATTTGAGAGTATAGTTTCATCTTCAGAATAGATTAGATTAAATTCTAGGTGATTATATGTTGCTCAAATGACTTTTTGATTATAAGATGACTTTGTTATGTAATCGATAAGCATATTAGATGGAGATCAGATTGTTGTACAATCTCTAGCACCTTCTCAATTGGAGCCATATTAGAATTATAAAAGGCATGTTAGAGCCACAGATCTTTACAAGAAACCGGCTTGTTAGGGATCCTGATCTGTTTTTTCTTCTGTTGACTAATTCACACTCTTTTTGTTCATCCATCAGACCGTGATAGCTTCATCGAGAGTCCAGATTTTGAGGGCATCCCAGTAAAGGATCTTGTAGACCCCTCCATGGCTAACTGGGTACACCATGTGCAACACATCCTGCCTCAGGTATGTAACAAATCAGGTTTTTCTATCCCCCCCCCCCCCCCTCTTTCTCTCTCGATCCTCTCCTCTTTCCTTCCCCCTTCTCTGTCTGTCTGTATCTCTGTCTCCTCTCTCTCTCTCTCTCTCTCTCTCTCTTGTTCATTAATTAAGCTTGATATCATGTCACCTTAACATCTAAAAGGTAAAAACTGTCTTCATTGGTAATATGAATGCTGTCAGGTCTATATGCTTTATTTTAGTAGACGAGGGCAAGTTTCAAAGAAAGTGTTGAATGAATTTTATGAATTAGATTTGTTTCATAGCAATATTTTGGATGATTCAATATTTCAGATTAATGCTGCATTGAGATGATGTATGATTCTTGTGCATGAAGTTTCAGTGCAAAGATAACATTAGCTAAGTTATGAGTGTTTAATCATTTTTCTTGCTCAAGAGAACCGTGAAAAACCTTTTACATTACAGTGTACCGATGAATCAATTACTACCAAAGAGGGGAGGGTTTGAAATTGATACTTCATGCACATTGATCAGACTGTGGAGGCCTGTTAATGCAAAATTAATTAAAATCTTTGTAGTTTGCATATTAACCTGTGGTGCTTACAGTCAACCCAGCTCAACATAATTTTGTACATCCATTCCAATCTCCAGGGTCGATGCTCATGGTTCAACCCAGTGCAGCAACAGGAGGAGGACTTTGAAGATGAGGAAGACGAGGAGGAGCGGGAGGAACCAGATGAACCTGAACCAGAGGTTGGACCTCCTCTCCTAACACCCCTCTCAGAGGATGTTGGTGAGTTTGTCTTATCCATATTTTCTGTAGTTTATGATTTGTCTGATAACAGTTTCATGATACCAGAGTATGGTACCGGAAGTCAAACATATATGCTGCAAACTTCCCATATATCTTTATTGCAATTTCTTTGCTTGCATTCATTGTTACGAGACATGAAGTGTTGTTGGTCAGAAGACTAATTATTAAAAGTATTACTATTCTTGTCACATGGATAATAAGAGGATATTTGAGATGACTTGTGATATATTTAAGCAGCTATATGTTAGTGCAAGTAGTTATCTACATCTGTTATTACAGAGATTTACTATCAGGGATTAATTTTCTTTCAGAAAGTACAGAAACTGGTGCAAGTCTCTGGTCTAATAATTCTACTTTAATAAGGTTTACTCGATCACTTGATGCAAGAAGTTTGTTATCAATGTTTTCATTTTGTATCATCTCCTGCTGTCACAGAGATTGAAAACATCCCACCATGGAGTGCTCGCCTTACCTCCTCCCTTGTGCCTCAGTATGCCATCGCTGTCATCCAGTCTAACCTATGGCCTGGTGCCTACGCCTTCGGAACAGACAAGTAAGAATGCTCACCTTTCATAACAAATGTTTCAAATTTTTGCCCACACTATCTTCCACCCCTCTCTCTCTCTCTCCCAAGAATCACAAGGCAAAATAATTCTCTATTTAGTAGTATATTACATTTTAATTAGAACCTTAAAAAGTAGTATAAATCGAATCTCATTGAAATTTTGGTCCACATCTAACTGTATCCCACCTCACTTCTCTCCCTCTCCCCAGGAAATTTGAGAACGTGTACATTGGCTGGGGTCACAAGTACTCTCCAGACAACTACAGCCCTCCTCCCCCACCTCCAGTCCAGGAGGAGTTCCCCAGCGGACCCGAGATCACCGAGGCAGAGGACCCCACCCCTGAGGAGGAGGCAGCCCTCAGGGCCGCCCAGCAGGAGGCCATGGAAGCCGCGGAGGAGATGGAGGATGAGGAAGAGGAGGACGGAGAAGACGATTAGGAATGAGGGGGGCATCTTGAGATTGGTTTTGTGGAAGGGTTTTGGGGTAGGGAGGGGGTCGTAAGATAGCATGGGGCAGTTTGTAAAAGTGACCTTGTGTATTCAATATCAAGCTGACAGCCTCATGAACCCCATCAAAATATAATCAGCTGGTACTGCAAAATCAGAAAAGAATTATTAAATCCAATCAAGGTAAATTCTAGAGCAGCTAGATATTACTATTTTACAGCCTGTCAAATGAAAAAAGATATTATTTGATTAAACTGCACATTCCCAGATGTACTGTATATCTTGACGTTGCATGTTTTGACTGCTCGGTTATACACATGTATGCGCTTCTTTTGCATACTCTGAACTGAATAAGAGCAACATCATGCGATGGAAAGCTTCAGAAAGAGGTACTGGCAGGTATTTTTTTTAGGGGGGGGGGGGTATATTTAAACTACCACTTCATCTTGTTCAACAACAACAAATTGCTGGAGGGCTTTCTCTTTTGATTTAAAGTTTAACGTGCCTTTAAAAGATCACTTCCTCTGCATGATATCCTAATGATGTTTAGTCTGACTTTAAATTCAAAATCATGCAAATATACACACATGGAGTTAATGATTACATGCCTATAAACACATCAAATTAGTGGTAAATCATTAAACCAATGTCCATTCCTTCTCATGTAAATATTTTACAATCTTTCAAGTAACTACTCTACTGTAAATATGTAACTTATTTTTATCACACAAGAAAATTATTCAGCTTGATCCTGACACTACCTATATAAAGTTCTCTAAGAGTTATTTTATCATTCTTTTGTTCCTTTTGTAAGAAATTGTACATTTTGTCAAACTTTTCATATTCATATTTTTGTTCAGGTTGTTCATTCCATGATGTTGATATAACCTGTAGTAGTGTATCTTGTTTGAAAGTATGCAGTTCAACAATAAACACTTTCACCTCTGAGAAGATATGTTTGTGCATTTTTTTCTCATGTAGCTGTATTCCGCAAGTGGATTTTGTATTTGTTTACAAAAGGGGAGGAAGAGCAGAAGATAGAATAGAGAGAGAGGGGAGGGGATAGGGTGAGAGGAATAGAGAGAGAGAGAGAGAGAGAGAGAGAGAAGGAAATCATATCACCAGTGTTGAGGCAGATTAATGAATGTTGATATGAAATGCAATACATGTACTGTCACATACAAATTTTGAGGCCCTATATTTAAATTGTTTGAGATCTTTACTCTACACTCTTTTGTATAATTCAAACTTCCCATTTTTCAATTCTGTAATTGCTGACAAATCCATGCATAGGGTTTTCTGGGGAAAGGGCTTGTTATTAAATTTTCCTCAATTCTTGCCAACAAAGTTTCTAAGTTTGTTCTGTTTTTATTCATTTATATACCGTATATATAATGGCAAATTTTATCAGAAATCTCTAATTGGACTGGTCTAGAAGCCCATCCATCATTTCCTGCAATGCATTCTCTCTCTCCCAGCTCTAGTCTACGACATATCCAAAACACATTACCTTACCACACCTTACCACAGTACTTCATATTCTGAATTAATATACTTATCTCATTCCATGTAGTTTTGAATAAACTCGATTCCATTCAACTCTTTGTGAGAAAACCTTAGATACTGAGACATTGAGATCATCCATAAAATACTTTCAAATTATTTTATTTTACAAAAAAAAGGAAGAGAAAACGCTACAAACTGAAATAGGGTAATACAAAACATTGATCAACTACAAGTTTCCATAAAACCTTTTACGGCAGGTGTGCAAGGAATATCTTGTTACTTATCTTATCTTAAATTCTATACACAACTGATGCAAACTGAATACATGTGTCCGCTTCACCCAACATTTTCTGATTAGCCCAATGCTATAAAGCAGGATTTGCAATAATTGTCGTTTTGCAATACACAAGATAAATAGTACTTTTAATCAATCTCTTTCAAAATCTATTCATCATCTATTTTGCTAGTATAATATTCACATGATAAATTTGATGTCAAATGTTATTGTTCAATCCTTCAAACAGCAATTTTGGTGAAAGTAAACAATATAGCTGCTTTTAGAACTTCCCCATAAAGGTTATAATTTCAGGATGATTCAAATGAAGCCGTTTTTTTTTTTTTGGGGGGGGTCAAAATTAGAAGAGTGGAGAGGAATTAATGAACATGTACAATTATTGGAAATAAATCTCCTGGGTGTTGCCCTATGACCTCACTTTGTGCTAAAGATAAAGAATATTACAAAGGAAAGCTGCTTAAATCATGTGAATGAGATTATCACTCACCCCCTTAACAAAGATTTCAATCAATATTTCTGAGTCAGATAGAAAATTTATGCCGAGAGGCAAAACAAAGAAAAGTTGACTAAGTTACATTTTTGTAAATGTTCATTTTGTAGATTGAAATATGATTGCTTAAAATGTTCATAGTCGCACATCTTGAAACTCCTCGACTTATTCCATCTTCTAAACCACAGATAAAATAGTAAAAATATATATACAACACTGTACAATTCTTATAATCAATTGACATACACTGTATACAGAACAAGATACATGTTCATACAAGTTTACTTGTGTCATGTTTACCTATGTCAATATCATTGAACATTAATTCGTCATCCGTCATATGCAAGCTACCAAAGACAGTTTTAATAAAATATCAATAGGCCTTTGATTTGGATCTCTCTAATGTGTATCTTGTCCCATGTTCTAACCCTATGAAACTATTGTCTGTCGAGAGCTGGAAAAATAATTAAACTCATATTTACCTCTGTTGCAGGCTCTGAGCAAATGAAATAAAGGTATTCCTCAAAGTTTTTCATTGGTGGAATGTTAACAAAATTAATTCAAGTTTTAAATTTTAATGTGAAGTGATTGTGATAGTAAGTATTCACATGCAACAACATATGGGAAATGGGTACGAGTGAATAAAGAGACTATAATTTACAATAGAATCATGCTTTACTTTGTCTGCTGGTGAAAAACGTAGAAATATAGAAAGGGACAACAGCATCAATAATAACAGAAATTTACATGGCATGATAATTTCTTTAGAGAAATGCACCTAGCAGTCTCGTGTGTGTAAACCGTTGCCAAACTATAATTTCTGATCTGTACACTATTGATGAGAGGGCAGCCCGTGGTTATCAACTTGGTAGCTACTTTCCAGCCTAGATGAGATCCGCAACTGGAAGAAAGAAAGGACAATAGCACTATTGAAATAACAACACAACAAAAGAGAACTTTCCCCACTAAAAATAAATCAAAGCTTAAATCATGTTGGAAAGTATTTAGCTTTCTTCACACCTGATACACCATGCCCTCTGAAGATTGGTTTACAGGTGGCAGAAAAGACATACAATATCAATAACTAAATATTAAAATAAGCTGGCATCAATCAAGTTACATGAAAATTGGAGCGATAAGCCTTCTGTCATGACAACATTTTGTAATTTTGTAGGACATGATTTACAAAGCCATGGGTCTAATTTAGTACTAAATGCAGTTCTGCTGTTAAGTAAATACAGTATTAAAGAAAGAAAAAAATCATGCATTTCTACTAAAAACCAAATTGTAGAACCGGTACTATCATGCTCATACATGTATCATACCATTTACAATATTTGTTACTGGTTGATGTTTTTTCTTACCATTCATGGGCATTTCATCAATCTGTGTGCTGTAATACTGCTCTATGTCACGCAGGATTCTGATGTCATCACTCTTCACAAAGTTGATGGCCACACCCTTACGGCCGTAACGACCCGACCGACCGATTCTGGAATTACAAAGAGGTGTGGTTTTTTTTAAACATGCAATAAGCTACATGAATTCAAATGTACTCCCAAAACAAACAGGCAAGGGACCAAGATGTCAACGCTTAACCGATCAGTCTTGGGTAATAACCCATAAACCACTCTAGAACTTTGATGAAGGTGCTTTTAGTATGCTTTTCATGGAAGGAGATAAAGAGGCAGCTAATAAAAAATATGAATTGTGCATTATAACTTCATGTAAAGAAGAGCATGGATCAAATTTATTTAGAAAACTGCTTAATGCAAGAATAGAGATTCTTTCATATAATATACAAATGCACATGTAATGGCTATCTTAGTGGAATTGGTATGATAGAATCTAAGAATCTGTAGACGAACACAAGATATTAGCTTCCAATTCAGATCTTTTTTCGTCAGAATAAGAGTTCTTGAATAAAAAGCTCTCTTGAACACAACTTTGCATATACAACAATATAATTACACAATACACTTTAAAGGTACTATGTCCCATTTGCAGGTCAAAAAATGAAAAAGTTAAATTCCAACGGCATTTGAAAGACATTCCTTATTTAGAACTTCCCTCAACACAAAAGCGTTTGAAAATGGTTTTTGTGGGAAATTAATTACCATTAGTTGTCGAATCGACATAAGTGATTGCAATCACCTACGTAATAGTTCCTGCAAAGTTCTACAGAATTTGATGTTGGCTGCAAAATGGACAGTATCTTTCAAGCAAAATCATAAAATATGAGCTGAGAGTGAGTACCTGTGGATGTAGAGCTCACGGTTGTTTGGCAGATCATAGTTGATAACCAGCGAGACCTGCTGAACGTCCAGACCTCTAGCCCATACATCAGTGGTAATCAGAACACGACTGCATGAAAAGAAGAAAATAATGAAGTTGTAATATTCAACACAGCCAGTGAAATAGCATTCCAAGAAAATTTTAAGGAATTACTGTGAAATGTAAATTCTGTAGTAAAAGGGGATACTTGCAATTTGATTATGTAAGTATCCCTTTTTACTACAGAATTTACATCCAAAGGGTCCTTCAAAAAAGCAAAATTTGCTGAAAATCCCATACATCAAGAAGTAAAAATCACTAATGTGCACACTACATATTCTACATTATGTTAACATTATTGTTATTTAGTGAATTATGACTTTCAAAAATGCTCTTCTCAAAGGATGCATGAATGAATGCTAGGCCTTCCAAGATTTATTTTATCAGGACTACCAGAAAAAAAAAGATGGCTACCTGAAATACATTTGTAGATATGAGCAAATAAACAAATGGAATAATGATAAACCTCTGTTACTATAAGATTAATGAACATGAGTGACTTTGGGCTCATTTCATTTGATGACTTATAAAGGCAATTTTAACAGCGAAGTCAATTATTATTACTTCTTTCTTGAAAATCACTTCTCCCTAGACAAAATATTTATAGAATTCATGTTTGGATCTCTTACCTAGCTCCTGATCTAAACTCCTTCATGATGGCTTCTCTCTCCTTCTGAGGCATGTCACCATGCATCGAGGACACTGTGAAGTTAGCTTCACGCATCTTTTCTGTCAACCAGTCGACCTAGGAGAGGATAATAATAATAATAATAATAATGTTTTATTTACCCAGGGTAGCCACTTAAGTTATGAAACTGCTATTCCAGCGGGCCCTGCATAACATAAATATGTTATTACTACCCTTCTCCAATCTAATATGCTGAGCACCTAGCTAGAAGGCAGAAGGTCCCATTGTTATAAGTCTTTGGTATGACTCGGCCAGGGTTCGAACCCACGACCTCTTGTTCATGAGGCGGGCGCTCTAACCACTGAGCCACCATGCCAGGATGGAGGAGCAGTGAAATAAACTGTGATGAATGTGGTTCTGTCTTCAATACGACCATGCCAAAACTGTTTATTCTTCTAGCATTCCACATGTATTATCATCATTCACCATGATCATGGAGATGGACATTATCAAGAATGCACTGACACAGATGATACAGTCTGTATATATATATATATATACATATATAATCTTCTTTGATATAAATACCAATAATTCTTGCAGCCATTGGGATGATTAATTACCCATATCTGTGAATTTAAAAATAGTGCTTATGCATTTTTTTTAATGGGGAAACAAAGTCTCCATTGGCACAATACATACTATTCGTTTACATTCACAGTGCATATACTGAATGATGCATTAAAAACAAAAAACACTGCCAAGCATAAGAAAATGCACTCATCTCTCCAAAGGGCACAATGATATATAACAGAAATTTTGCAATCACATTCAGTTTGTCCTATCAATATTCTTACACATGACAAGGCATTAAATTTCCAAAACCCATGATAAACTGTGTTTGCTTTGTAAAGAAGAACCACTTTCTAGCTTTTCTCTGAAAGGATGATCTTACCTTTCTCTTTGTGTTGCAGAAGATGACAGCCTGTGTGATGGTGAGTGTGTCATAGAGGTCACATAGCGTGTCAAACTTCCATTCTTCCCTCTCCACGGCAACAAAGAACTGCTTGATACCCTCCAGAGTCAACTCATCACTGTGTAAAACATTATCAAAGTACATGCAATAATCAAATCCAAGAAACTCAGATTTCATTGGCACTTAATGCTGGTTATTTCTCTGAATTCAAATGATGTGATAGGTATTATCAAAGGACATAAGAGAAATAGAATGGCAAAACCTCTCACGGAATTAATTGAATGAGGTTTCTAAATAGGACAACATTAACAAATACTTGTTGCTCATTGCAAGCACATCAGCCATTTTTGTCATCATTCAAGCTTTTCTATTTGACCACCAAAAAGAAAAGAATGATTTAGCTCTGGAAAACTATATGTAAATAATTATACAAAACGCTTCAATAATGAAATAAAACAGACAAAAGGCCAAAGATATTACAATTTTTTTTCACACAGAAAAGAAAGAAAAAGGGCAGTGATAAATAGAGGTTGTGATACTCTTCTGGCCCCTAACCGTACTCCTTATACTAACCGTTTGACCAGGATTCTGATGGGGTCTGTCATGAACTTGCTGGTCATTTCTAGGATCTCATGTGGCAGCGTAGCACTGAAAAGTACAACCTGGGTCGCAGGGGGAAGGTACCTGTACACATCATAGATCTGCTCCTTGAAGCCTATGGAATACAATACAATAACATATCATCAGATACTTCTATTCAATATCATCTCTTTCATTGGGTAGCCATTTGTTTGTAGAGGTTAGGGCTGCGACGAGTAGTCTAATACTCGAGTATTCGCACTGTTGACAACTACTCGAGTACGATTTCTCGTATTTGAATATTCGGCCGCAAAAAAAAAAAAATTTAAAAAATTCCCGGTCAGCTGGCACTGTCCAGGCCGACGCTTACCCGTGTGCCAGGGAGAGCGTCGGCCGCCGGCATGGTACCATCAGAAAAAATGTTTCCCAGCTCAATCACTGTCAAACTCACCACTCAGAAACTGGAACCAAATGTCCAGATTTCTGTTTGGACTCGGAGGAGAATGGATTATTCTGCCATCTTTGGTTTTTAAAACAGCATTGTTCACTGTTATTATTATTATTAATCGGCACCTTCAACTGGAACTCGGTAGTGAAATTGCGTGAGTTATTGGAGACAGACCTGGGATACTGCTCCGGTAGTATGGTGGTGGCCCAACAAAAAACAAAAAACAAACAAACAAATTAAATTTTAAAAAAAACAACATGGCGTCCGAATATTCGCTTGTTAGCCTGGGAGTGTACTCGGGTACCTCATTACACGGTTGTGCACAGCCTTAGTAGAGGTGTTGTGGTCTAGTGCATGTGTCTTTGGACTGTGAATCACAGGATTCTTGGTTCGAGTCCCGCTGCGACACTAATGTCTCTTGGCAAGACAGTCCTCTACATTTGCCACTCTCCACTCAGGTGTTACATGGTGTCGATAGGAAGGAATTCCTTGAATGATGTCAGTGGCGGATCCAATGGGGGAGGGGGGACAGGGGTTACGTGCCCCCCCCCCCCCCTACCAAAAATAAATAATGTTGAAATCAGCCCCAAATTTGGCAAAAATATACTGGCAAACAGGGGTGTGCCCCCCCTGGTCCCCCCCCCCCCCCCCCCCCAAAAAAAAAAAAAAAAAAATGTAGGCATCAAAATCAGGAGTCTAGCAGAGCAATGGTAATCTTGGAATGCCTTGAGCACCTTGCATGGTAGATATGTGTCACTATACAAATATCCAATATTATTATTATCACTATTAGTGTTTCAAGCAACTTCTAAACTAAATGCCCAAAGAGGCTTAAAAGACCCCTTCCCTAAAAATACTTGATGTGTGGTAAGATGTGTTTATTAACTCTTATTAAACTGGGTTTTGTTACATCCCCACCCCCATCAAAAAGGCAATGAAGTTAAAATGAGCCCCATAAAAAGTGTTCAGTGCATAGAACACAAGTTAGAGTAGGTCAATGGGTCTTATCTTCTCACTTCTTTTATTCTAAAAACATACAGTGCAGTGTATTTCACTTCCCATGATGTAATGAACTCCAAACAGCAGAAAAACTTGCCACTGACTGGTCATCATTTTACCTTTGTTCAGCATTTCATCTGCTTCGTCCAAGACCAGCATCTTGATGGCTCTCGTCCTCAGGTTTCTTCTCCTGATCATGTCTGGATAATAATTAAACAAATCAAGAATGCAAGATTTAATGACGGATCCAGATCATCCAGTATCACTGCAATCCTCATGACCTTTTCCAACTTCAACTGAAGATTAGAAAAAGTAGAAGTAACATCATTGAATTGCAAAACTGTCTGGACATGATTAGGAAAGGCTGTGATCTTTGTGGACCACTGTTCTTTCTACACACATGGTCACAAATACACTATACATTATATTATACACTACAAAGCAAGAACAAATATAATATATCGATCTGTTTGGATCCAGAAGGACATTAACTCATATACTTTAACACAGAGTTAACACCCTTCTGGCTCTGACAAGACAATATCAAGGTCTCATAAATGCGTCTTACCGAACACTCTGCCAGGTGTTCCTGAGACGACATGCTGACCAAAGTCCAGCTTTCTGATATCCTCTCCTACATTGGTCCCTCCGATGCATGAATGGCACTGAACGCTCATGTAGTCACCCAAGGCTAGGATGACCTACAGATAATAATAATAATAATAATTATAATAATAATCATTTAAAGGTATTACAAAGTTTTGGTATGGGGTCATGAATTTGGTTCAAATTAACATATTGGAAGCATATGCGTTCCTACAATATTCATTGATTGTTGTCGCGGTTGAAATCAAGTCTAAAGTTATGAAATTATAAATAATAAACTCTTTATGTTGTATAACTCCCTCTCAAGGTCAAGATATTAATAAAGCTATGAAACAATGTTTCTCGACCGATTAGCTATTCCCGTTCGGAAATTATATATCACAACTACATATTCTGAGATTTTCATGGTCGCACCTACCATTGTACGGCCATAGACGCTATTTGAAAATTATCAAAATTTACCGGGAGCACCGGTAAATTTTTATATTCAATTTTTCTCGAAAACAGAAGTGTTTTAGGGGCTAACTTTTTAGTGCTTATAATACATCCACAGGGGCATCCAGATATATCAAAATTGTAAAGATTCACTATCCACCCAATTTTCAAAATTTCCCAAAACTTTGTATTACCTTTAAAGTCCACTCCAAATTTTATAAAGTTAAACCGGAAATGGAAATTCTTTTTGCCCAATTGATCGTAAATCAAATGCAGGTTTGTAGGAATTCTTTTTTGACCATCCTAAGCTATATCGAGGGTGCTCTGAAACTCACTCTGGCAACATTACCTCCAGGTTTTTATGACAAAGATAATGGGTGAGGGTAAGTGACTTAGTGTTCCAATGGGGTTTAGGGCGAGGTAGATAAAATGGTGTCTAGGATAGTGACCACTGTGTTGCAATGCAATATACATATATAGAACCGTCTAAAAGGGTAACACACGCTCGAAACTAGAGAGACAGGGATTTCAAACTCAAAGGAACAAGAATAAATCTCCATGATGGTTTTGACACTGTTAAATACTGCAATTTTTTTTTAGACGTATCTAAATTAAGGAAGCTCACCTTTTGAATTTGATTTGCCAATTCTCTTGTTGGAGAGAGAATCAAAGCTTGCGTTTCTCTGACCTAGAGGACAACAAGAGTATACATACATGTAACATAAAGCATCAACAAAAATAAAACATCAAATTGATACAACTGTGTACTGTTGTCAACAACAAGAAAAATGACAAAACGATGTTGCATATTTGATAACAAAAAATGTGTCGCTAGGAAATGGCTCAGTGGTAGAGCAGTGGTCTCGTAACTGGGAGGACCCAAGTGGATTAGCTAGTGGCCTTTGGTAAGGCAGTAATTGTCCCTCAGAGAGGATATAAAGCCATTGATCCCCTGGTTGCTTACTTACAAGCATACACAAGCTTTCTTAGCAGTCAGGTAAACAAACCATCAAACCAAAATAGCCACTCTTTAGTAAACATGCAAACTGTTCATTGTTACAAGATTTTTTATTTACGATAACTGAAGTATTCAATTTTGGATGATTCCATCAAGAACTAGCCGAAGCATCAGTTTCCTTGCCAATGTTTTTAAATACATGTATTATACAAGTGCTGGACATGTAACACATCAGTCACGAAGCCAAACTGATTTTAAACACACTCCAGCAAATCGTTATTCGTCAAATCAGGGTACCAGTGATAGCCATTGCAGAGGATGCGAGTATCTACATGTATGTGTACATGGAAAACGGTGACTAACCTGTGTGTCTAGACATTGTAGAATTGAAATGGAAAAAGTGGCTGTCTTTCCTGTACCAGATTGTGCCCTGGAAAGAAATGATGGTGAGAAACAAAGTGTTATACAGATGATGTAACAAGAGACAAAACGTAAACCATATTTTGTCCTTTATACGGTACATGTTATTACTCTTCATACAGAACACACACAGCATAAAATCTTAACATACAAGCTTATGTCTCACACTGTAAAGCCACAAACTTGCACCAAATCTACACAAATCTGATTTTACACTAGTACTTGGTTAAACTTAGAAATCGATAAAGAGAGTTTACATCTTACTGCCTTATTACCTGACCTTCAAAACCAAGTTGTGGATGCATACCGGTTTATCGTTTTTCAGTTTGAAAATAGGCTGGATAGTCTTTGGCAAATGCCGAATTTAAGTGCAATTACAGATCAGCTCCCTCAGACGTTGCATTTATTGCTTTACTAGAGTACTACCAATTAACCAGGATCTGGACGTAGAGGTATCTCAACCTGCATCCAGAAGTCAACGTTAGGCTTAAGTAATTATTATTATTATTATTATTATTATTATTTATTCGACCATTCATATATAAAAAGCACAAATACAATACAGTATAGCAAGAGACAAGTACATAATAAGGATTAACAAACAAAGAGATAAGGGAGCAGCAAGTGGGTCAGGGTGCACAAAAGTGAAGTTCATCACTGTTGCCCGGAGGCATGTGCCCCCACACATGCTACTCCCAGTACATAATTAAAAATTCTTTACATAAAATATTGCACATGATATAAGGGGGAGATAACAAAATAAGATGGAATAAAAATTGAATATAAAAAAATTAATTAAAAAAATGATTTAAAGAAAATATTAAAAAATGCTACAATTTAAGTAACCTAGTTATACAGTAAAACCTGTCTATAAAGACTACCCATCAAAGAAAAATGGTCTTGATAGGCAGGTTGTCTTTATGTGAAGGTTCCTTTAGTACATGTTTCAATGAGAAACCATTTTCTAGGGAAACAAAAAATGTGGTCTCTGTAGACAGGAGGTCGCTAATGCAGGTTTTACTGTATCATGTCTTATCCCGATAAAGTTAGTAATAACTACTGTATATACCGGTCATGCAATACCAGTTACAAACAGAACTCTTAGTCTTATACTTTTTAAAGAAAGAAAAGCAGTAGGTGCCTATGACAGTGTACTAAAGAGAGAGAGAGAGAGAGGGATCGATATATTTAAAAAATAGATGCAGATACAATTTAGCTAGTTTCCTTTCTCTTCAAGATTTAAAGAATATATGTACAAAAATAGACAATACTTTACTCATTGACTTACTGTGCAATAACATCCCTTCCTTTCACAACTGGTTTGATGGCTCTCTGCTGGATTGCAGATGGCTTTTCAAATCCTGTAAATAATGGCAAAAATACATTATTTCTCTTCAACATAATTTTCTGCTTACAAAAATAAAAGTTATTACCAGTAGCAGACGATGGTCAGAGAATAAGGATCGACCGCATAAACGAGGATCGTCTTCGTAAACTCGGACAAGACGCGTCCACAAAAATAAGGATCATTTGCATTTTCGCGGACGATTCTTATTTTTGATCCGCAATGATTTTCTTGAAGCAATTCACATTGACTATGTACAGAGACTATCACATAATTATGAGCTATAAATCCTTGGGAAGACGAACAACCCATAAAAGTAGACAGTGAACTAGGGTTTATTTTATTACATGGAATCTGTTTTTGGCATTGCAAGCGTGCAGATCGGGAACCCTACACCCGCAGAGCGCCGAAGGAAAAAAAATGTCTTCGAAAATGTGTACGATCCTCATTTTTTTAGGACGCGATTTATCCCATTAACGTAGACGATCTTCATTTTCAGACCAGCGCCCCTACTGATTAAAAAGAGGATTAAATAGATCTAGATCTACGTAAAAAAAAATCAATTTAATAAAATCTAAAATGTTTTCAATAAAACAAACTCGTTTCCAGTTATACAGTACCAAGTTCTCTGGTCATTGCTGCAAGGCAAATGTAATGATATATACGATATATTTAGTATGACGATATATAATGCATGACAGTCAGATAGTCTGTGGAGCAATGCATTGCTAAGCATAGAGAGTCAACGCTACGCGCTAATGCTCATCGTATTGACCTCTAGCATTGCACTACGTGTTAATAGGCAGCATTCCAATACATGAATAGTCAATACACTCACAACACACAGATGCACACAATCATGCCGATGCAGCTGATTGGCAAGTTTGACAGTGACTCACATTTTTAATATTAATTTTAAATTATTCTTTCCACATCCAACATGCTATTTAGGTGTCATCAATCCTCACTTAACTCTTTGTTTGCTTTGTTCGCCGATTTGCACGGACGTAGGCGTGCCAACTTCGCATTTTTGCACAGATGTATACGAGTCAATTAGACATTCATAATACCGCTCGCAGTGTGTAGCCACGCGTTGCGTTTACTATTGTTTACATTGTATACATCGCACACTTTCCGGTAAACTGTTTTTCTTCATAGTGTTACATTCGAAATTACCGTGTATTTAGCGGTTTTCTTTGGATTTTTTTTACTGATGTTACGATGGCACCTGCTGGAAAACGTCAACGTGTGTTTAGTGTAGAGGAGGCTCGAGATCTTGTTACTATGGAAGCATGGAGCATGGACTCTGATTCCGACGAATCGAGCAGTGACGAAGACTCTAGTGATAAAAGTGTTCCCTGAGAGTAGACTGATAGAATAAGAATGAATAAAAATTAATGAAAGAGCTAGAGATGACAGCAAGAAAGAGAGTAGACTGATAGAATAAGAATGAATAAAAAAAAATGAAAGAAGGAGATAGAGATGACAGCAAGAAAGAGAGTAGACAGTGATAGAATAAGAATGAATAAAAATAATGAAAGAAAGAGATAGAGATGACAGCAAGAAAGAGAGTAGACTGATAGAATAAGAATGAATAAAAATTAATGAAAGAGCTAGAGATGACAGCAAGAAAGAGAGTAGACAGTGATAGAATAAGAATGAATAAAACTAATGAAAGAAAGATGTATCCTGTCTTGCCGTCATCTTTATATCTTTCTTATTATCTTTATTCATTCTTATGCTATCAGTGTTTACTCTCTTTCTTTCCGTCATCTCTATCTTATTATTATTATCATTTTCCTATCTATATGTACCCTATGTCTTGCCGTCATCTGTATATCTTTTTCTTATTATCTTTATTCATTATTATGCTATGAGTGTAATACTCTCTTTCTTGCCGTCATCTCTATCTCATTATTATTATCATTTTCCTATCTATATGTACCCTATGTCTTGCCGTCATCTGTATATCTTTCTCTTATTATCTTTATTCATTCTTATGCTATCAGTGTTTACTCTCTTTCTTGCCGTCATCTCTATCTTATTATTATTATTATTTTCCTATCAATATGTATCCTATGTCTTGCCGTCATCTCTATATATTTCTCTTATTATCTTTATTCATTCTTGTGCTATCAGTGTTTACTCTCTTTCTTTCCGTCATCTCTATCTTATTATTATTATCATTTTCCTATCTATATGTACCCTATGTCTTGCCGTCATCTGTATATCTTTCTCTTATTATCTTTATTCATTCTTATGCTATCAGTGTTTACTCTCTTTCTTGCCGTCATCTCTATCTTATTATTATTATTATTTTCCTATCAATATGTATCCTATGTCTTGCCGTCATCTCTATATATTTCTCTTATTATCTTTATTCATTCTTGTGCTATCAGTGTTTACTCTCTTTCTTTCCGTCATCTCTATCTTTTTATTATTATCATTTTCCTATCTATATGTACCCTATGTCTTGCCGTCATCTCTATATCTTTCTCTTATTATCTTTATTCATTCTTATGCTATCAGTGTTTACTCTCTTTCTTTCCGTCATCTCTATCTTATTATTATTATCATTTTCCTATCTATATGTACCCTATGTCTTGCCGTCATCTCTATATCTTTCTCTTATTATCTTTATTCATTCTTATGCTATCAGTGTTTACTCTCTTTCTTTCCGTCATCTCTATCTCATTATTATTGTTATTTTCGTATCAATATGTATCCTGTCTTGCCGTCATCTTTATCTCTTTCTCTTATAATCTTTATTCACAGTAAAGTCCTTTCATTTCATATCACTATTTCTCTCTCATAATGTCTCTCACGTCCGTTCTCCATATTTTATTCATTGCATACTCCACTCGTCAATCATTTCTGATAATAAGCTCTCTCACAATAAAGTAAATGGAAAACAATGCAATATAGTTTATATTTTAAGATTGATTCATTCTTTCTTTGTATATCTATGGCTGTGATAAATGTACTTGAAATCAATTTTATTGAGGGGTAAAGAAGGTGAGAGAACAGATGCGGTGAACATTCATAATGAGACATTTCAATAAGATGCTGATTATGTCATGTATATCACATATAATATATTATGCCTATACCATTTTTACATGCTCATACCAGTGGGCAAAATCAATAACATTCTCTTATTTCTTATTGACTTATCATGGCACAACAAAGAAAAACATCCCCACGACGTCCCTTTTCATGCCCCGCTAAACCGGACATTGACAATAACCTGGGGTAATAGGGATTTCAATGGGCAGATTAGCCCATTGTCAAGGGTGGCTGAGCGGGGTACTTTCAAGTCTCTCCCTATTGAACTTCTTTTCTTCAACAACCTAAATACTAACCTTCTGAATTGTTAGAATACTTGAGCAAGGTATGTAAAGAAAGGTAAGAAGTCCACCTTTCTAATAGATTTGATTTGAAGATGTCTTATCATTGCTAAATAAGAAATTCTAGAGGGATAAAAAACTGCCGTAAATAAGAAAAATTAAACATTATATAATTATGATTATTATAAAAATGATAATTCAAAATATAACAAATGACGGTTCATCGAAAAGCACGTTTTCCGGTCTACAACTTTGCTGCACAATATTTTTCATCATGATCATCCAGTGAAGAGTTATAGCCTCTTGATTCAGCAGAGTCAATAAAGATTCCCTCGAAATGTGTGACCCTAAAAGAATGTGGCACAGGGGGTTTTTTTAAGTGGCGCATAAAGAGTTAAGCAGTAGGGGCGCTGGTCCGAGAATGAGGATCGTCCTCATAAACAAGGATATCCTCATAAACGAGGACAAAATGCGTCCTCAAAAATAAGGGTTGTCTGCATTTTCGATGACGTTTTTTTCATCAGCGCTCTGGGGGTTTCATGTTACAGAACGGCCTGCTGGCGATGCCAAAATGGATTCCCTGGGGAAAATAACCCTAGTTCACCGTCTACTTTTATGGGTTGTCCGTCTTCCAAAGGATGTATTGCTTATAATGTGAAGGTCTCTGTACAATGTCAATGTAAAATGCATCAAAAAAATCATTGCAGAATCCGTTTTTTGGATCGCCAATGTGCCGATCTAAAATATGAAACGTCTCCAAAATGCAGACGGTCCTTATTTTTGAGGACGCATCAGTCCGTGTTTACGAAGACGATCCTCGTTTATGAAGACGATCCTCATTCTCGGACCAGCGCCCCTACTGTTAAGTACGGATTTTGAGTGCAATTAGAGTAAAGGAGCCGGTAATCGGCCAGCTCCCGTTTTCGGCCGATTGGTTGGATGCATGGTAAAATCACTCTAAAATACATCGCATAATAGCATAACACATATCCCACACATACCATATCATGCCAGTGTCACTGAAGAACCACATTTGCAATGAAAAATATATCCTAAAATATCACATTTTAGCGATGTAATCGGCGGTCCCGCTACTACAAATCTGAAAAATCGAGTTTCTTGCGCGTGTATGTAAGAAATATGGGTACCATAAAATGAGCTTTATTTCAAGTATTTTTCAGATTTAGAGCCCGATTTTGTGTTAGTCGCAAGCTCAAAAGTATCTCATCGCATGTATTAAATCAATGCAGCCGGACCCTGCCACGCACACACGATATGTCTGTCTAATTCAGATTCCAACTTCCGATCACCGCTGTGCCTGTCTTCGGCAGGCGAGCACCAGGGAGCTCCGGCGTGGATACCTGCTCCGCCCGCTTGTGCTGTACATCAGCGCGGAAACGCACGGCGCGCTGCGAGCGCTTCCTATTGACTTTGTACATGCGGCCGTAAACTGAAACGCTCGGCTCCAAAACAGTGAAAATTGAAATGAATATTGTCATGGCAATTCGTGATTTTTTTCTGGGATTCTTTTTTTGTTTAAATAGGGTCTAGAGTAAAGTACCCGGTAATCGGTCAGCTCCGTTTTCGGCCAATTGGTTGGATACATGGTAAAATCACTTTAAAATACATCGCATAATAGCATAACACATATCCCACACATACCATACAATGCCAGTGTCACTGAAGAACCACATTTGCAATGAAAAATATATCCTAAAATATCACATTTTAGCGATGTAATCGGCGGTCCCGCTACCCAAATCTGAAAAATCGAGTTTCTTACGCGTGTATGTAAGAAATATGGGTACCATAAAATGAGCTTTATTTCAAGTATTTTTCAGATATAGAGCCGATTTTGTGCTGGTCGCAAGCTCAAAAGTATCTCATCGCATGTATTAAATCAATGCAGCCGCACACCGCGACGCACACACGATATGTCTGTCTAATTCAGATTCCAACTTCCGATCACCGCTGTGCCTGTATTCGGCCAGGCGAGCACCCGGGAGCTCCGGCGTGGGATACCTGCTCCGCCCGCTTGTGCTATACATCAGCGCAGAAACGCACGGCGCGCGCGAGCGCTTCCTATTGACTTTGTACATGCGGGCCGTAAACTGAAACGCTCGGCCGATAACCGGCTCCAAAACAGTGAAAATTGAAATGAATATTGTCATGGCAATTC